TCGGATAGTAGAAATTTGACGGTGGAAATATTGGACGGAGGGCATTTGAGTCCCCCCGCACGTCCTCAAATCACTCAAGTGTCATCGACAGGAGGCTGTATTGGAATAGAGCTCAGACTCCCTTCGTACATGGGCGGATGGTTTATTGGCTCATCCCTGATGTGGGATATCCGTGTGGGTGCTGGGCCCAACTACACAGTCGAGAAAAACGGTTATGTCGTGTCGGCGCTCAGTAGAATCGATGCGTGTGGCCTCAATCTCAATACAAGTTATCCAGTTAATGCAGCTCTACGTACGGATAGCGGGACTAGTGAATGGAAGATCATCGACGGGTTAACGAACTCACTTTCGGTTCCAACTCAAGTTCTCGACCTGCTCGCGAGCCCCGTTACAAGTGGATTTGCACAGTTATCGTGGAAAGCTCCGCTGGATATAGGCGGAATGCCGATCACTATTTACGAAGTTACAGTTTTGAACAGAGCCGCAAACGAGCAACGAACCATTAGTGTACCTGGATCAAATCTTACTGTGGCCTTTAGTTTCTTATCAGCGTCTACAGAGTACAAGTTTTCTATTCATGCCGTGAATGGCGGTGGTTTAAGTGGACCGGATTCAAGTATCAGTGTCTGGACTGAGGGCGTCTTGATACCGAAGCAGCCGCCTGCCCCCGAATTGATTTCGGCTACTGGTGGAGCTCTACACTTCCGTGTACTTGCTCCTGTTGACTGTGGCGGTTCCATTTTGTTGCATTACGCTGTCAACGTCGCTCGTCATATAGGAAGAGATTTAGCGTATCGTCTGTATGAGACGGGAACTGTTCAAAGTACTTCGTACGATAGAAACATCGCGAATGTTTCCATCTACGGCTTATTATCAAATTCCGAGTACTTCGTTACAGTGTCCGTGGAGAATAGTCAGGTATTGTAATAGCTTGGTGTACTGCTATTGAATACGCTATTTAACACACCTTTGTTTTCAGGGTTGGAGCTGGACAAGTGAGGAAAAAATCTACAAGACCTTTGGCCCCACACCAGTTAGTGGCATGACAGCGCCCACGGTAGCTCTTGAGGACCCAGGGGAGCTGACATTACAATGGAATACTCCACTAGACTCGGGCGGACTCGGTATCGTGGGGTATAGGATACAGTCACGTCACAAGCTCGCAACCGGTTCCTGGTCGTCTCTTAAAATTGTGTATGATGCCCGGACATCATTAGCTCGAACGGCGTTGATCACGAACATACTGGCAAACACCGAGTATGCATTTAGCGTATCTGGTCACAACTTTAGAACGTTATGTCGCCCCGATGAGGACATGACACCAAGCGAAGAATTTCTTATCACAACCCAAAGCGGCTCTGTTCCCTCACAACCGAAAAACTTTCGGAGGGTACAAGTGACTGGTGGATCTATTACATTGGCTTGGGACCCTCCACGGTCATCAGGGGGCGAAGTGCTGCTGTGGTATATCATTAAAGGAGGCCTTGCAGACAGCCAGCTTGACGCGATGGCAAATGTTAGCGCTACGAAAACTTCGCTCACTCTCTATGGCTTCGATGCTTCCACAACGTACCAATTTGCGATTGCAGGAGAAAATTCTCGCGGTTCTGGATTATACTCTCTATCTATTAATGTGACTACGGGTTTTGTTAGTGCTCCGGGATCTCCGCAATCATTACGTCAAGTTTCAGTTGGTTCGGGTGGAATGATCAAGCTAGCATGGGAGGAGCCAGATGACTCGGGAGGTGCAAAATTGCAGCAGTACAACGTATTACGCGATGACAATGCGGCTGGCGTGGTCGTAGCTGTCAATGGAACAGCAACATTTCAAGATCAAAACAGTATCCTTGCTGACAAGAGTTACAGTTATTCGGTATTTGCTTCCAACGATGTTGCCACTAGCACACAGCCAGCAGTGATCATTGCTCACAGCGCCGTCGCGTCTGTTCCTGGAGCTCCATCCGCCACTGTCGAAACTGGTAGTGGCTTTATTAAGCTGAAGCTGATACCATCCAAGGACACTGGTGGTATTCCTTTTCTTGTCCTCGATTTAACTGTGATGCGTGGACTAGTGCCGGTTAATTCCTACAATACCACGGAATCGGAGTTCACCGTGACTGGACTTTATGCGGATGTAGAATATTCCGTTACTATCCAGACTGTCAACGCGAAGGGGAAAAGTGAGGCTACTACAATAACTACCACAACAATGGCTGCAACAATTCCGGATAAAATGCTACTTTCGAGACTGGTAAGCGTGACAGGAGGCCGCTTACAGTTTGAAGTTTTGCCTCCTCCAAATTTTGGTGGAAGTGAAGTTCTGGATTACAATTTCTATGTAAATGGAACTCTGAGGGATGTGGTGAGGATTTCGAAAACTGAGTACGACCTCGTGGGCTTAACTGCACTTACATTCTACTCAGTCGCTGTAACAGCAACCAACGCGGTTGGAGCAGGTGGACAAAGTGACTCGCTGATTGTTTCGACCGACTCGGTTACTGCACCTGGACAAGTTTGGGGCTTAAAGCTGATCTCGAAGACGTATGAGCGAATTGAAGTGGAGTGGACGATGCCAAACGATACCGGAGGAGACGCAACAGCAGTCCAGTTTGAAGCTGAGATTAACTCAAGCATTAGCGATGGTAATGTGGTCTCAAGTACAATGAATACTGTGGTACTACCCGGACTTGAGCCCGCCACAATGTACACGGTTCAAGCTCGTGCATTTAATTTGATTGGAATGGGCCCATGGTCTACAAGGATCTCTGTGACGACCGATCCGGTATCGCCTGGAGTCATCAATTTTGAAGAAGGCGCAGTCGACATTCGTGAAGATGCTGGATCAGTGACGCTTACTCTAATTCGCTCCATGGGTGGCTTCATGCCTGCTACTTGTACATTCTCCACGATAGACGGAACGGCAATAGCTGGTGATCATTACGTCCAATCGAGTGGTCAAGTCCACTTTATTCGGGGCACAAATCTCCAGCAGATAACTATCCCAATCAAAAACAACGACGTGATCGACGACCCAGATAAATATTTCTCAGTCTCAATCGAGGAGTATAATGGCGAATCTGGAGCTATTGGAGACATCTCGGCGGTGAATGTTACCATCACTGACGATGGAGACGCTGGTGTAGTAGCATTCGAGAAAGAGCACTATATTGTTTCCGAAGCCGTGTCGACACTTTCTGTAACAATCGTAAGGTCAAGACAATTCAGTGGAAACGGAACCTTCGTGATTATACCAGTATTTTCTGGCGACGGTGCAGTCGAAGGTGTTGACTACAAAATTCCAAACACATCGGTGGCATTTTCCGACCAGGAGACACAAGTGTCATGTAACATTACAATTATTAATGATTTAACCTATCAAGAACGAAAGCTGCTCAAATTGAAGCTGGACGTGGTAAGTGGGCGCATCGCTATTGCTGACCCTGCTGGATTTGCTACCGTCGAGATTTTGGACGACGGAGATACGTCGCCTCCGGGTCTGCCCACTAGTGTTCAAGTTTTTGTGGTTTCTGGTGGAATGGTTAACCTTTCGTGGATAGCTCCAGAGTATCTAGGAGCTAAAACCCCTGGAGATTTGTCGTATGTTTTTCGTGTTGTGGAAGTGCAAAGTGGATCAACCCGCGAACAGTTGATAAACTCTTTAAGTTTCTTGATTCCTCAGCTGAAATCTAGGAGTGGGTATGAATTCTCGGTAGCAGCAAAAACGGTTTTCTTCCTCGGCGAATATTCATCGCCGGTACCAATTTTAATGAAAGAACCAACGCCCCCGTCGAGCCCCATCGGTGCCCAGGTACAATCACAAACGGGAGGGATGGTTACATTGTCGTGGTTGCCTCCATTTGACTGGGGGGGAGTTGACATCAGCAGCTATCGAGTGAATGTGAGTACCAGTACTGACAACAAACCCGTCGGGTCGTACAACACAGTCACAAATACCTTGTCTGTCGGTAAGCTGGACCCAGTCACTAGCTACAGCGCCACAGTTGAAGCCATTAACAAAAACGGATTTATCGGAGAAGCGAGTCCGGCTGTTACATTTACTACGACCGGTGTCTCTATGCCAGGAAAGCCAACATCTTTGGTAATTACAAAGGCAACTGGAGGTGCATTCCTTGTGGAGATGGCACCGCCACTGGATTATGGAGGCTCCCCTCTTTTGTATTTCACATTATTCATGACATCCTCGCAATACCCTAGTGTCTTCCGCCAAGTATATCAAGGCGTTACTCCATCATTTTACGCGACACGACTAGCGTTTTCGACTACATACAAGTTGCAGTACAAGGTGACCACCAAAGTGGTAAGTTTCATGATATTCTTGTAGATATTTTAGCAGCAATTAACTTTATTTTATTCTTGTTTGTCGCTAGGGGACCAGTGAATTAAGTGATGTGTTCGTTGCGACCACAACGTTCTTGACATTCCCGGATGAAGCGCCAAACCTCGTTGCAGTGTCGCGAACTGGAGGATCAGTCACACTTTCCTGGACGCAGCCTGTGGATTTTGGTGGAACAGACATAACAGCCTACGATGTGGCATTTTTCTTGGGGTATGAAGTCAAATCTCAATTTCGACAAAGAGTATCGGACATCAGTGTGAATACGACATTAGTAACTGCAAAAGTGGTGGGGCTTCAGGCAAATTCCACGTACGGATTTTCCGTCTCGGGGGTTAATGAGGTGAGTGTCTGCGAAGATCCATCAGCTATCCGCAGTCGTACGATCCTGCATAGTAGTACGGATGCAGCTGTCTCTTTGCCAGATACTCCACTCGGTTTAGCAGTGGCCGTAGCTACCTCCGGGACTCAAACGATACAATGGACCGCTAGCGAAGACACGGGAGGAGGCTCCTTTGTTGCGTATATCCTGTATTCGGACACTAGTGCTGTCCTGTATAACGGTACAAGCACTTCGTTTACACGCGGATCGCTGATAAGGAATACCGCTTACGGATATAGCGTCTGTGCGTGGAACTCTGCTGGAACAAGTGCTCAGAGTGCGGGTGTATCGGCACGTACAAAAACAGAAATTGCTGCTTCAAGCCAGCCTCTGAAACTAAGTCAAACAAGTCGTACCGGTGGTTCTATTGGATTAACGTGGCAAATCCCTTTGGACAGTGGCGGAGACACAATTTCAGCGTACAAGTTGTTTCGTAACAGCACTTGGAGAGCTGATGTTACAGCCGATGGTGTCACCATGACGTTTCTAGATGACCAGGGGCTAGCAGCTCTGCAAGATTACGTGTATACTATACGTGCGATGAATTCCATTGGACTCGGTGCTGTGAGTGAAACCCTTGTTGCTAGTACAGCTGGCGCTACCATTCCAAGCCCACCCACCCGACTGGACGTTGTCACCAAGGGTGGAAAATTCACCGCTACTTGGATACCCGCCGCAAATTCAGGTGGTATGCCGCTGACATCTTTTCACTTAGTGGTGCGAAATGATACGGATATTGTGCTGGATAGAACTATTCCTATCACGCAATTATCTTATGTTACGTATGGCGTAAGGGCAAACACTATGTATACTGTTCTTGTGACTTCTCGGAACGAGATTGGTAAAAGCTCTGTTTCAACTCAAATAGTAAACAACGCAGCTGCCGCCCAGCCTGCAACCCCACAGGTTCCAGAGCAGTATTTTGAGTTGACTGGATTGACACGCTGGATGATCGTGCTGAAGTTATATTTCCCGATTGATAATGGTGGAGCGCCGCTTAAAGGATTAAACTTGTATCAAAATGGATCGAGAATACGTGCAGTGGATTCAACAAGTCAAACGGAACCGGGCGATACAACAATGCGCTCCACGTTGGTTGAAATTGGCCCTTTACATGCAGGTTATACGTATTATTTCTCCACCTCCGCTGTTTCATCCGTGGAAACAATTGGAGGAAGTGGTCGTAGCAATGAAATGAAAGTGATTATGGGTCCTGCAACTCTTCCTTCGGTGCCAAATAATCTTCGAGTAGCACTGCGAACTGCGTTCTCCGTATTTTTTGAGTGGGATAGAGCGGACGATACGGGAGGAGATGATGTCGTCTACGAGATCTCTTTTAACAATTTAAACACGTCCGAAACGGGTCAAGTGGAGACAAACACTACGACCGTCGAGATCCCGAAGCTGATTCCAGGAAATAACTATATGTTTCGAGCTCGTGCCAGAAACTCTGCGGGGAGGAGTGAGTGGACACCGGATTTATCAGCTGAAACAGACGTGACACAACGCGGCGTCATTACATACAGATTGGCGTCGTCAACTGTCTTTGAGATGTTACTAGCGTGACTGTCCAATTACTACGTGTGAATGGTTCTTCGAGTACAATCACCTGTAAATATTCCAATACTTCTGGGTCCGCTGTCTACAGTCGAGACTACACGTTGCCCCCAGAGTCGGAGCGCTCATTCGCGTTTGTTGGAGAGACGACAGTAAAGAATTTTGATGTTCAGATCATCAACAATGACATCTATGAACCGATCCCCCGGACGGTTGCTCTAACTCTCACTGACACAACAGCGGATCGTAGTGACCCTTTCCCGCCTACACCAATAACAATCACAATTGTGGACGATGGAGATGCTGGAATGATCAGCTTTGCATCAACTGAGGTGACAGTTCTGGAGAACGCCCGCATCTTAAGTCTTCCATTACAGCGTGAATACGGCAAGAGTACAGCAGTGAGCGTCCAAATCGTTGCATACTCTGGTCTGGTCAGCACATCGCAGCCTGACATCGGATTTCGCTTACCATCCACTACTGTGGACTTCGTTGATGGCCAAACTTCTTCATCTGCCAGTATTGTCATCAAGGACAACGACGTGTACGAGTTCCCGTACTTGTACTTCTATCTTACACTCGAAATTGCAACAGGAGCGGCCAAAGTAGGACCAAACAACGTGGTTAAAGTTGAAATATTGGATGATGGTGATCGCTCTGTGCCAGGAGTGATGAAAGTTCCGACACTTGATAAAGCGACAGGAGGAATGCTGAGATTGAAGTGGGGACCTCCTCTGAATGTTGGCGGACAAAATATCTGGATTGCCGCATACAACATTTCTATTCGTGATGCTAAAACTGCAAAATGGATTACTACGCCTACGAATGCTTCGATACTGCCGTTTGGGGGGCTAAATGTTTTAAGTGAATACGCTTTCACCATTTCAGCAATCAACAGTATTGGACGGGGCGCTGACAGCGCTAGCGTCACGTTTTCGACAACAAATCTGACCACACCAGGACCACCTGAACACATTTCTTTACTGAATCGCACGGGTGGCTTACTAACCGTCTCGATTGCGGCTCCAAGTGATGCTGGGGGAACCTCTATAACCGGATACGTGGTATATCTGGCCGACCAAGATGGCGACTACCAGGTATGAAGTAAATTACGGTATTGTGTATCAAAGTCTCAGTTGTGTTGACACTCTTTTGCTTGTTCTTAGGTGGCTTTCAATGGCACTGGACACCAATCGTCGATTATACCAGTTAGTGTGAGCAAGCCAAACACTGTATACACTATACGAGCACAGGTTTGTTAGCCCTATTCAAATTTTAGATAAGTAGAAGCGCTCATCACATAGTTCATTCATGATATCAGGCAATTAACGTCGTCGGAGTTGGAGATATGTCCGAGCCATTCTCGTTTGAGAGTGGACCCTTCTCACGTCCTGGTCCACCCCGACTCCCTGCTTTACAATCTTCTCGAAGAGGTGGTAAAATAACGTTGGATCTCTTGCCTCCGCTCGACACAGGTGTGTGTATTGTAGTTATTGGGGTAAAATTCTTCCACCATGAAAACTGAGGTGTGGTATGCTTGCAGGTGGTCACAAGAATATTTCATACATGATTTACTACCGCAAACAAGGTCTTGGCGATAGATTTCGTCAGGCCTACTATGTAGCAGACGACCTGCAGGTCACGATTTACCGCTTGGCGGCGGATAGTACCTACGATATGGTGGCGATATCACACCTTGAAGACTCTCTAAACGCCATCACTTGGGGAAGAATCTCAATCTCCGATTCTAGGATCACTCTTTCGGACAATGTGACGACTGAGATTATGAAGAGCGGGTACTTCGATTTTGGCGTAAGTCGTTGTGTAGCTATTCGCTCGGTTGCCTTCTGTCTATTTAACTATCACATTACATTGCTTTGTAGGGGTATTTGTTCGAGGTTGACACAGCTCAAGTCCAATCCAACAACACTTTCGCGTATTCGGCGTCATTTAGCACCGATGCCGGGGCAATCGCGACCACAAAGCTGCAAAATGGTGACGAATACGACGTATTCGTGCGTGGAACATTTAGTGAGATGGCGAGCTACACTACAGCGGCACCTACCCGACCTGGAAGGCCACCAGAACCTGATCTCGACTATGCGACGGGTGGTGCACTTCATGTGCGTATTTCCTGGCCCGATGATACCGGTACGCGGACGCCTTTAATTTTTGCAAAACAATGTACATGTAGCAACTAACGCACTGGCTGGATCAGGTGGGATACCAATTACAGGCTATGAGTTTTACATAAACAACACAATGGTATAGTATTTTGTAGAGGAGTATGTAAGGACTGCATCGAGACTAATATTTCTTTGGTTATAGGTGGAAGGAACGTTATACCACTACATATCGCAAGGTGAATTCGAGTTAAAAGTAACTGTGGAGATCGGTGGATTGGCCCCCGAAAGCACCTACAATTTCTACTACATCCCACTGAATGATGCATCTGCGTGTCCTGGAGCCGATGAACAACCTCCTGTGCAAGTCGAATACACGACTGAGAAGGCATCCAAGCCAATGCCAATCCAGCTGATACGATCTACTGGGGCCACCGGTGGCGGGATTCACGTGGAGTTAAAACCGCCAAACGACAGAGGGAGTGCCCAGGATCTGACTTACCAGATCTACATGAGCCCAAGTAGAACAACGCCAATATGGACGCAAGTGTACGACGACAAAGCCATCAGCTATTGGCAAACGAAGCTGCAGAAGATGACCGAGTATCTGTTTATGGCTTCTTGTAAAAACGAAGTTGGTTCTTCCAGTAATTCGACAATCTTCTCACTACGAACAACTCTTGTATCTGCACCGGGTCCACCGGGCGACTTGACAAGGATTAATGCAACGGGTGGTATGGTTCAATTCTCGTGGAAAAGTCCGGAAGATGATGGCGGAAGCCCCATTTCGTATTACTCTGTACACGCACAGGATACGAGTGGAAGCCCTGAATTGGTACTCGAGTCACTCTTACCGCAAATAAGCTTCGGTGGGCTACTTGCAAGTCGAGTCTATGAATTCAAAGTGTATTCTGGGAACAGTCTAGGAACCGGGTCCGACGCCAGTGTGAAAAAGTTTTCAACTACCTTACCGTCTTCACCCTCGTTGCCTGGCGATCCGATTGTTCTCCAATCGTCTGGAGGTTCTGCTACACTCGAAATTAAAGTCCCAAACGACACCGGAGGAGTAAAAGCTGACGACCTAGTGTGCACTGTGTATGGGAATGGATTTAAAGTCCCAGCAGATGCTGTGCGTCGGTTGCAAAGTAACCCCATTGCGGCTTCAAAGCGTCGGCGTCTGACGACTAGGGAGCTGGCTGTGGATGATGGAGCGTTTATCTATCTTCAAGCAGGAGGGCTTCTTCCCTTGACAACATACGCGTTCACTATTCAAGTATCTAATGACGTTGGAGTAAGCGCTATCACGGACGGTATTGGAACTGCAACTTCAGTGGCTACGGTGCCAGGTGCCCCAGAGCCACCGACAGTGACAGGAGCTACGGGTGGTGCTATTACTCTAGCTTGGATAGATCCTGTCGACACGGGAGGAGTTCCCTTAACTTTATATCGACTTAGTATGAAACGATTGGATGTGGAAGTTGGGAGCTGCGAGGGAATGATCCGTTCATGCACTGTTGGAGATCTACTATCCATTACGGACTACACAGTGACTCTGGTCACTTACAACCCCGTCGGGATGTCGCCACCGAGCAACGCCGTCACGTTCACTACTGAGACCACCTCACTCCCACTAGCTCCTCAAGATGTCCATGTGGCCGAGTTGTCGAATACTTCTGTAACAATTCACTGGGATCCTTGTATCGACTTTGGTGGTGGCTATGTGGATACATACCTATTGAATGTCGTACAGATTTCGAGCCCAAGCGCTACATATTCTGGTACAACTTCAGTTGATGAGCACATCCTTACTATCGAAGAGTTGATTCCCCAGACAGAGTACGCTGCCACGGTGGTAAGTACTGCCCAGAGTTATTGTCTTATGTACCGTGTTAATTGATGATATGGTGTGTTAATAGAGAGCGGTCACTGGTGCTGGCGAACCAGGAGAAGCGAGTAAGACGGTCTTCTTTCGGACGCCGCTCTACGCCCATCAACCTTCACCACCACAAGTTGGTTGCCGTAAGAACTGGAGTTTTAGTAGAAGTGATCGTTTGTATGCTTTGAGTAACGTGATCTGTATTGGTTACATGTACTTGTAGACTCCCGTAAAGTGGCTAATGTGTTTTGGGAGACTGAAGATGATGCGGTCAGCTACCTCCTATATCGCGATGGAAAGTTCTACGTTGACAATGGAGAAGATATCACGTACGAAGACGAAATTGTCGTGGGCACTACGTACATATATCAAGTCCAAGTTATCCGATTCGACGGCTCTATCAGCGTTTTAAGTGAAGCCACAACATTTACCGCCCTGCCCCCAGTAACAAGTGGTTTCGACTGCGTGGGAAACAAGGGTCACATCCACTGGCACGATTACAAGAACTTGGATCACGAGACATGGACCATCACCCCACACAATCAAGCAGGTGTTTTGATCAGTGTAAGTCTTGGTTGATGCATTATAGCGGTTCAGAGTTCTAATACTTGTTTTGGTGACCGACACGTAGTTCTCGATATTTTGGCTTGAATGTGACCACGACAGCTTAACTATTAGCGTGACAAAAGGCGGTGTGACGAAGCAGTTATGGAAGGGAGGATGCCATCGAAAAGGAGACTTTGTTGTGTCAACTGGGCCTGGTTTGGATAGTGTGACGCTCGAATTTACGTCGGATGGTAGTGTGGCTTACGAAGGGATGGCTCTACACTATGAGGCTGTCGATGCAGCGGATGCCGTAGAGTCTGTTTCAGCTCCCTGCCCTCTCTCGTCCAACGGGTTTTGCTCACTGAATGGAGCTTGTCGCAAAGGTTCTTGCTCGTGCTTTAGTGGATTTATTGGAGAAAGCTGTATAAATGCAGTTATCTGTCCTGAAGATCTATCAACATGTACATCGACAACCTGTGACCCGGTTTGCCTCCAGTCCCAGAATGACGTAATTGTCGTGAGTGAAAGCGGAGATGATACACAGGGAACTGGTGAGAGGATGGATACTTGTACAACTGGCACAGATCCGAAAGCTGTCAAGTCGCTGCGACGTGCTCTTGAGCTCGCCACGTCTGGACAAACTATCTTACTCTATCCCGGCGTTTACAGTGGGGCTGATAATTGCGGTGTTACTGTCTCTACCGCTGGTCTTCTCATTCGAGGACTGAGAGGCCCAATTCCAACAATTATCGATTGCAAGAACCTACTCCGAGGTTTGATAATCACTAGTAGCGCTGAGCCAAACCAACTGGAAGGGCTCACTCTGCAGAATACTTTAGCAAGTAACGATGGCGGTGCAATTCGAGCTTCGGATGCGTCTGTTCGGATGAAGAATATGGTCATCACGAATGCGAATTCTCACCAGAATGGAGGAGCCATATATGGGTACCAGTCCCAGCTAGTTTTTACTAACGTGGAGATCACAAGCTGCTCTGCTGCTAAAGGAGGTGCTATTTTCTTGGATGGGTCACGTTTAACGCTTGATCATTCGGTCGTTAAGCTCTGTTCGGCAAGTCAAGGCGGTGGTATATACGCGCAGAATACTGTTTCGATAAGCGGTGATAAAGATAGTAAGTTGTGGAAAAACAGTGCCTCATACAATGGGGGTGGACTCTGCGTCGCTGGAATTTTTACAGGCACAGCACTGAACCTTCTCGAAAACACAGCGCTAGTGGGGGCTGGCCTAGTAGGCACAAGTGGAAGTTCGACACTCTCGGACGTCAACATCGAAGGCAATCATGCAGCCAATGATGGTGGAGGGATTGCGCTACTTAATACGGCAAATCTGGTGCTGCACAACTCGCCGATACAGACAAATCATGCCGGTCGCTATGGCGGAGGACTTTACATGGTATCAAACGGTTCGTTCGAGAATAGCTTGGCTTCAACAATTTTGGGCTGTACTGCTGGTACGTAGATATATTTATTGCGAGTCGGCTTGATAGCTAACTTTGTTTTTGCGATCAGCTACTGGAGGAGGATTTTATGCCGGTGACTGGGGTTAACTCCGCCTGAAAAACCTTCATGCTGTTTCATCTTCAGCTACCGTATCCGGTGGTTGTGCCGCGTTTTCTCGCAGCTCTGCAACGTTAAGCAATCCTGCTTTCGAGAAATGTGATGCGCCGATAGGCGGTGGAGTGTACGTTGACACGGGAAGTAAATTATCGCTACTGCATGCTTTGATTGCAGACTGTACGGCAACAACTGGTGCCGGAATGTACATCAAATCCAGCTCAGTAGTCGGATCTAGTGATGTGGCATCTGTAGTTCGAGACGGTCTAGCCAACTCTGCGGCAGGTGGTGTGTACATTACTGGATCTCCGAGCTCAATCCAATTTTTCGATGTGCACGACTGCTCAGCTGCTCGTGGAGGTGGCGTGGCTGTACAAGAAGCTTCATTAGTGACGATAAATTCGGTGAAAATTATTAAATGCAAGGCAACTACAAGCGGTGGCGGGCTCTATGCTCAATCCTCTATAATCCAGGTAAAATCTGTGGCTGTCAATAGCAACGGGGCCGTAGTTGGTGGAGGGGTCTTTGCTATCGATTCGAGCCTTTCGGGTACTATTACAGTGAGCGCGAATAATGGAGAACAAGGTGGCGGAGTTGCTACATTGGGTATCTCGACACTGGACGGAGCTATCATCACTTCAAATACAGCCTCGAAGAGAGGGGGTGGGCTGTCTGTTAAGACTGGTGTTTTATCATTAAAGTCCTCAATAGTTCGGTCTTGCTCCGCTCCTCAAGGTGTTGGTGGAGGAATTTCGATCATGAATGCCGATGTAAAGCACCACGCATTGAAAATCGAAAGCTGTGAATCTCTCCGAGGTGGAGGAGTTTACTTAAACGCGTCAACATTCTACCAATATTCGACCGAAGAGAGTGCTGGCATGAGTCAGAATGCTGCATTCTTGGCCCAAAACCGAGCTGACGAATACGGAGGAAGTATTTTCGTGGATGGAGAAGGAGCGGTCGTCAGTGACTTCGTAGTTACCGACAGCAAATCAACGTTTGGGGGTGGGCTAGCAGCTCAGAATGCGGATTCTTGCGTTGTACTGAATGCGGATATTTCGTCGTCGACAGCATCAACTTCGGGTGGTGGGTTGTTCTTTGGATCTGGCGCTAACTGCGTGTTTCGGGACTCCTGGGTAACTAAGAACCAAGCTGGCGAATCAGGTGGTGGGCTTATGCTCTTTGAGGCGACTGTGTATCACTCGAACGTGGAAATCTCCGAAAACGTCGCCCCAACTGCAGGTGGCGTATGTTTGAATAGCGTGCTTCAGCCTGCAAATTTTTTATCTTGGGGTGATGCTGCGAGCCAAAGATCACGTATTGACGCGAATATTATCGATCCGAAGGGTGGAAACGGGGAAAATGTCTTGATGAATTGTACCAGCAACTGTACTCTGTCAGGGTCAGTAATTTCTGGCGCAAATTTACAGTTCGGACAAGGGGCTGGTGTCTTTGTTATGGGTCGTGGTAATGCCACAATTTCAAACTCTCTTGTTGCTAATAACTCGGCCGTAAAAGGTGGAGGCATCGCTGTTAGTGACGCGGCCAAGACGGTAATTGAAAATGTTGGGTTTATCGGGAATATTGCAAGCGATCGTGGCGGTGGGTTATGGGCGGAAAGCTCAACTTTGTTACCCGAAGTCGGCCTCCTGAGCTGCGTATTTTACAACAACTCGGCAAGAACCAGTGGTGGGGCTATTTCGCTCTATGGAGTGAATTTGCACAGTTCAGTTTTACTGGTGGTGAAGAATAACGCGGGAAATGCTGAGTCGGGTATCGGTGGCGGACTCTACTGTGATAAACGTGTCAACCCAGAGGCACCTTCCACTGTCACAGCAGACAGGTGCCTGTTCTTGTCAAACAATGCACCGGTCGGAGGCTCCATCGCTGGAGTCAAATCCTCCCAGATCAGCCTACTTGACACAAATATCACGCGCGACGCTGATAGATTCTTCACGGAAACGTGGCCAGATCTTTTCGAAAACCTTGTCGGCTTCAAATACGCTGAAGACCGAGCCCCAAGAAAGATCGACGCTCAAAAGGGAGATCTCATCTATCTTTCGGACAGAGATTCGGTTTTAAAGCTGCTTTCATCGTACGCAACACGCGGATCGGCAGACGCTGGAGGAGGGGTGTACATCAACGCTAACGCGTTTTTCTACACTGAAGACTCCGAAATCAGCTCCAACTCAGCAAACGAACGTGGAGGAAGCTTGTGCTTATCGAACAGCGCCCAAGCCTCTTTCGTTTCCGTCAAAGTCGTATCCAGTGGTAAGTCTGCTCGAATAGCTTGTGTGAAATTCTTTTATTAACAGAGTATTTTTTTAGATTGTAAAACGTCTGGGGGCGGGATTTATGTCGAATCCTCATCAAAACTATATGCGTTAGGCTCAGAAATATCGGACAACTTTGCAGATGACTCTGGAGGCGGAATCTTCATTGACACGGGCGACAAAAACGCTGTCACTCTGAATGGCACTTCCATACAACGCAACTTCGCTCATGGAGAAGGATGCGGTACGAGGCCATTTGCTCACGACACAAACAACGTTGACTAATTACTGTGTATATCGGGCATCTCCAGGTGTTTTGGTTGGACGAGAGGCGGTTTTTGCTGGCTACAAGTCTCAGTTCGTGGGAAATGGTGGGGTGACAACCAGCGGGAAAAACGAAGGAGGCGGTGCAATTTCTTCGATTGATGGCATCGTGAAGCTCACAAGCTGTACCTTCGTAAACAACACTGCATTAGTTGGTGGTGCAATTCACTTGGATCGTGGTGGTTCGGCAGCGATCATGAGCTCGGTGTTCACTGGGAATACTGCAGATCAAAACGGAGGGGCGATTGCAACAACCGTCAAAGTAAAAGTCACGATTGCGCTGCAAACCTCATTTGAGAACAATGCGGCTCATTTCGGAGGAGCCATGGCAGTGTCCGGGACATCCACTATTGTACTGACGTCAGTGAACTTTCGTACTAACCGAGCCAGCGAGAATGGTGGGGCTCTCTTTATGACGGACCAAGCAATTGTTACTTTAAAAGCTGGGGAATTTGATGGTAACAGCGCCGTATTTGGTGGTGCCCTTTATTCTCAAGATCAGTCTTCGACCAACATCGTGGACACGAAACTTATCAAGAATGCGGCGTTTACTAGAGGAGGTGCGATGTATTATCAGTCGATTGATAACGCCACAATTACTGGAATCATTTGTAAAGAGAACACTGCACCCAGTGGAGGGTGCATCTTCTGGGTATCGGATGATGAAGATCTCTCGCCTATTTATCCATGTACATCCTGCACGATGGTATCCAACAAAGTGTACGATATTGCAACCAATACGCGCGATGTCCATGTGATGTGGTGGCCTGAAAACATGACCAGCGGCGTGCCTATACTGGAGCCACCTGATGAGGAATCGATTGAAGTGATTAAAACACGTAACGAAAGCCTAGAGAAGACAGTGCATGTGTGGCCTCGACTCAAGGCTGTGGATCTTTACGGGCAAGTTGAAGTGCTCGATAATCAGACCGAGTGCATGGTGAGTGACGGTCTGTGCAGTGAGCAAACCGAGCGATTATTATTTGAGCCACGAGCTCTGGTGCGCTCTTCTGTTGGCGTTATCTCCTACCGTGGGGCCAGCTTCACAGCAGCCAACAGAACCCCCGAAGAAGGAGTTTACACTACAGATATCTCGTGCACATTACCAAGTTCCGAACCGCGGTATTTCGAGCAAAGTGTAAAGCTGCTGCAGTGTCAGCCAGGGTATTCAGTCAACCAGGGGTGAGCTCTAGTTCTCTGTTCGACTGGTAATGCGCTTGTGACACTGATATTTATGTGTTTCCAGGGTTTGTGAACGCTGTTCGAAGAATATGTACAGGTATTACCTCGCGTCTTCAAAGTGGTTCAGCTAAAACCTTTCGACTAAATATTTTTGTTTTCATTGCTGCAGTTTGGATGGAAAAAAGTGTTTCGACTGCCCTTCTGGTGCCAAGTGTAATATGAATGTGCGCCGAGCGATCGATACAATTGCAGAGGAACTCGGAACGATATCCCCACGTACGGAGGAAGGGTACTACCTCTTTTCAGCCCCCGCAACAAAGCGAGAGTCTAGTTGCAATAAACCATCCCTGTGGAAGGACGAAGATCCGTGCAAAAAGATTGCGTTAGGCAACCCAAGCAAGAACCTCTCAGATGTGATCTACGAGTGCTCAAATCTGAATGACTTCAACGTGTATTGGTCAGCAGATCGCCTATTCTCCTGTTTGTCGGGAAAAACCTTCTACACCTGTGCTGTAAGCTTTCGAGGCTTATATATTGAGGGGTACGCATTGGTTTCTGACAGTTGCTATCTTGCCTACAGGTTGAAGGCGCATGTCAAGCTGATGTTTCGGTTCAAATGCTCGCACACACAGCAGCAGTGAGCACTGTATCGTGTACCACTGGATACGACCTGGCAATTTGTTCCGTGTGTGCTGATGGATACAAGCGTGCCAGGGATAATTAAGTGTTTGCGTAAGTCTCTCATTGCACTGAAGTCTAGCAAAGTGTTACTCCTGGTCTAAGATCTTTTGCTTTATGCTGCACAGCATGCAATGAGGCAAATGCTGAAGTCCGAGCTTCGATCAAGTGGCAGAATTTTGTCATTCCTGTGCTGCTGGTCCTTGCGCTTATCGGAGGAGTATTTGGTGTGCGATTCTATCTGCGTGACCTCACAGAAATCGGCCTTCTTGCAAAAGCTGAAGCTGATAGGCGGCTAAAAGCTCCCGATTCAAAGAAAGGTCACATCGCTATACGTGCGGGGGCGAAATATCGGAGACAATCTATGGCAGTGGTAGGCCGAGTGGATCAAGTGAAGAACAAACTTACTACCTTCTTCAAGAAATACCAGAAACGAAACGCGAAAATGGTTTTCGGAGTGGATGTGAGTCCTCCACCACGGACGTTCCCAGTCAACCCCAGCAAGTTCAAGATTTTTATTGGGTTCTTTCAGATATTCGGCAACTTCCAGAGCTCTTTCGTCGTGAAATGGTCATCCAATGTTCAAGACGTTATGAATGTTTCTCAGAAGTTCAATCTGGTACGGAACGGTTGGTCAATTGGCTGTGTTTGACTTGACTATAACATGCGTGAACTTTATGACTAGGATCTGGTGGCAATTGCTGGAATTGATTGTGTGGTAACGAAAAACTTCTACTTCGACTTCACGTGAGTTTTGTTAATTATACAGTGATAACTAGCTCGCCGTTAACTGACAAGTGTTTGTGTTACGTGTTTTTTTTTACTTACGCCAGAGTGACGGTGAGCCTGGTTGTACTTGCCCTTACTGTCATCACGGCGTATTTTTATGCTGGAACGCGCAATTATCGCTCAAAACTGCAGCTAATTCCTCGTAACTGCCTTCGCTGCGGGCTTCCAGTTCTGGAAAGTGAGTTGATTCAAAACGACGACGAGAGTTTCAACCCTCTTCGCCTACTTCGCAGCTGGTGGCGGACGTATAATTTCTATAACCGTTCGAGCTCTTCAATTCCAGTGGAAGCAGCAAAAGGTGGTCTAGAAAATGAAAACACGGCTGCCCTCTCAACTATCAGAGAGACACGAGCGCTGAAGCGAAAATTCGGAATGTCCCAAGTCCGAACGCCGTATTTGGGTTTGTTTCGATCAGTGCATACCAAGTGCCCGACTAAACGACACGTGCTCTCGGGTGCGTTGCTTGATCGCACAATTCGTGGTAATCTTCGTGTCTGGCAAGCTCGAGTGAAGCTACGCATGAATTATCTCACGTATCGAAACAAATGTCTGAAGCTGTACTGCTGGATGGCCCTCTTCCTCTACCCGTCTGTTTCGAAGACTATACTGACAGTCTACAACTGCCAGGAGGTTGGCGACGTATTTTACCTCGTGGTAGATCGACGTTTGATCTGCTACAATGGTCAATGGGCGGTGTTTGGTATGATCGCGACGATCGGAGTCATCGTGTGGGTCGTGGGAATTCCATTCTTTTTCGGGCTTTTGATCTGGCTAGCCCAGGACCGTGGCGTTGCTGCACGTATCAAGTTACTACGGAAGCCTCAGATGCGCGTACAACGGCAGAAGTGGCTAAAGGAAGTGGACGAACAACATATTGAAGATGGAAGGTTTGTTCGGGATATGGACAACGTTGAGGTGCAGGACGAGGAGCTGGCGAAGTACATGAAGCGCAAGAACTTAACAGTACGCCATCATAACCCCGAATATCTTATATTTTAAGCTCACAATTTCTGTTGTTGAAGGACTCGACAGTGCAAGCTAGACTGGGTTTCATCTACGCCGAATGTGAGTACAGTAGCTACCAAATTAAAACTTGAAGCGAGCACACACTAATGCTTGTGCTGTTATTTTTTAATGCAGATACACACGACTACTGGTGGTTTGAAGTCGTGGATCTTTCCCGAAAGCTTTTCCTCAGTGGTGTAATTGTGTTCGTGGAAAACGGAAGTGTGGAACAAGTTTTACTGGCGCTAGCTGTCTGGTACGTTTGGTTTGAAGGGATTGTGGGCTGGTTTAAAGTACTTACGCGTTCCTGTATGCTACAGTTTGACGACAATGTGGTTCTTGCTTTACTTCCAGCCGTACGACGGCTACTCTGATAATCTCATCGCGAGTATCACGCAGTTGCAACTCTTCTTCACGTTGTGGCTCGGAGTTATGATTCGGCTGAACGATCTGAACATCGAGTCCTTGATCAACGTACAGTTGCTAAGCTTCCTGCTGGTAGGAACGTGCATTGCTGTCACAATGTTTGGGATCAGTATGATTATTGGGGAAGGGCTAGCAGAGTCACGACGAATATTCACCGAGACGACTGCACAGCGTAAGAAACATGTTCAAGAAGAAGTGCGGAAGCGGTGGTTCCAAGCCTTCAATTACGCTGCCTATGAAGCTCAAATGCTGCGTTACGGTGGTCAACTGAGCTTAAATAACTTAAGCGTACCCGCTATACTGGAAGCCTTTCGGCGGGCTAAGCTCATGGAAGGAGAATCTGAAGATGCCAGCATCACGTTTAAAATCGACGAGGAAGCTGCGGATCAGTCAATTAGTGAACGCCATCCTGAGTTTACTTCATCAAAGGTCAACCCAGATGACGATCCAGATCTCAAGTGCGACTAAATCAGCAGAGTTCACTGCTTTTGTTTTTCTGGGTTGAAGGCTCGTGAATATACGTGCATACTTATACTGTAGGCATGCTCTGTTTCGATTCTTCGACGACTCAGCATTGTGTTACTTCAGCTTTTTTGAAGCAGCAACGAACCAGCCTCTACATGTAGTGCGCAAACTTGTCACGACTTCATTCAGCGCCGTGAGTTTGGCTGATTAGACGATGGTATGCCGTAATTGCACACCTGGCACTCCTGTGTCCTCCAGTGATACGCCCCGTTGACCACGTCAAAGCCTACCGCAAACTCAGCACAATATCGATCGTAGAGCGCTTCCCACTCGCCGAACGTCACGATCTCGTACTGACGAGCTGGCGTGGAACCAAGACTACACGTCCAACAAAGAAAGATCAGTAAGTTCGAAAAGTATTAACTATACCCAGCCAGCAGGTACAACTTACGCTTGCGTAGCCTTGAGTGACTGCTCCAGAGAAAACCCCGACAAGAACATGGAGATGTAGGGCGGCACAATGGTCTTCTGGTGCGACAAGCATACAAGCTCAGCATTCAGCACTGGCCCTGGGGCGTCATCTCCCTGACTGCGAACAAATTTCCGCCATTTGTTCAGCCACTTCTTGGGTACCAGGAAGTACGTCGCGTACTTGCTTCTTCCACCCACGGACCAATGCGGTGCCAATTGCTGTCTCCTTCCTCCTGTCTCCACTGGTGAGAATAGTCCTTTCGGGAACCCGTTCTTCCTCTGTAGTAGCTCCAGCATGTCCTCAGACCCAGCAATTTCCGTGTCAAACCTCGCTCTCTTCTTCTCCTCGGCCTCCAGCTCCCTCGCCTCTTGCTCTAGTACACAAGTGTTGCAGTCACAACACGACCTCAAGCTGAAACCTTTAAGCTCCGGCGCGTAGACCGAAATCTCCCTGAACACGTCACCGCTGATAATAGCGCGTCGACTGCGACCCACGCACTGAGCAGCGGGAAGCAGCGCGTTGTGGGCGCACACGATCATGGCCCCAGCCTCGGTGAGAGATGAATTAGTCGCAAGCTTTAGCTTTTCGGAGACGATATTTTCCCTCTTTTTAGCGGCATTTTGCCGTCTCTGTTGTCTTTTAGTTCGGCGGAATTGCTGTAAGAATTGCTCGAAGGCTTGGCAGCGCTTTTTGAAGGCGCCAAGCCACGCGCGGCTCACGACAACGCAGCTGGGAGAGCATGAGGCCACGTCTTCGAAGGACCAGGAAGACGAGTGCGCCAGAAGCTCCTTGATGTGCAGCACTTCGACTCCACGTAGTACAGCGAGAGACCGAGGCCAATGGGATGATGAGGCATCTAGAAAGCTCGAGACGGACCCAAAGCGACGAGTGATGACACGCTCTAGGGCCAACTGGACGCATGGAGTTGACGGAGATAGGGACCGACACGTAGAGGTTACCTGGAGCACGTCTCGGGCGGACAGCAACGAGAAGAGGTGCGCCAACAGGCCCTCCGGCAGGTCATCCATTTTGTGTCCTGTAGTGATAGTGTGAATCCCGACCAAATTTGCCGTTTTGGTCCGATTCAGTGAGTAGCAGCTATTTTTACTACAATAGAAAGAGTTAAAAATAGTGCATTCAATTTCTTTTGCAAATTTTTAATGTTTGAGAAATGGTTTTGGCATAATTTTATAATCAATATTTTTAATGATCTACTGGGACCTGGTCACCACCTCCGTTGCATTCGGCTAGCAAGCGTTCAGGAGCCTTTGCATCACCCAGCATCGCTCTAAGCGTACGTACAAGATGTAGCATGTGCTCTGGCACACGGGGGTGTGCAGTCATGCTGTAAGGTGCTTCAGTCTGTGGAAGGGACGATAGCCCTTCATTATTTAAACAAAAAAGCAAACATAATATTTTAAGTTTTTTGGTTTTACGAGTAGAAAAGCTTTCTTGAAAAGCACTCTTTTAAAACGCTTTTTTCTTCTTTAAAATTAATTTTTAATATAATGAAAATTTACCCAGCACTTTCGCCTAGAGATGGCGGTAAGCTCGACGACGCAGTTGGCCTGTGTGGCTGACCGCTCGCCGGTTATGGTGACTCTAAGCTTTGACACTGTCATTGACAGGACCATTGCAGACAAAACATATCTGTGCCCGTGTATCGTCGTAAAAATCCGCCCAACACTGCTGCATGTTCTGGTTGCCAATAGCTTGTGGGTGCGTGGATCGCAATAATGGTGCTTAAGACCCGTACTGATGCTAACACGACCAAAATCTTTCAGTGTGTGGTCAGGTCCGAAGTTCCAATCACAGACGTCGCGGACTACGGCAGCCATCACTCGGAAGACGGTGAAGCTCGCCAGAAGATCCTCGTATCTGCCGCAGACGGAAACGTGTGGGTGGTGACTTTGCCTAGTCATTTGCAACCTATAGTGCGGACGGTGACACGCGAGTTGCTGCTAGAACGCTCGTCCAGTAATAGTGATGATGGAACGGTGCAATGGTTCTGCCAACTGCCTGGGGTGCAGTCCGTGGATCACAGTCCAGCAGGATCGGGGCAGTCGTCGCTTACACTGATGAGGAGCTTGGTGACGCCGTCCACTCTGATTGTAAGTACTCACAGGAGATCTGAGTCAACACTGCAGTCCCACCAGTCGCTGGAGCTGGATGAGATCGAAGGAGAACAGTCTACTTGCACATTTTGTTTGATTAGTCAGGTGACAAGTCATCGTGGGCTGTTGAGGGGGTTGTTTCCGGATGTGGTGATCAACGCGGGTGTGGTAGCTATTTTACAGGGAGATCTAGATGGTTCTGTGCGATTTATATTGGTACACTATCCGAACACGAAAGGAGATGGCACGAAGGCGTCTGTGGTTCGCAGCGGGAAACTACTCCGGTTGTGTGAACCGGTTCAGATGATCGTCCCGTTCTCATCATCAGTGCCACCTACGCACTCCTCGGAAGGAGAGAAGGAGAATGCTTCAACGGATATGTTTGATGCGCTGCTAGTGCTGGGAGCTCGAGGCAAGATTGGGGTTGTTGAATTGAAGAATAGTTGCTCGATGGAGCGCCTTCCTGTTTCAATTACAAGGCTGGAGCTTGGAAGCGCAGTGCAGTCGCTGGTTTTCATACGCAAGTTGGCAGTATTTGTATTCTGCTCGAGGGGTTCAGCGTTTGTGTGTCGAGGCGCCGATATACTTGCGAAATCTCACTTCGTAGAGTCAGAAGCAACCACTACTGTCAGGAATGGTTTTATTGTGTCTTCAGAGAAGCTACCTTTTCGACCGGTACGTGCCATCTACCTCACTGAGTTGAAACATGTGGTAACATGCCATACGTGAGATTTAGGGCATCATGCGGTTAGCAAGTCATGGCAGTGCAGGTGGTCTGTCGATTCTCTTCGCGTCAGGACGGATCGCAACTCTCGATAAGACAGCACTTCACACGACGGTAGCCAGCGTACTACCATTACTTGGACAAAAACCAAACTCAAGATGTGATGAGCAACCTGCTACAGGAGAATCAGCGAGTGAGTCTCGCGTTCGCAATATTTTGCATCGGATTGCTCAGATTTCCTCCCAGTCAAACGCTCTGCGCACCAAATCGAAGCAAATGGACTTTCAGCTCAAGACCTTGTATTCTGCTTTAGAAATGCTTCGAATAATTGAAGCTGCAGGTATGTAGGATCGGAGGTGATATTGTCTTGTGTGTGTCTCAACCGATGTCGTCCTTGCAGGTGTGGAGTCTGTGGTCAAATGCGACTTGAGAGCCTCGATGGTAATGACTGGAACGTTTTCGGATCGACAAACGGTTCAAATGGATTGCTCATTTTGTTTCGTGAATTCCGAAGCTATCATCTCACTTGACGACTGGTAGGTGGTTGTAATTGTTCATCATTCATTCACATGAACGTTCCTTACGAATCGCTAATTCGCGTAGGTGGTTGTGTCTGTACGTCCGTACTCATCAGCGTGCGGCCACAGCGTACTCATTTCCGCTCATGGATATCGCAGCGAGTGGGAAACAAAGTATCATCCTCGACCCAGATGCACTCACACATCAAGATCAGGGGGCTGTGTGGGTCTCATGCTCAATGACGTTTTGCCCTTCACTGCGTGAAACTTCCGAAAGTGAACGACCCCATTCGAATATCGAAGCACACGTTATTAATCAGGATGATCCATTGTCGTTCGCAATCCCGCTGTTTCAAGACAGAAGGTTCCTGTTCGTACAGCTGAGCCAGCCCATTGAGGAAGAGATTCCTGCTAGCCAAGCTGCTATCCACGCTGCTTTCCGTCAAAAGCAGGAGCCGTTCATGCCAGTGGGTAGAGCCACCAAAGAAGGAAAAGCGTGTTCGTCTGTTCTCTGGAGTGGTGTGCAATGGTGGGCTGCACTAGCTGACCATGCGCAGAGAAATCCTGCGTTCGAAGCTTTATGGTCAAAAATTGCGCCTTCAGATGCAGCACCTCTGGCCATAACTCCGCCATCTCGGTTTGTTATATCCATCCCTGCGTTCTTTGCCACCGAGTACGACGACGAAGATGACGAAGATGAGGATGAAGATTATGAAAAGGTTCGAGTCGAAAGGATGGCATCATTCCTGCGTCAGCTCCTGGAGATACCCAGCGACGAGGTTCCAAGATTGCGCCGTAGCTGCCGAACACAGCACGGGAAACTCTGGACGGTACTACGAGCCTTCTCTGGGAGTCTCATCCTCCTTCGTTTCACGCCGTCTGAAGACCAACAACGATCAGTTGAGCTTGCTATTCAGTGCTCCGACGTGGCCGACCTCTCCGCGGTAAGCATTTACCATTAGTCTAAACTCATTCTGGTGATACTTACGCTATCATACTGTACAGATGCGAGCTCTTGTGCTGGAGACGATCAACAAATGGAGTGAAGGAGGCTTTCGAGAAACTAACGAAGAAGTCCGCTCTGATGAGCTAGCGCTGGATTTTAGTGAGATGCTAGAACCTATTGCGGCTCTTGAGAATGATCTGGAGGTCTGTAGCTTATTGAGTGGCACTGGTGGCAGTTTATTAATTTTGCTTGTGTTGAGTCGTCTCCCAGGATCTGACTTTGAAGATTAAACATATAGAAGACTCAAACTCGTTTTGCTGTACGGATGAAGTTCTCCATGCGCTCTCGAAGCTGGCGCATCTGGAGACTCAAACTCTTACGCTATACTGGAAGACAAGATTGCATCTCAACAGGACCATCATGTAGAAAGTTGTTCATGATTTTGACGCGACAAGAACGATTAAAAAACTATTAGCCGCGTCAAATTAAAGAATGCGGCTTCCGTCGCAGTGATGCACTTTGGTTTATAGTTCTTCTGTGGGAAGATGCTGGTCACGCAACGACGCTTTCTCGGATGGTGACGACACGGAGTAGAGGCGCTACACAATATATAACGCATACGAAACTCAGCGATCTTGGCAGTATCATCGACGTCTAGTGCAGGTTTTCGTACCTCAAAGTAGCGTGGAGCTCGAGTCGGCCACAGCGTGTAGATGAGAGACAAATAGATGAAGCAGTGCACTGAGGTCGTCATGGCGGACACTGTCTTCTCACGTACCCACGGCGACAAAAAAGAAGCGACGAGCACGATGATAGGTAGCGCTACAAAATACACGGAGAACAAGCCACACATCTGAAAAGGTATGGGTGAGAACAGGAGTTCGAAAGCAAGTACTACTGGTTCCGGTACTTACTCGCAAGAAGAAATATCGCTTTGCCGACGCTTGCTCATAGGAGCGTGTTTCCAAAATGGTGTTGATAAACCACCCTAGCACGCACACTTGCAGCACGCAGATGCCAAGTCCCGGCCACGAGTCATAGATGTACAGTGTCGACGCTGGGTCGAGCCATACAAGATACCACATTGCCATGGACAGATACAGCACCAGAGTCGCCAGTATAAGACAAGAAAGCTTGATCTGGCCGTCCAGTGCCACGCTGTTGATAGTCCATCCTTTAGCGATCACCATGGCCAATAGTAAAGTGCCGACATGGACAAAGACCTCGGTAATCTTAGCCGCGTATTTAAAAAATGGCACCCCCAGACCATTAAACTCGTATGTGGTGAAGTGAATGAAGAGCAGCGCGTTGCACAGGAAGAAGAACAGCACTACTAGTGTCAAGATGCGCATGATTGGATGGAATGACTCGCTTTGTCTCATGCGTTGCACCGCCACAATTTGCGCTGCCGCTGCAGCCCCAGCCACTGCCGTCATAACGGCGTAGATAGTCGGCAGTCCTTGCTGTTGCACGGGAAGCTCACTTCCATCTCCCTGCGTCATGTGGATCCTGAACCATGAGGAGAAGTAGTATTTGCGGAAGTTGGTCTCTGTAATCTCTGCGAAGGCGGGTTTGTACTCGTCTCCCCCCGGTACGCACCGCGCAAGCGCCACATACCAAAATCTCGGTCGTAGGTGCTCATGGATATCTACGCTGAAGACGAACGGGGTCACGTGGTGACTATTAGTCGCAGTCACGTTATAGACGCCCTTGGTGTGTTGGGCAGAGACCTTGCAATTGCAGTCGCAAGAGCTGTCGGTCATGACGTAGTTCCAGAAGAGCGCTTCGTCGTCATAGATTGCGACCTGCAGTCCATCCACGTCCGTCTCGATCTCGCCCGTGATTCGCTTGTAGTAATATAAGAGAGGATTAGATTAAGCCTAGAAAAAATGGGAGATTCCACTAGGTTTTAGTCATACCCCGGCAACGTCGTTGAGTGTGGGCGTCCAGGAGAAGCAGAACTTGCCGATGTACTGGAGCTGCCGCCCCACGGTGTACCCCGCAATGATGCTGGCTCGGGACGCGGGCACCAGCGCCTCTAGGCTGAGTAGTAGCAACAGGAATCGCATCGTTCTTCTCGACCCAAATAATCTGACGATCTTCTATCGAAGCAACTTCAAGAAGGCGTTTGATTGGCTGATGACAAAAGCTGAACCGTTTTCGGTGTAGCCATGTTGCACCGCAACTGTTGCATTAATTTGTCTTGACTCAAGTTTCATCATGCGTCTCGCTTTCAAGACCAGCATAGGTGTGCTCTAGTGAGGCCTTTGCCAGCGCCACATGCATAATTTCTGGGTGGCGCTGCCGGATAGGATCAGAGAAAGCAGACAAGACGTGGGTTCGTGTTAGTTGGCATCATTAGTTGGTATTTGTCATAGAACACAAAGTTTGTGGCAGCGGCGAAGATGGGGCCCTGAGGTAAGTAAAGTTGCTGTTTACAGGCCGGAGGTTTCCGCGTCCGCTGCTGGAAGAAATTATGTCATCTTGCTAGCTCGGCAGGCTTTGCAGCCGTCAATATTATCGGGAGCAAGGGCTAGTTTTCTTTGAAGTCATTGAAGTAACGGGTACCAGCACCTTCGCGGTGTAAAAGTTGCGTTAGCGGAAACTAACTATCCATTCGACAGATGCGCTATCCAGCAAGGTAGCTTCGCGTGTTCATGTAAGTACATGAAGGTATGTGTGTGGCTTCAGCTCGCTGCCAGCGCACGGATATGTATTTAGCAACGTGAGTGTGTGTCGGTGGCATGAAGCGTCAAGGCTCGTCGCCTTATCGTCGGTCTCAGAGTCTTTCCCAGCATCTGTTTTCGAGGCTCTTCAGTAAGTGGTAAAAGAGTTCGGAAGGGGAAGGGGACGTTCATTCTCAAGGCAACTCCCGATTGGCAGCAATTGCAGGAGTCAGTTTCCGTTAGGTCCAGCGCTAAGTGAAGCAAGTCTTGCAGCGTCGAGTCGTGTCGGAAAATCTCGTCGTCGCGTATCGAGAGGCACACTGTCCAGAAGCCGCTCATATCGCGAACTTGCGCGCTACTACGAGAGGCCAAAGGAGACCAGCGAGGCTCTTCCTCTTCGTCTTATTCTCTCCCACGGGCTCCAGCTATTAGACACCGACGCCATCTAGTCAAGTTTTGGTTTCTTTTGCAGCATGACGGTGCGTCGCACGGAGGAGCTGCAGGAGTGGATCTGTAGCGTCACAGCCACAGCCAACGACCATGGCGAGCACCTTTCGGTGATGCTGCGCGACGGCCAGTTGCTGTGTCTGCTCGCCAACGGCGTGGACCCGACTGCGAATCTCAAGGTGAACAAGCTCAACACAGTTTTCCACTCAAAGGCCAACCTGCGCCTCTTCCTCGAGTGGTGCAAGAAGCAGGGTCTGAATGAGGGCGAGATTTTTCAACCAGACGACCTGCTGGACGCCGACGCGGACTTCAGTACTGTGCTTGAGACGCTCTCTATACTCTTCGACAGGTTTGGCACTATCGGCTACACGGGCGAATACGAAGAGGACCCAGTGTCTGATGCAGAGTCTATGACGTCCACAGGCAGCTCGCAGGGAACGTCGCCCGTCAAGAAAACGAACAGCAACAACAAACTTACGAGTTTCATGAAAGGAGGCTTTTTATCAAGAAAAAAGAAGTCAAGCAAGAAAGTGGTGGACAAATCCCCCGAGAGAACTCCCCCGTCGACGCCTCCACCAATGTCACCGCAGGTTGGAGGGGGAATGATGTCTCCGTCGGGCTCCCCGCCTTCGACGCCACCTCCGAAGGACACAAGGAGCAACAGTGGAGGTGCCAACGCCAACCGGTTGAACGCCTTCTTAAACCAAGTGCCCGCGTCACACGCGTCCCCGTTGACACATGCTGAGCGTCCGTCAGGTCCGCCCAAGAAGGCCAACACGGCGAGGAAGCCACCGGCACCAAAGCAGCCAACTGTCAGGAGACCGCCGTCACCCAAGCAGCCTCCCAAGTCGCAGCCTACTGTCGGTGACACCCGCAACAAGTTCGCGGCCTTTATGAAGTCCAACCCGCCTGCTGTCGAGACGACACCAGCCTCGGGCTCGTACACCGGGTCTGCAGGCAACAAACCACCTTCCCCACCCAAGTCTGCCCCTGTCCGAGGTCGTGACACGTCAAGCGACCAGTTCGCCCAACGTAAGGCGGTCTTCACTCAAGGCAATAGCAGTCCGAAGCCAGACAAGCCCGCACCTGCTCCGTCGAAGCCAACTGTCAGCACAGGAGGTGGGAACAAGCTTAACAACTTCATGAAGCAGCAACCGTCTGCTTCACCTGCTTCCTCGACGAAACCTCGTTCGCAGAGCAAGCTGGCGGCTTTCCTGGCGACGACGAACTCGGTTCCTTCTCTTGCGACGACACCTTCTGCCGCGCCACCAAAGCCGACGTTTGGTTCGTTCAACCCAACTAAGAACGCTCCGGCTGGTGGTCGATCAGCTCCCAAGTCAACGCACAGCGCCCCTACTCCTGCAGCACCGACGCCGTTCAAGCCACGTCACATGATAGAGCGCTCCACAGGTCGTGGCAACTACGTGCGTAAGCGTCAGACGTCCTGGGTGCCTCCTAAGCGTCGACGCAGCAACTTCAGCTTGGAGAAGAAGCGAAAGTCGTTCATGCAAGAGCAGTTGGAGATTAAGGAGGAACAACTCCGTCAGCAGGCTGCAGGTGCCAGCAACAAGCAGAATTTGATCGTGCCAGGTGTGCAATGCTACATTCCTGACAAGGAGGAAGTGTGGCTGCTCTCCGAGATTGTGAACTACAACGATCGTCGAAAAGAAGTTACGATAACGGCTTTCTTGGACTCGGGTGATTCAGAGCAGCGCGTTGTGGATCTCAAGAACCCGGACGTCATTCGCGCGGTTGCTGGCCCGACAGCCACCGAGGTGGAGTCACTGCCGGTTGCAATTCTTCACGATAACCCGGAAGGTGTGGAGGACATGCGTCTGCTCCGATACTTGAACGAACCTTCGATTTTGTTCAACTTGAAGCAGCGTTTCGCCGCCTCCAAGCCTTACACGTACACTAACGACATTGTGATCGCTGTCAACCCGTACAAGTGGATCGATAACCTCTACGGTGACCATCTGCATGAGCAGTACCTGAAGAAGCCGCGCGACTCGCTGCCTCCACACGTGTACTCAACGTCGACTGCTGCCTACAACCACATGAAGACGAACGAAATTAACCAGAGCATTCTGGTAAGTGGAGAGTCAGGTGCCGGTAAGACCGAAACGACCAAGATTGTGATGAACCACTTGGCCAGTGTGGCTGGTGGTCGCAAGGACAAGACTATTGCAAAGGTCATTGACGTGAACCCTCTGTTGGAGTCTTTCGGTAACGCCAAGACGACACGGAATGACAACAGCTCGCGTTTTGGTAAATTCACGCAGCTCCAGTTCGACGGTCGAGGAAAACTGATCGGTGCTAAGTGCGAAACGTACTTGTTGGAGAAATCGCGTGTGGTGTCGATCGCCGAGGGAGAGCGCAACTACCACATTTTCTATCAGCTTCTGGCGGGTCTGCCCAGTCGCGAGCGCAAGGAATTTGGTCTGGATCCTGACTGTCAATACCAATACGCTGGTTCTCTTGCGGAGATGCAGATCCCTGGTCTGGATGACGCGAAGTGGTTTGCAAGCACGCAGAAGTCGCTGTCCATCATTGGACTGGACGGTAGTGCACAAAAGACGCTGTTCAAGATCCTGGCGGGTGTGCTGCTGCTTGGTGAGGTCATGTTCGACAAGAGTGGGGAGAACGGATCGCGCATTTCAAGCGGTTCGGCGCTGTCCCAGGTAGCTAAGATGTTCGGTCTCCCTACGACCAGAATCGAGGAAGCACTTTGCAACCGTACAGTTATCACTCGCAACGACAGTGTGACGGTGCCGTTGGCTCCTGTGGAGGCAGCTGAGAACCGTGATGCGCTGGCTAAGACGATTTACTCCAAATTGTTCGACTGGATGGTGGTGAAGATCAACGCTGCTATTAGCACGGACGAGAGTCGCATCAAGGGCCAGATCGGTGTGCTGGATATCTTTGGTTTTGAGGATTTCGTCCACAATGGCTTTGAACAGTTCTGCATCAACTACGCGAACGAGAAGTTGCAGCAGAAGTTCACCACCGATGTGTTCAAGACTGTGGAGGACGAGTACATCCGCGAAGGGTTGCAGTGGGATCACATTAAGTACCAGGACAACCAGGGCATTGTCGAAGTGATTGAAGGTAAGATGGGTATCATTGCTCTGATGAACGATCATCTTCGTCAGCCTCGTGACACGGAAGAAGCTCTGGTAAACAAGATACGCACGAACCACCAGACCAAGAAGGGCGGCGGCGTGAACGAGAGTATCGACTTCCCCAAGGTCAAGCGTACGCAGTTCATCATTAACCACTACGCTGGCCCCGTCACGTACGAGACTGTGGGATTCATGGAGAAACACCGCGATACACTACAGAAGGACCTGCTTGATTTGATCCAGCTCAGTAGTCTGTCACTGCTTCCAGAGCTCTTTGAAGACGCTGAGGCAACGTCGGAGGGCGTCAGTGGACGTGGCAAGAAGGCTCCGAAGAGTCTTGGCTCTCAGTTTAAGACATCACTGACGCAGTTGATGGACAACATCAAGACCACCAACTCGCACTACGTACGTTGCATCAAACCCAACTCGAACAAGAGTCCGACAGAGTTCAACAAGCGCATGATCGTGGAGCAATTGCGATCGGCCGGCGTGATCGAAGCCATTCGTATCACACGCTCTGGATACCCGAGTCGTCTGACCCCGAAGGAACTTGCTACGCGCTACGCTATCATGTTCCCGCCGTCCATGCACAGCAAGGATGTCCGTCGTACGTGCAGTGTTTTCATGACATCGATCGGTCGGAAATCGCCACTGGAGTACCAGATGGGTAAGACGCTGATCTACTTTAAGAACGGTGTCATGGAAGAGCTGGAGGCCATGAAGTCCGATTTCATGTACTACGAAGCACGCACCATCCAGCGTATCGTGTTCGGCTTCTTGGAACGTCGTCGTCTGCGTAACAAGATCCGTGCTGCTATCGTATTGCAGTCGTACGCACGTATGTCGTTGGACTTCAAGGAGTATCACTTCCAGCGTCGTGCGATCATCAAGATCCAGCGTGGCTGGAAACAATACAAATCCATCCCCATTGAGCCCCAGTACGACGAGGATTACAACGACGATGGTCAATGGGTGGACGAGGCCGATGACATCGACGACTTGGATGCTGACGAGGGCTTTGGCGATGACCCGGCATCGATCCGCGCAGGGCGTGGCCGGTCAATTGCGGACAGGATGGAGTCGTTCAAGGTGGCTCACTCGGGTCGTCGTGGCAGCGTGAAGCGTTTGAACGAGCTGTCGGCGCGCGCCAAGAGCTTCATGAAGCCACGAAGCGGCAGTGGCAGCACTTCGAGCTCGAGTGGCATCTCGTTGGAGGATGAGAACTCGATGCTCAAGATCGAGAACCGCAACCTGAAGTACGATCTGGAACTGATGCGTGAGCAGTGCATCGAGCTACAAGCCATCATCCTCGAGATCAACAAGAGCCGCAAGAGGTAAATCGAACTATCCCTCGCTGCGAGATGTGCATAAAGTCGAAGTCCGCAGCCAGGTGACAAACCAGTTTTAAGTAAACGCCTCAAGGCGTATATCTGTAGCGAAAGACCAGAACAGTTTTCTCGTTCAACATGTGAAGACATTGAGTAGTTTTCATTAGTTGTTGCTGTTGTTCTGGCCTTGACATCGCAGTCATATTTTTTCTTGCTCTCAGCGGGAGAGAACATTCGGATCGTGCAACGCTGATGCGCCGTGCTATCCAGATGGATATCATTCTCTCTCTTGTGAGTCACGGGCGACATGAAGATTGTGTGTGGCTTGGGGCAGCATCCCATCGGAGTTTCGTGCGTGCTTTGACTTACTAGGGAGCGAAGGTTCGAGTTTTTCGAATCGGAGTGGTCAGGAGAGCTCGCGGCACTGCCGATAAATCGGTGTAGATGGCATTACTGATGCCCGACATCAATCTCCGTCGTGCCAAGGTCCACCTTGAGGTTTGTGCTTGATGCATTCTTCGTTTTCATCTATCGAGTCTGCACTCGAAGAGCATTCCTATTCCATGACGTTGACCAGTGGATTGTATTGTTGGCCGTAGCGCTACTGGCGCCAATTGCTTGGCGGAGACCGGCCAGAAGAGCTTCGGCGTTTGATATTTCGATCCAAGGCCGTTGCGAAAGTCAGCCAAGATGCACAGCCAGCAAATGTAAATCCCGTCGGTTCCGTCGCGGTCGCTCCACGGATTCAAAATCTAGAGCTCGACCCGGAAATGGAGGTCCCCATTGCTACCGTCAAAGAAATTAACCGCGATTCCCATGACAAGCGCTGCGTCGAAACAGATTGTGGATCTCTATCGGTGGCACAAAGCGCGAGTTGCAATCAGAAGACGGAGACTGAAGCTGCTGGCGACGGCAAAGAGAAAGACGGGGACCAGCACAACGAGTTGAATCAAGTGTCTGCTGTCGAGAATGCAACTACAGACGATAATTCAGAGTGTAATCAATCTGCTACCTCCGAAAGCGCTGACGAATTTCTGAAGTCAGGATCGGAGCAACCTCCATCGTCGACGAGCACAACTGGAACATCATCATCCGTGAGCTCCATATTCAGTGTGTCAACGTCTGATAGTAAGTCCAGTTGTGCTGGTAAGCCGCCACTATCGCTTGTTCGTGCGAGCAAAGACAACCGGCCAAGTTCTTCTCCGGAAAAGATGCGCCAGTCCAAGTATATTTCGCGCATCCAAGGTCAGTTTGGGGCTATCTCTTTGCTGATTGTGCCTAGCTGTTGACTCATTTTGCCGTTCATTTCTTGCGCACAGGTCCGACGCTGGGCTCTATCTTGCAGCGTATCCATCTCAACGATGGTGATGTTAGTGAGCTGGACTTCTCTACTCTCGCGCAGCGCAACAAACGGCTGGAAGCTGAAGGGTGCGCTCTTGTGGCACGTTCTCTATCCACTAACCACACCGTACGCAAGCTTATAATTCGGGACCATGCCATCGGAGACGATGGAGCTGTTGCTCTATCAAAAATGCTGTGCAACAACACGACGCTGGAATGCCTGGATCTATATGGCAACAACATCGGTGATCGGGGAGCTGAAGCATTGGCACAAGCATTGTACGGACACGACTCGCTGAGGCGTTTGTGCCTGAGAAGTAACGCGATAACGGATCGTGGCACTGCAGCGCTAGCTCAAGCCATTCGTTGCAACTGCACACTCAAGTCTCTAGATCTGGTTCACAACCGAATTACAAAAGCTGGAGCTCACGCGCTACTTGACGCTTTGGACGTCAACATTCATTTGGAAACGTTGACTCTGGATGCAAACGATGTACCAGCATTTGCTGCAAGTCAGCTTGCATCAGCACTGGCACGCAATCGTGCTGAGTCTTTAATGATGGAGTCGCATGCCGCAGAGAAGCAGGCTGTGAAAATTGTACGTAGGGCCAGCGGCTTGGATACCGAAGATGAAGATGATAGTGACAGTGGGAAGGAGGAGAACTGGATGGAGCAAATTTGGGAAGATGACGACGGTGATAGTGTGTCGAGTGGCTTCCTGAGTTGCTCAGGTGTCACGGACGTTCCGTTGAGCAGCAGCGGCTTGTGGATCTAAGAAATGTAGTATTTTCTACACGTCTAACGTAATAAACTCAACTCAACCCAAAACTTTGACAACATTAACACCTTGCGTCCGGACGGTACTTGCCCAGAACGCGTAAGCGCACGTCGTAAGATACGGTATATCAATGTTACTACGTATTTGTATGGGTGCACTTTTTGACGTGAGGTTAGGTGCATTAATTTTCAACAGGTTTTTCTTTCAAAGTCGTAACTCTGACGGGATTCAGCGACAGTATTGCCTGCTCAATGTCGTAACTGACTGCAAGTGCAGTCAACAGATGGCTAAATTGCTTCACAGGCAGTCCACTTAAATCAAGAAACGCAAGGACGAAGGTACGATGGTTCAAGAAGCTGTGTATTTGAAACAAATCACTAATCAACTGACACGCAACCAAGCTCACTCGTCATCACTACCATTCTCGTTGTCACCACCGTTGCCGTCGTCGCTGCCAGCATCGTGCCCAAGTCTAAGCTCCCGTCGCGTCTTCTTTCTTTGGCCAGCTTTCTGGCCGGGCCGACAAAGCACAATGCGCTTCCCTAAGTTTGGTGGGATAGCTTGCCCGGCGTCGAAGTCATCATGCCAGATATCATAGCATGTCTTCGCAACGCCCTTGTATTCCCGTCGAATACGGTTGCACAACCAGCATTTCGCATTATCAACGGAGCAGCGTTCGCAAAAGAACGTTGTTGCGAAGGACTTCTTCTTTTCAGTACGCAAGAGCGCGCAGACCTTGCACGATCTCTGCCGGCGTTTCTGGACCCCAGTAACGGTAACCCAATCTTCAGACTGCTGCAGCGCGTGCGTGAGGCGTACTGGGGTGCGCTGGCGCTTTTGGCTCGCAGGAGGCGGTGTTGCCTCCACTCCAGCAAAATCTTCGGCTTTGAGTTGGAGAAGTTGATTTTGAAGGACGCAAAACCACTCTGAGCGCTTCATAGCAGCCATCCCCTTGATCTTGGCCCCCTCTTTGTGCGTAAGATACGCATTTACCATGACCATGTCCAGCAAACCTAAGAATAGGCTCTTATAATATTTCGTGAACCTCGTCGACATTTGCAGTGAATACGACTGGAGACGGAGTTGATCGTGGACATCAACTCCGCTCATCCAGTTCTGGTAGTCATTTACAGCAGAGGGGCACGGCACTCGAACCGCACCGATACGTTTTATTTTTCGCTCAATTGTCGACGCCGCCATAATGGAGCCCGTACAGAGATAATAGACGGGCTTCCGGTCCCACCAAACACAGGAAATCATGGTCGGGATGGCGATAGAGCGAGAGAACGAGAATGTACCGTGGGGTATGCTCACTGGGCGTGTCTTGCTCGTAGCCCTGAGATTCGGGTTGAATCCAAGCCGGTTAGTCATGATCGTGCCAATAACATACACCTTCATACTCAGGAGCTCAATCGCAAGGAGCACGGACGAGTAGTAGCGATCGATTACGACGGTATGCCACTTGTGACGAGACTGGGCGAGAACAATCTTCAAATTCCGGACCACGGCTGCAGCTCCAGTCTTAAAGTCAACTGAGGTGTCAGGTCCACCAGCAGATGCACGCTTACCCACATAAACTTCGAACCTAGATAGTTACGACATCCACTGTTGTCAGGCAAACACAAAGTAGATAGTTACGACATACAAATTTTAAACGTACCATTGGCAGTATGCCGTCTGCGCGTCACAGACCATAAATAGTTTGGACCCGTAGCGGTGAGGCTTGTCGGCCATGAACATCCGGGTCGTGTTCCGCTTCGACGTGAACGGCAGTATACCCTCATCAAACGAAAAAATAGCAGAAAGAGACCACCCCAGCAAAAAGCGCTCTTGGACCTTGTCAACAACGGGGCGAAGTTTCCAGAGTTTATCGTTACCGTGGTCAATCGTGTTGTCTACGAAGTGCAAGTCTCGCATGATACTCTGGCACCTGTCACGCGTCATGAACCGCCCGAAAAGACCGGCGGGAACAGCACCGTCTTCCACCATACTCCAGTGCGCACCAAATCGTTTCTTTTGAGGGCAGAGCATCCGTGCAACGAGGAGTCCAACAACGTGAAGAATCTCGTGTGTAGAGTATGCTGCCTTAGCCTTCAAACGACGTGTAATCTGCTTGATAGTTTCACGCCGAAGGTCAGTCTGCCGTGCCTGAATGTTACGGGCGCGCTTGCCAGCTTGCTGTAGACCATATCGGTTCGTTTCAGCCGCGATAGAAACCCACAGAGATTTCGGCATGAAATAAAAGAAGGTGAGGATTGGCGATCTCCATAATTGCAGCAGGTCGGGCACAGGCCTTGCTTCTTCGGTGCCAAGTCCAGGGTACGCAGCAGCATCTGTCTCGTACTCCGAAGACACTGGCGTCCACTGCATTCCTCGTAGTGTCTGCTCTCTCTCCGTTGCAGCGGTTCTGCTAAGTGCGTTATTGCCCACCTGTAGTGCCGCAATGAAAGCCTTGTCCATTTCAACTGCGTCACTGTCGGACAGGACGTCGTCATCTTCCTCGGACATCCCGGCTCCGGAATCGCTGTTAATATCACTCATGCCGTCGTCGTCGCTATCACCCGAGCTGTAGTTCTCGTAGTCACTCGGCTTCTCCCCATCCAGCAAAACATTCACGTCCTCTTTGCCTGATAACGGCGTAAGTGTCCGTCGTCGAGGTTGAGACGCAGCGGCTTCTTCTTCGTCTACATCACCCTCGCTCTCTAATCCAGAAGCCTCCGAAAGTAAATGCAGTCCAGCAGCGGCCTCGCGGGCACCGCCGTCTTGTAGATCTCCTGAGGATAGATTGAATGCTCTGCTCACTGCAGTCTGCGACAGCTCGATGTCATCATCACTTGGGGTGCCGAACATTCGATCAATGGTATGCTGCGAAAGAAGGACACTCGTGTCGATCTGGGAAGGCCGAACGACGTCTTCCCCCTCGTGTTGTTGCTCTTCACCACTACTACCAGCTCCTGCTTGGTCTAGTTCCCCACCTTCTTCATCTCGGACTTGAGCATCAGCATCCGCCTCTTCCACCAAGCCACTGTCGAACGCGTAGTCCACGACTGATTTCTCCCCCACGAAGACGTGCGTGTTGTCAGGACTCGAGTAGATCCACTCAGTCTGGAGGCCACTCGGACGCTTGGACTTCCACCCCGCCGCCCGAAGCTGCCGCCATAAGTGGCCAAAGTCAATATCGTGTGTAGCGGCAGCCGGCACGGCGGGCTTCTCGCGTCGACTATTCCGTATGCGCACCATCCAGCAAATTGTCGAATGAGTGGCTGTTCACGACGTGGCTGATCCCCTTCCCCTGGCCTGGTTTTGACTTGTAGCAAAATGACCTCTCGCAGATTATATTTTTGTGGTAACTTGATTAAAGTATTGAAAAAACTTTTCCGAGCCATTTGCTAATGACCTTCGTGCAATGTCGTAATATACGACGTAGCAAAAATAATATGTCGTCTTATACGACGTTCGTAAGCAAGGTGTTAATGCCACCTTGTTTCCAGGCAATCAGTTTGGAGGATTCATCAGAAAAAGAAAGCTAATGGCGGTTCCTGCTAACCCATACCCATTTTTGTCATCGAAGATGAAGTGGCCATCAGTAGTACAACACCTCGCAGCATGGACCTGAGATTAGAGTGATCGATCTATGTTGGAAAATAAAATTGATGGCTTCGGTTTTGTGTGGAAACCTAGATTGCATTTTGAGAGCTGTTTAGATGCCCCCACCCCACCCCCTTTTACCGCTTTTTCAGCAGAAGAAATTTGTAGTGATCCCATCGATGTCATCATCCAGTATTTCGCGGTATTTGAGATCTGCCACCTTCGTCTCCATTCTGCCAACCGAATATGGATGCGCTTGAGCCTTCATTGGTGTGTACGCTGAAGGTGTTCCTGGATACTGACAACCCCACATCTCACGATAGTTTTCCTTCAACTGATTGTTCAGCTCCCAGTCAATTTTGTCTTCGGCAGGAAGAGCATCGTACAGTCCGAGATGCTTCAGCGATTCATCGTACCAGTCGCTCTTCTTTGTCGGTAACCTAATAAGAGGAGAGAAGAAATCTTGAATATGACGTGCTGGTTTCTCTGGTTCACGACATCTCACACCGGTTTCCGGTGAGCCTGAGTTGCAAGGCAGATCATTATACGTCAGTCGCTTCAAGCCCGTCTTGCTGCTAGTGTCGGCTGGGTGAATGGCCACCGGTGAGAACACCGGCGAGTTGACCGAAGCTGCTTCACCGAGAAGATTTTGCCAGTAAGTCAACGGAGGAGAAACCAAGTGGGTTCCCAGAACTTCGAGCTTTGGACTCTTGAGGTCACACAAGCTGGCCACCATATCACCAAACATCGATTCGTCGTTGGCGTCGTCATTCCACTGCTCCACGGAGTCAGGTGCACCAAACAGGATCCTAGGGTCTGTGAAGATGTCATAGTTGAATCGGACATACTTTCGTAAGCCTTTGTCCATAGGCTCGGAGGACCGTACTGACGACGTCGCTATCAGGTTGCAGCTCACCAGGACGGATACCACGTCGTACACGCGGCGGTGCACGTCCCGGTAAGGCGCCTCTACTGATGAACTTGGCAATAAGGTACCAATAAACTGCTTCGCTTCACCCAGGCGGGCACTTAAGGTGGGTAATCTCACCTCAGTTTGGTAGTCTTGTTGAAACAGCAGGCCCAGGAAGCAGACTGTCATATTCACTAAGCACGGCCACTTGCCTGCAGCTGCCTGGTCCTCGAACACTCTGATGAGAGCACTGTCTTCTTCCACGAGGCTGATCCGCTTTGAGAGACGAGATTTTCGGAAATTCGTCATCACTTGAGCCGAGTTGCTCTTCATCTCCGCCAGATGCTGCACCACCGTAGTCCTCCCGTAGTACAAGAAGTAGCCTCCGTTTGTCCTGCGCCTCTCGTCGTATCGAACACGCTTGATGACCTTAATTCCTGCAGTCGCAAACACTCTCATTTCCGAGTTTCCCTTCACAAAAGCCAACAGAAATCATACCTTCCAGCACGTGCAGTACGTCGTAGATACGTCTCTTCCTCGGCACTACGTAGCGATCATCAGGACAGACATCTCCAGGACGAAATGTACACGTCCTACCCTTCATCGTATAGATTTCGCTGGACGGGACGAAGATAGGGAACACGGGCGAGGTGCCCTGCAAGTGCTCGTGCTCGGTGAGGAACTGCAACACAATTCGCGTTCTGGTGGGTGCCACCGTTCCACGTCAGCTGTATTGCCCTCGTACGGGAACCTCTTGAAAACGTACATTTCCCCTAGACTCTTGGCAGCGGCGAATTGCTCTTGGATATTGCTCCACGTGGCTGCTGGGAGACCGTTCTCGTGTCGTGTGGGCGCTGGACTGACACGACGAGGGCGTGGCTGGCGCTTTCGTCGCTTTATAGGCCGCTCGGGAGCACGCTCAATCTTGACGGGCACCTCTGAGGCGGCGTCTTTGATGGGGGCGAAGCGTAGTTTGCGTCGGTGAGCGCGGTGAGTCTTCATCGGCCTGTGCTTGAGCCGGCAGATTCGAAAGTGAGGCGGAAAGAAGGTATCCACAGTTGAAGTGGACCATCACTCTGCACCGTGTCGAGCTTGACAAGTTGAAGTGCGCCTTAGTGAAAAGGCAACTTTGGCAATTTTGCGTCTCTTTACGAAAGTCGAGTGATGAAAAGTTTTTAGTAAAAGCAGACGCGTCTTTCTTGCATGTTGCAATCTTTCTTGAAAAGCACATGAGTATTATAAAGCACCTCAACAACTCAAGTTAAAAGAGAAGGAGGTAAAAATAGTGGGTTTCCGCAGCGCGAAACTCCTCCACCTGCATCTCACGATGCTCGTTCTGATCTATTCAAAGTGGTGGACCGTTATTTTGCACCGAGCCACTAGGCGTTGCCGGTTCCCCAGGACTCAGCTCTCCCAATCTCTCGCTCTCATCCCTAGCCTCTGATCGTGACTGTGCCATGGGCGAAGGAACGGCGGGACATGCCGGAGACTTCCGTGTGGTTCATCTAAACGATGCACACCGCAATACCGAGGCCGGCTACTGCAACAACTTCATCATCACGTCCAAATACACGATAGCGAGTTTCCTGCCCAAGTTCCTTTTTGAAAGCTTTCGTAAACTTTCCAACCTCTACTTCTTGATCATCTGCATCCTGCAGTGCATTCCGGATATCAGTAACACGAACGGAAGTCCTTCGACTTTACCCCCGCTTGTTTTCATTATCACGGTTGACGGCGTTTTCGCCATACTCGAAGACCATAAACGCCACCAGGCCGACAATATTGCCAATGCAAGTCCGACCCTCGTGCTTGACCGTGAAGCGAGGAAATTTAAGCAAGTCACGTGGGCCGACGTTGTGGTAGGCGACATTTTAAAAGTTACAAACCGTGGACTGGTACCAGCAGACATGCTTGTGTTGGCTGTAAGTGAAGTTCCGAACCAGCCGCCGTGCGGGATTTGCTATGTTGAAACCAAGTCTTTGGATGGAGAAACGAATATGAAAGTCCGATCTGCCATGGAATGCACACTTGCAGACATGGGTTCAGATGAAAATTTGCTAAGAATGAAAGGTGTCATTCGGTGCGAACGCCCCAACAATGCCATCAACAGTTTTCAAGGTGTGCTCGAACTGGAGGGAAGAGAAAAGGCTTCCATTCCGTATGAAAGTATTATCCTACGTGGATGTATCATCCGCAACACCGAATGGGTGCACGGTGTGGTGTTTAATACTGGCAAGGACACGAAGATCATGATGAGTAACTCAGCTCCACCATCAAAAATGAGCTCAATGGACCGGTCTATCAACCAGTATACAGTCGTGTTGTTGGCAATTTTGGTCGTCTTCAGCGCTGTTGGTGCTACAGGAGCCGTGGCATGGAAGACAAACCATGACTCGTTGTGGTACCTAAAGCAAACAGTATCCGACAACAGCGCCATTGTAGACTGGATCATCATGTGGTTCTACTATTTGCTACTCATGTACCAGTTCGTTCCTATTTCGCTAGCTGTATCCATGAGTATGGTAAAGTATATCCAAGCGCAGTTTATCCAATGGGACATCAATATTTACCACCCGGACACGGACACGCCAACACTGGTTCGCTCCATGTCTTTAAACGAGGAGCTTGGGCAGATTTCATACATTTTTTCGGATAAAACTGGTACTCTCACCTGCAACGTTATGGAGTTTCGAAAATGTTCTATTGGCGGTGTTTCATACGGCAACGGAACAACGGAAATTGGCTTAGCAGCTCTTCGACGTGCTGGTAAACCTCTTCCAGACATGACTTTTCAATCCAAGGGGCCTAAAGTCCCTTATGTGAACTTCGACGGTCCAGAGTTGCTTAACGACATGAAAGGGAACTCGGGGTCTGTTCAACAAGGTCGCATCGATGCGTTTTTCACTCACCTCGCGGTGTGCCACACCGTCATCCCGGAACGCCATGAGAATTCATCCGAAATCACACTTTCGGCTTCCTCCCCTGATGAGCAGGCATTGGTGGCAGGTGCAGGTTACTTTGGATATGAGTTTGTGAATCGATCTCCTGGAGTTGCCCACGTCAAAGTTCGAGGAACAGTTCAAAAATACGAAATGCTGGATGTACTCGAATTCAACAGTACTCGAAAGCGAATGAGCACAATAATTCGCCACCCGAACGGCAGGATCTTCTTGTACTCGAAAGGCGCAGATGTGATTATTTATGGACTGCTCGAGAAAGACAGCGAGGAAGAATCGACTTCTTCGCAGCTCCAGGAGATCACCCGGCGTCACATCGACCAGTACGCTGAAGATGGGCTTCGCACTCTCACGATTGCAGTTCGTGAGATCGATTCTTCGTATTATTCGGAATGGGCAACACGTTTTCACGACGCTCAAAACAACTTGAATGAAATCGACAAGCGCAAAAAGGACCTTCCAAACGAGATTGACGCGTGTATGAACGAGATCGAGTGCGACTTGGAGCTACTTGGGGCAACTGCAATCGAAGACAAACTGCAATCTGGTGTCCCTGACGCGATTGCCAATTTGGCCTGCGCGGGGATCAAGATCTGGGTGCTTACTGGCGACAAGGAGGAGACTGCCATCAACATTGGCTTCGCTTGTCAACTGGTTACGAACGAAATGAAGCTTTTCGTTATCAACTCCAAGAATGCACCGACCTCTGAGATTCTCGAAAGTACTCTGAGAGATGAAATCGGAGTCCGCAATGGAGATGTCACGGTCTACCTGGCTTCACCACCGAGCACCAGAGGTGAACTACGGGATTTGGCTCTTGTTATTGACGGCGAAACACTCATTTTCGCTCTCCATGGATCATGTCGCTCCCTTCTAGCTGAGTTCTCTCAGTACTGCAAAGCTGTTATCGCATGTCGAGTGTCACCCGCTCAGAAAGCTGAAATGGTTGCCCTGATCAAGGAATATGTGCCTGGTGTTCGAACTCTTGCTATCGGGGATGGAGCTAACGACGTGTCCATGATCCAAGAAGCTCATATTGGTGTGGGTATATCAGGACAGGAAGGTATGCAAGCGGTGAACTCGAGTGACTACGCGATTGCGCAATTTCGCTACTTGCAGCGTCTGCTGCTCGTACACGGTCGCTGGAACTACCGACGCATGGCTCAGCTGGTGTTGTACATTTTTTATAAGAACATTCTCTTCACCGCAGCTCAGTACTGGTATACGCTCTTGTGTGGATTTTCCGGGCAGAAATTCTTCTTGGAGAGCGGCACCCAACTGTACAATATTTGTCTTACTTCGATCCCGATCGTCGCAGCTTCCATCTTGGATCAAGATGTCAGCGATGAGGTAGCCATGACGTTTCCTAAGCTCTACTTCACGGGACCTCGCGATGAAGACATCAACACTCGCGTTTTCTCGCTGTGGGTTGTGGGTGCGATTGTGGAAAGTGTCATCATCACGTTTATCACGCTTCACAGCTTGCAAAGCGCCGGGTATGGCGGAGCGAGTCCGACGATGTGGCTGGAAGGCTTCCTGGTCTTCACCCTAGTCGTGTCTATCGCCAATTCCAAGCTGTTCATGTTCCAGAATAGTTTCCATTGCTTCAACTACGTCCTCTACCTTGGATCGGTGTTGATGTGGCTACTGGTCGCCTTGGTGTGTAGTCACATTTACTTCCTCTCGGATCTCACGTGGGAGTTTATGTTGGAGCAAGCGTTCGTGCTTCCATCCTTCTGGCTAATTTATCTGTTCGTTCCGGTGGCTGCGCTCTCGTACGCACATCTTCTCAACGGTATCAAGTCGACGTTCTTCCCAGAGTACTGGCACCTCGCAAAGGAGGTCATCAAGTTCAATCTTGATCGCAAACTTCTGCAGTGGAATGACAATAGCGACGCGTCCGTGGCAGTTCCCGCTCGACTACCTCATGGGAAAAGATCCGGCAAGAAAGCTGGTTCCATTATTCCAACCAACGTCCGAACCCAGCAGCACAGGACAACGCTACAGAAGGCATATCATGGGTTTGCCTTCTCCAAAGATGGGTACGCCGGGGCCACAGAGACTCGGTTACTCATGAGTCGACGCTCCATCACAAGTGCAATAGAGTGAGTGAGTTTAAGGTTAGGCCCTAGCTGAATTTTCACATATACATGACAAGTTATGAACATGCTACTTATTCCAATTCACACAATTGTTCACTTAGTAGCGAGTCGTAGGGGCGGGGCAGGTACAGCGTTTCCTCTCTCCGCGTACCCGATATGGGATCGTATTCTTGAGTTTGGAGGCGAGAAGAACAGCAGTTCATCAATCACTCGGGGCCTTCCCTCAAGTGTCATAGCTGCGTCAGGTCGAAAGGCAACAGCTTGGCGAAGAAATAGCCTAGTAGTATGACACACCTCGGTACATCAGCATCTAGATCAGCAGTATAGTAGCCGAAATACTGGATTACACGCACCTGGCGGCGATTCCTTCCAGTCTCACGCTCCGTTCCACCTCCGAAGTGCGTTCCTCTTGTCGTTTGGTCTTTGCACTCTGGTATTTTTCTATTAGCTGGCGCTTTTCCTCTTCAGTCGCATTTGCCAGTTGAAAAGCGAGGTGTTGGGGGCTACAATGAGTTAGCCGCGCCAAGCTACGCAGATTTCTTGCAAAACGAAGTCGCTTCACAGTGCTGATGATTTTTGCGTCGTGTTCCAATTGTTCTTGGCGCCTAAGCTCTTTCAGTCTCGCGGCTTCAGATGCTTGGTGCGCCGCTACAATATCGTCATCCACATTTGATACAGTAGCGGCCACTCGCCTTGCACGATTCTTCTTGCTTGTACGCCGCACCACCAGCCGCTCATACAGGCGGTTGAAGTCGTCGGCCATTTTCCAAATCTCACATTTTTTACTTCGAAGTATTTTATCAAAAATTACACGCAACATTACTTTTGGGAAGAGGTGTAAAGTTGCACGTAGACGAGCTGCAACCACCAACAAGGACATGTTGCGCGTGCCCAGCTTGCTCCGAGGCCTAACTGCTGCACCGCTACGGCGCGGCACCTTTCTCAAACGCTCTTCAGTGCGCGCGCTCAGCGCTCAAGGTGGTGACGGCGACGACGATGATAATGGCCTGGAGCTGGAGGACCTGGAGCTGGATTGGGACGAATTGGACGATTTGGAGGACGACTGGGCGCTGGATGACGAAGGAGACATAGCGTCTGCAGGTCGCCGCAAGGTGGAGGAACATGTTAAGCAGAAGGTAAGTGTGCGACGTGCAAAGCACTCGAAGCGCCGCTTCGTGGACCGTATCCGCGTCAAGGCCACGGGCGGCCACGGTGGCAACGGCTGCGCCAGCTTCTTCTCCGAGTCGGCCATGCGCAAACGCCCTAATGGTGGGCATGGAGGCGCAGGAGGTGACGTGGTGATCGAAGCCAGTGATAAGATGCAGAACCTGGCAAGCGCCACGCACCACTTCAAGGGCGGAGCAGGCACCAACGGCATGCGTACGTCGTACAATGAAATGGGGAGGAGTGCAATGCTTCTAGTGAGCTGACTGTTGCTTTATGGCTGCAGCAAACGATTCCGCGGGTAGGAGAGGGAAGCATTGTCATGTTAAGGTGCCTTGTGGCACCCTCGTCAAGCGTGTGGAGCGCTACGAACGCGAGCTCGAGGACGGCGAGTACGAGATCGTAGACAGAATGGAAGTTGTGGCTGACTTGGACACGCCAGGTGCTGCGTTCCTCGCTGCTAAAGGTGGCAAACCTGGTCTGGGCAACCGTATCCTGGCCGGTAAGACGACCAAGTTCGGACGGCTGCGCAAGCACATGCCTGAGAGCAAAACTACAGGCTCACCTGGTACATCGCAGTACTACGAACTGGAACTCAAGACAATTGCCGATGTGGGTCTTGTGGGATACCCGAACGCTGGCAAGTCTACCTTGCTGAGTGTGTTGAGCCGCGCCACACCAGAGATCGCACCATACCCGTTCACGACACTTCACCCGTACGTGGGCATTGTGGAGTTCCCGGACACGTTCCGGCTGAGTATGGCCGACATTCCCGGACTTATTGACGGTGCACACCGCAATGTCGGTCTTGGTCATGACTTCTTGCGTCACATCGAGCGCACAAAGGTATGGGAGATGTGCTGCATATCTGAACGGGACACGCTCAATAACCACAGTTTGCTGTGTAGATCTTGATGTATGTACTTGATACAGCAGGCTCAGAAGGACGTGATCCCTTGGAAGACTTCACCCACCTTCAAAGAGAACTGGAGCTGTATGCTCCAGGAATCTCGTCACGACCTTCCCTCATCGTTGCAAACAAGATGGATGAGCAAGGTAAGGCTTGTTTCTATTAAATCTATTGTATCGGCGATGGTGGCGTCATTCTGTACTCTAACAGAGCGCGTGCTGGTCTCACCACAGGCGCCGAAGACAACTTTCACAAGCTGCGCAAATCCACCGATCTGGCAGTGCTTCCCGTCAGGTAAGTAGCGAAATATCTTTCATTCATAACCCCCACTAACCTCATAATGTTCCTTGGGTGAATAGCGCACTCCACAAGGTCGACATTGATACGATAGCACGCACGCTCCGATGGATGATCGAGAGCTATAGCAAGCTTACCAAGTCTTCATAGATGGAGTATTAGCAGAATGGCCATGCACTCAGCAACAAAAAGGGCTCATATCACTACTGTTTTGACTTCATCTTAAATTGTTGCACTATGTTTTTGTTGCGTGGTTATTTATAAGGCATGCGGGTCAAGATGACAAGTCTAATTTTCAACTTAATCAGAGCCAAGGGCTCCACCCAGACCGAGCGATGAATCGCTATGAGATATTGGACAAGGTCGGTGATGGGGCGTTTGGTGAAGTTTCGCGTGCTCGGAGCCTTAAGACCAAGGAAATTGTAGCTGTGAAGAAGATCAAGGCACTATTTCCCACATGGGAAGAATGTCTTCAATTGCGTGAGCTCAAGTCGCTTCGAATACTACGCCACGAAAACATTGTGCTACTGAAAGAGGTTATTCGAGACAAGGAGGAGCTCTACTTCGTGTTCGAGTACCTACAGACGTCGCTTTTTCTGGTTATGCGTAACTTCAAAATCTCATGGAGGAGGCAACAACTACGCTGGCGTTGGAAATGACTCCAGCTCAACCTCAGACTCTTCCACTTCTCATCCCTGGTTTTCGGAGGTGCAAATACGCTCGATTATGTTCCAGCTCTTCAGTGGCCTAGCATACATGCACAAGCACGGCTTCTTCCACCGTGACATCAAGCCTGAAAACTTGCTATGTCACGAAGATACGCTCAAGATTGCAGACCTGGGTCAAGCTCGCGAGATCCGATCACGGCCGCCTTTTACCGACTACGTTGCAACGCGATGGTACCGGGCACCTGAGCTGTTGCTACGCTCGACGACATACAATAGCCCCATCGATATGTGGGCCTGCGGGTGTATCCTTGTTGAGCTGCTGATCTGCACGCCGCTGTTTCCTGGAACGTCTGAAGCGGATCAATTCTATCGAATCTGCAAAGTTCTTGGTACTCCTACGACGGAAACATGGCCCAAGGGTGCAGCAATGGCTTCCCATATGCAAGCTCGATTCCCTAAGTGCACTCCCGTGTCTTGGAAGCGAATCCTGCCGTCAGGTACACCGTCTTCAGCTGTTCAGCTTGTACGAGATCTGCTACAATACGATCCAAGTCGACGGATTACAGCAGCGCAAGCCCTTCAACACCGCTTTTTCGATCAAGCTATGCCAAGACCAACGCTAACAATACCTCCATTAGTAACACCAGTGCAAGAAGTGCCCGTGTTGCCGCTTCGGAGCGATTTCAAGTCTGGAGGAGGCTACTCGAGTTATACAGGACGGTCAAGTGTCTGTGCGAAGAAGTCGGACGACGTGGAGCATTGGGCAGGAGGGTTATCGTCACGACAAGAACACCACTTGTTGACTGCCAATAAAAGACAGCAGACTCATTCGCGGCACCAGGACTGGGGCTCTTCTCTTGTTAGTGCTCGCCCTGGTGGATATGACGACGTAGCTGACATGAAAACTGTTTCGCCTATACAAAATGGAGGTGGAAGTGGCATCTCCAAAGGAGGCTCCATAAAGAAGAGCTGCAGCTACAACGCGCTTGTAAGTGAAGGTGCCACTAGGAAAATTACATCGGAAGACAACAGCGAACACGATGACGACACTAAAAGTGATAGCACATTACTACAAGACCTGCTTGATGAGATTCTAGGATAAATAAAAAGTCAAAAGTTCGCGATAATTTCATCAGGTATATTGTTCTTCTCATCTCATTCCGTCGCACACCATGCATCTACACAAGATAGCTAAGAGCACTTAGAACTTGAGGGCGTGGGCGCGGTCGTTCTTGGTCAGCGAGAACTTAGCGTTCAGGTACGACTTGAGGAACGGCTCGGCCTCGAGCTTCTTGATCAGAGCCGAGTCTACAGCCTTCTGGTCCTTCTTGCGCTGCTCCGGGATAACGGGGGCCTAAGAAATATGACAGCAGCACGGTCAGTCTCTTATAGGGAGCTTGTGTGCCGAAGCAAGCGATCCCAAGCGCTCATTTGGTGCGGCAGGATGCAATGTCCGGAGACAGCAAGGCTCCCTGCCTGATCCGCCACGCAGCAAGCGCTTCAGCAATCTAAGAACAAAAGAGATCCCAAAGGGTTCGTCGATCTTGTTCATCCATTGCGTCACCACTTTACTGCTTGATGTGGACAGACCGTGTATTGTGGTCTCGAAAAACCGACCAACCGGAACGGGATGCTCACAAGGGCAATCAAACATAGCCATAGTACTTACAGTGCTGGACTGGGCAAAGAACTGCTCCTCCTTGCTCTTCTTGGCGGCTTTTTCCTTGGCAAAGTAGGCGTCGTCGATGGCAGGAAGCGCCAGACCCTCAATGTTCACCTTGGTGGACGTGGCGATCACGTACGACTGGTTCACGCGACGGAGCGGCACACCGTTGACCTTGTACGGGCCTGCAAAATATGAAATAGCACTGTCAGTAACTGTGTTTTCAATGGCATCAACTTGTCCCCTTGATCCGACATTCCTCAGGTCTCATAATCTGATGGATCTTCGGCAAAAAGTCACCCATCACCCATCTGAGTAAACAACCATCGGAAACCGCATGCCCCACGGCGGCCTCATCGGCACCATGCACCTTGTAAAAGGGAGGTACGGACAAAGCCACTGAACTTAGCATGAGGCACGAGACGAGGAAGCCCAACAGACGAATGATGGGGTGGCAGAGCGCCTCTCGAAGTGTCATGTTTTGCATCATCAGAATGTCGGCTGAGGTCGATACTTCCGGACTGCATCTGTCACTTACCAGTGACGAGCAGCAGGCCCGAAGCGAGCTGGTTGAGGAAGACCACGCGCTTGCCACGGAAGCGACCCGACAGAAGGATCAGGACCGTGCCGGGGGTGATGGACTTGCGCAGCTTAGCGGTCTTAACGCTGTTGCGCTTGGTCTTGGCCGACGGCAGCGGCTTCGGGATGTAGTCAGCCGGGTACCACTTCTTGGTGGACACCTTCTTGGCGGCGACCTTCTTCTCGCCACCCTTCTTGATCATCTTGCCACGGCCATTCTTCTTGGAGAGGCTGTTACGCGAGATGGCGTTGATGCCACGGGCAAGGACGACGTTGGTAGTTTTCGGCATGGTGATGAATATACCTGAGTTGTGGATATGAACATTAGGGTACAGGCTACAAGCCGCAGCGACATAACGGTATCAGCTTACCTGTCTGAAAAGAACTGAGCCAGATAGTGCTTTTGACCTGCCGTAAGCCAACCACAGCCAACCAGAGAAGATGATGTGGTACACGCAAAAAGAGAGCTGCCGTGTTGAAGCCGACGGTTCAGCGGTTCAGGTGGCCCGGTCCTGCGGTAGGGCATTTCAAATGTTCATGCAATCATGCTTAATCGGCAACATAAGTCTCATTCCTTGCGCAACATGTCTTTTGTTTACGTTGCCTATTTATGAATGCGCAACATTACTTCAACTCAATATTTTGCCTTGAAGCGGTACATACAATTCAGATCACTTCCTACACGACAGTCTTCATTGCACCACGCCTACAGCAAGAAGAAAATTCAGCTCATGGGAAAACGTAAGGGACGCCGTGCAATCGCTACCTCAACATTGGTCGACTCCGTGACATCTGAGACGGCGGATCCTTCGTGTGCTGGTGGCTGTTGCGGTGGCGTCAGGAGCGACGGAGGAGAAACTGCCGCATCCTGTTCCAGCAGCGACGAAGAGGTTAACGCGGCTGAAGACGAAGGAGGATCCGCTGATGGCTGCTGTACTGGGAAGGAGAAAGAGGCTCTGGACGATTGCTGCTCCTCCAAGAAGGGCACTGGTTGCAACAACAGTGACACTGCTGAGACGGCGAATGGGGCGGCGGAGGCTGTGGGCGTTGCAATCGAGCAGGAAAGCGGCTGTGCCAATGCAGACCCTAAGCCATCGAGCTGCTGTTCATCAAAGAAGCGGGAGGCTTCTGCGGAATCTGTTACGTCCCAGGAAGTGCCCAAGAAATCTAGTTGTTGCTCGTCGAAGAAGCAGAAAACAACTGATGATTCTGGTGCTTCTGAGGAACAGCCAAAGACATCCGGTTGCTGTTCTTCGAAGAAACAGGAGACTTCTGGTGGATCCAAGGAATCCAAGAAACCTAATCGTTGCTCATCTGATGCTCCTGACGCGTCCGAGAAGAAGTCCAAAAAATCAAGTTGCTGCTCATCAAAGAAAGATGAAGCTCTAACTAACTCCAGCTGCAGTTCATCGAAAACTTCAGAGGTTGCAGTCGAAGTTGACGGCTGCTGTGCGTCTAAGGAGAAGAAGATATCATCTGGATGCTGCTCGAAGGAGTCAAACGTAGAGGCTGAAGCTAAGAAGTGTTGCTCCTCCAAGGAGCCAAAGAAGTCCAGCTGCTGCTCATCCGACGCGTCCGAGACTCGCTCAGATGGCTGCTGTTCGTCGTCCAGTAAGACCAAGAAGACGCTCAGTTCAGGTTGTTGTTCATCCGAAGAGCAGGATCTGCCGCATCCGGAGAGATCTCCTAGCTTTTTGAAGCGATTAATGCAGTTCCGCAGCGATCGTGGGGCTTCTCTCGAGAAACAGCGACCTCAGTCGGGCAGCTCAGGAAGGAAGAAGACAACAACCGAGTCCCTAGAAATTCTTCGCTTGAACATCAGTGGAATGACATGCAGTGGTTGCTGCACACGCATCGAGAAGTTCATGAGTACGCAACGAGGTGTTACGGACGTAAACGTGAGTCTGCTTACGAGTCGCGGGATCTTCCAGTTCGATCCGCAACTAGTCACAGCGAAGCACATCGAGAAGACTGTGGCCACTTTGGGGTTTGAACCCAGTGTGCTGTCCAGTGACGAGTTAGTGAGCGTTGTTCTGCAACTTGGACAATCCGAGAGCTCCCTGAAAGCCAAAAAGGTAATAACTGAGATCGATGGCGTCGTCTCAGTTGAAGATATCGATGAACCAGCGGTATCTTCCGCTTCGCAAGGCAAGGCTTTGCGGGTCGAGTACAACCCAGACGTCACAGGTGCTCGTAGAATTGTTCGCCACCTATCTCGTGAGCTAGGTTTTACCGTTCAAGCGTCAACTCCGCAGGCGCCATCTGTCCGTGCAGGCGAGGAAGAAGTCCGACGCTTTACGAGGCTCTTGTTTTGGAGCTGCTTGCTGTCTCTGCCCGTAATCTTCGTCGAGTTCTTGCTGCCGGCGTTGTATCCATTTTCTGATGGCAACCCAGCAGACGTGGGCTTATGGGGCACTGCCAACCGTCTGAGTATTAAAGATGCGGTGGAATTGGCGTGCGCGACGCCTGTACTCTTCATTGTGGCCCGCCCCATTCACGAGAGCGCCTTCCTCGCGCTTCGGTACGGTGGACGCGTCACAATGGACGTTCTCATCTCGCTAAGCGCCTGTACTGCCTTCGCATTCTCCGTTTTCACTGTCGTTTGTGGAGCACTTGCCATTACTCAAGCACAAGAGGGTGTGACGGATCCTTCGACCGCGCCCCCGCCTCTCGTGGAGACTCCTGCTAAAGCTGACACTTTCTTCCAAGTCACGGTACTGCTGGTTACACTCATCCTCGTCGGCCGCTACATCGAAACACTGGTTAAAGCACGTGCCTCGAACAGCGTGGACGCGTTGCTGCGGATGCAAGCCAAGACTGCCATTTTGCTCGAAGAAGGGGATCAGAAGGAGCTGTACATTGATGTGGTGCTCGTTGAACGTGGAGATCTGCTGAAAGTACTACCTGGTACACGAATTCCGACGGACGGCGTGGTTGTTGGAGGTGCTAGCTCAGTGGACGAGTCCATGGTGACGGGCGAGGCTCGGAAGGTGCCCAAGGAGTCTGGGGCAATTGTGATCGGTGGATCTATCAACTCTCAGGGCGTTCTGACAGTGCGGGTAACTCACACTATTCACGAATCCATGTTGGCACGCATGGTGAGACTCGTAGGAGAAGCTCAGGCGTCTCGTGGTGTACGTCAGAGCATTGCAGATGCTGTGGCCGCATACTTTACGACGTTCATCATCATTCTGGCCGGAGTGATGTTCATTCTCTGGTATTCGCTCGCTAAGCACGGACATGTGGATACTCAAGGCTGGGCTCCTTTCCCGTTCGCGCTGCGCTTTGCCATCACCGTGCTAGTCATTAGCTGTCCGTGTGCGATTAGTCTAGCCGTGCCGACTGCAGTGATGGTGGCGACAACGAAAGGTTCGCAGGTGGGTATTCTCTTCAAGGGTGGACGCGCATTAGAAGCGCTTGAAGAAGTGGATGCTGTTGTGTTCGACAAGACGGGCACTCTCACGACTGCTCAGCTTGGCGTTGCTAATGCCTTTATTCCGCAAGATACTTTTGATAAAAGACACCTCTGGAGCTACGTAGCTGCCGCAGAGAAAAGTAGCGAACACTCCATTGGTAAAGCTCTCGTAGCGCACGCAGAGACTCAGCTTCAAGGCTCACAGGTCGAAGAAGTGCAAGGATTCGAGGCTATTCCTGGTTGTGGTGTACACTGCACCGTGCGAGGTGTTGATGTGCGTCTTGGATCTCTTACCTGGCTTAAACAGCAGACTTACAGTGACTGCCGCGCTCTTCGAGTTCCTGCCGAGTTTGTCGAAGCAAACCGACGTTTCCACTCTCTGGGCAGCATTGTGGTCTTCGTTGTCATTGATGGAGAATTGGTAGCTGCAGTTGCGCTGCACGATACACCGCGTCCGGAAGCTAAGCGTGTCATCGAGCAGCTGAAACGAGATGGAGTTCAGCCATGGATTGTAACCGGTGATCAGCGTGGCACAGCCATGAGTGTGGCTGCAGCGCTGGGCGTGCCTGAAGGTTCTGTGCTTGCTGAAAGTTTGCCTCATCAAAAGGTGGACAAGGTGCGCTTGTTGCAAAGTCTGGGTCTGCGAGTTGCGTTTGTTGGGGACGGCGTGAACGACGCACCAGCGCTGGCAACGGCCGACGTCGGTGTCGCACTTGGGGCTGGTACTGACGTGGCACTCGACGCTGCTGACGTTGTGTTGGTTAAGGATGATCTGCGCGACCTGCTCAATGCCCGAGCACTCTCGAACGCCACGAACCGACGAATCAAGCACAACTTTGCGTGGGGATTCTTGTACAATCTGCTGATGATGCCCATTGCATGTGGCGTATTGTACGCTCCGCTGGGGATCTGGATCCCTCCGGCCCTCGCTGGTCTATCCGAGTTGCTATCGTCTGTGCCTGTGATCCTGTTCTCACTTCTGCTTAACCTTTGGAAGCCGCCGTTTGGTGGTGACTGGGGATTAAAGCAGCAGCACGTAGCAATCGACGTGACGGAGTCGACTCCTCTGCTGCTGAAGCAGCGCTAATGAACGGTGGACACGGTAGAAACACTGGCTGAGAATTAATGTTCGTTTTTGCTCACTTTAACGAGTTGTTTGCGTCTCGTTTTTGCTAGTTAGAAGAAGGTCTCGTGTACTGCAGGAATGCTGCTCTCGCGTGCATGCGGATTGTTTCACAGTCTACTGACAGTGGTTTGTCGCCACTAGTGCCGGAGACAATAACATCGAACCGGTTAAGAAGCAGCTCGACGTCCTCGGTGGCTATGGCAGGTTGGGGGCTCTCTGTTTCGTTGTCAGTCAGTGTGTCCTGCGCGGCGCGCATGTCGCGAGCAACTGTAGCTCCCGAGCCACAGGATATACGTGCTGGTGTGGCGAGTGTCTTTAGTTTTTCTCCAAGCCGACAGTCGCTAACAAAAGCGTCGCGTTTAGCAATCGCCTCCTGTTCGGCTTGTTCTTCTCGCTGTTGCTGCCTTTGCTTCTGCTCCTCATCAGGTTCGTCTTCATCTCGTGCAGAGCGTGGGTCAGGCGTCATCTTCAATTGGTAACGTCGCTGCAAGGCCTTGAGCGAGAGTGCAAGATACAGACAAGCCGAAGATCGCACCGGCATTTGCGGAAACTTAGGACGCTCACTGCCCAGTGCAAGCAGCACTTCGTTGAGTGCAGCTCCAAGTTGCTGCTCTAGTTGTCCCGGGTAACTCTTCGCCAGAGTCACTTGCGGTGGTAACTTCACTGGCAAACTCTGCGAGGTGTGTCGAGACGGTTCCGCGCAAAATTTACGCCGTGCTTCTTCCGAGACGAAGAAATAAACTTTTGAGCGGTACGATGCACGGAAGAAGACATTGCCATGTCGAAGTGCAGCCCAATCCTTGGCACCCGAACCCGACGCAAACGTGACTGGGCAGTAGCCTTTCAACTCGGGAAAGTCGCAGTCTGGTACAGTCAGCAAGCTCAAGAGTGAAGCGTTTACTGGAGCTCTTGCCACAAGTGTCTGCGCCTCACTCTCGGCTTCTTCTTGTGTCGGCCACGACTCGTCTGATGGTTGGTCTGCCAGGTATCCGACAAAAGCTTCAGGACTCGCCACAAAGTGCTGGAGGTTTTGTTCATCTCGAAACCAGAAACTGAACCCTCGGAAGTCTACACACAAGTCACGATTGGATTGACGCGAGTGGTAGAATCTTCCGACACGCAGCTCCACGGGACAGAATGTCTGGAAAATAGGATGTTGACGTGCTTGCAGCTCTTCACGCGTACGCACAACACCTAGAGCTCGAGCAGCTCGACTGGATATCATTGCTATGGTGTGATGCGATGCCAACTGCTGTTGCTCGGTGAGGAGTGCTTGAGCCTGTGCTGCTGCATGCCAGAGCGAGCTGCTCGTACTGTCCAGTTGTCGTATGTGGAAAACACCAAAGCGACGAATCCAAACATCGACGAGCTCCAAGCGGTAATGGTGCCACCGTGCAAAACCAGCTCGAAGATCGCTCTGCATCACATTGTTCTGCTGCACCTTCCAGACACTGGCAAAGCTGCGTTCAAGAACGAAGAGCATGTCCGGTTGAATACTCCCTGTTTCGTTAGAATTCAGCAGACTGCGTTGCAGTTCGTGATGGCTTAACAAGTACCCGTCGAGAACCCAGCCACGTGTCTGGCACTCGGAGGAACGCAGTCGAGTGCAGATAACTTCATGAGTGATATCACGATTGGCGAGAGGATCAAGTTGCTGCTTCGTGATCTCTAGTAATCGACCGCGCAACGTGGAACCGCCCTGACATCGAATCACCCAATCTACAGCACTTTGGGGAGATACGTAGACGAGTCCGAGGGCGTTGGCGAGTTCTTGAGCCACTCGCGTCTTGCCTGAATATGGAGCACCCACCACACAACACGTTGACTGGTGTCTTGGTGGAAGACTAGATTTATCCAGGTATTTTGACGGACAAGCTATAAAGGCACGACGAGCTTCACGCGATCTCGGGAAGTAAAGTTCGTCTCGGTATACAACCGCCTTCATTGAGGTAGTCGATGCAGAATCCGTACGACCAGTAACAGGACAAGCCAAGCCGTGCTTACCGACAAGAAGTTCTCCTGACGCTAACATCTGATGCATTCTGCCTCCCGCCGACATGTCCAGAACTTTGCAACGCTCGAACAGTGTCTCTCGTCCAGCCATAAAGTCATTGAGTATTCTTCTCACTAGTTTAGCAGCTTGTCTTGGTGCGTTAGTCGCATCCACCGAGTCGCATACTCGGATACCTCGAGCTCGAAGTCCAGCAATAGCCTCATTCAGAGCTGTCTGGTCCTCGGCGAATTGTTCTTGAAGTCGAGACATTTCTTCTTCTCGGGCGGCTTCCAAGTCGATCGGTTCTTCGTCTGCAGCTTCTTCTGGAAGGGAGACGTCGTTTTCAGCATCGCCCTCCACCTCCTTTTTCCGCGAAAGAGCAAGTTTCCGACGAGGTACTGGTAGAGTGGCAATCCATCGAGCCAACAAAGTGTTCACAGCCTCCTCTTCCGATACCGTCACAGGGACTACTAGTGCTGGAAAAAGACCGTTCTTGAAACACATTTCCAAAGTCGCAGCGCTTGGAATCCGTGAATCGTCGGGTCCCAGTCCGACGATAACTTGAGCCACAGATTTTTCACTGTTTGACTGGCGTTGGAGCTCAAGTTGGAGCGCTTGGACATAGATTTCTTCGGGTGGATAGCGTGCTTCTTCCGACTTGAGTTCTTCCAGCTGTCCGTTGCGCTCGGCATTTTTTTCAACTGCAGTCAAGTCCACAATCACATACTCTGCAGAGGAATTACTTTGTTCCGTTTGTGGCTGAGCTAGTGCTGCAGCGATTCGACCGCGTCCTGAACCTCGAACACCAAGTAGCAGTACACATGGCACGAAGTTCGCAGTTGCGCAAGGGCCATCAGGGATGAAGTATCCTGGATTTCGCTCGAAATCTCGACGCTCGGATTCGCCAGCGAACGCGTAGAATTGCTGTCGAAATGAACAAATATGAGATGGCAGACCTGGTATCAACAAACCACGTGTACGCCACGACACAGGGCAAAATCGACCACACTCTCCTTGAAGTTGTAGCGCTCGATTTCTTGCTGCTCTAGCTTGCTTTTCAGTCTCAGGATCCGGTGCTTCGGACTCCGCTTCTTCGTCTTTTGGAGTCTTTTTCGTTTCCTCATGCTCCTCATCATGTTCGGGAACGAGTGGGGCAAATATCACAGCTGGATCGTACTCATCAACAAATTGAGGAGCGTGTCCAGCTTCGATACTATCCAAGCGCGCTGCAATTGGGTTTAGCTCGCGATCAATTGCTGCCAACGTATCACACGGCTGGCGGAACAGTGGACACGTTACGACTCGAGGTACGCTACCAAGGCCTTGTGAGATGTCATCAGCGCCAGCTTTTTCGGTCTGGAATTGTTGACGTCGTATAGCGGATAAAGCATCAGCAGCTTCGAAACTCTGCTCTTGATCCTCATCTTGAGCGACGACGTCTCTGTCCAACACCAGAATTATGTCGGGAACACATCCATGTTCAAGTAAAACAGCAGCGACGTCACGAGTGAGAGGCAAATCTGTGATCATCCAGCCTGTTGGCGTGTTATATTTGGCTTCCAAGGATTTTACAGCTTCAGCGGCCACTGTTGCAGCTTCAATCGGGGAGACAATCTGCCCACTCATGAGACGCATTTCCAAAGAGATACTTGACGTCTTGAGCAACTTCGAAGGAGACACAGTCCGCACATGGAGTCCCGTCTCTAGTGTCTCCAAGTACGAAGGTGTCAAGACTTCGCATGCGCCAGTGGTGACGAGCCAAATTTTGTGGTACGCGGATGGAATCGGGATATTTTTACGTAAGTACTGGAGCGGGTGTGCACAGAAATCACGTCGTGTTTCTTGTGATGCCAAAAAGTAGACTCGTCCGGAAAAGCATGCAGCAAATTCAGGCTCACCAAGCCGCAATATGTTCGTAGAAGTCGACAACACGGGACAAAACTCGCGCCATCTTGATAGTAGTCTGCGGTTTGCGTCTCGTCTAGGCAGCCGTGTAAACATCTCACTTGTTTCAGCTTCAAGAAGTGTACTCCAGTCTCCATAAAGAAGCCACTTTACTTTTTCAGCGCGGCTAGAACCAGTCAGATCGTCCGGCAGAGTTATTGGACAAGCTTCACGAGAGGTACTGAACCGCGAAAAAGCAAGTGAAGTCTAGCAAATTGAACGCAGGAGTGAGCATCATAACAGTGATTGGTAAAAGTTGCTACAAGGAAGTTTACTTACCCCCGTGATCGCTTGGATGCAGTGATCTCGAATGACATTTAGAGATTGGGTTGCCAGTACCACCACTAAAGGACAATTTGACTGGGTACGCGCCGTCTCTACAGCTCTGCGCGTTGAGAGTTCGTGTTGCATGCGACTCATGTAGTCGTGATATCCCTTACTAAATCGTAGCACACTCAATGATCCGTGTGGTAAGGTGGGCTCATTTGGTGGCTCAAACTCGTTGCGTTCTGCAGGAGTTGGTTCCGGTGGTGCTGCAGGTTCGTATGGTGGCACGATGCTGTTGTCTTCGTTCTTTTCCTCATTTTCACCCTGATATGCCTCGACGTCTTTGTCTTCGGCGTTTAGATCACTTTCACCCATTTCAGCATCAGCACTGTGCTCTTGCAACTTCTCACCTTCTATTTCCAGTTTCTTTGGAAGCAAAAGGAAATCGGCAAAGCCTTGGGCTGCTAGCTCCTCGCTACTTGTCGCTCTCAAAGTGGCAAGCTCCCGCACTGAGTACAATCGGCCAGCTACAGGTGCCAACTCGGAGCCTTTAAGCTGAAATTCCAGTTCGCTGGGCAGCGCAGTGAGAGTTACCAAATAGTCCATTGCTATTTCATGCTTTTGGTCATCTAAAGACGACAGCTCGCTCGGATATACATCATCCATTACCACTCCAACGCCAGCTACAGCAACACAGATCACAAATACATTAAATTTTTGCATCACATTCCTTGTCCAGACAAAAAAAACGTACCGAGCATGGAGCGCGTGACCTCTATTCGTAGAAGAGCAAGTGCTGTGCTTCGAGCGACTGTGCGTCCAGTACAAAGTTTAGCAAGATCTTCATCTTGAAAAACACGATCTATTTCTTCGCCGCCGTCGGTGTTGTCGGCCTTTTCACCTTCTTCAGTCGCCTCTGATGGTGAAGTTTCCACATTTGAGTCTTCCCCTTCAGCAGAGGTAGCAATAGGAGGTTGGTTTCGACGTAATCGAAGTTTCCGATCGACAGCATGTTGAATAGCTCCATCAAGAGACAAATATTTCAATCCAAGTCTTCGTGCTAACACTTGAGCTAGTCGAGTCTTACCACTTCCAGGTGGGCCAACAACAGCAATTTTCAAAGCAGGAAACTCGGTAAGAGCAGCAGTGAGTGCATCTTCAGAATTCCAGTGTGCTGCAGACTCACAGTAAACTTTCTTAGCTCGTACAGGTGTTGCTCCTACGCCAATATACCCCTCTAGCTCCTCATGTAATCGTCGAGCGATCTCCAAATCATGAGGTGGAGACATATCAGCTACTTTCGTCTTGGTTGTCTCTGCTGCAATGGCGGTGCTACCATTGACATCAGCCTTTGTTCTTTTAATAAAAGCACGAGTAAGCGAGTATTTACGTGGGTTATAGCAAACAAGAAGCTGTTTAAGCGACATCTCCCGCTGGTTCGGAGGTTGCAATCCCCGAATACTTCGCAACGCATCACTTGATGGCGGTAGCTTTTGCAGAAATTCGTTGGTAATTTTTAAGGTTCGATTCAACGGTCTCAGCGTGAAGCGATCAATTTGCTCAGCCGATTTGGTCTCATCTTGCTCCGGTTCACTGCTTGAACATTTAATTGGAAGTTTCGCGATAGAGTTACGAAGTTCCTTGAGAAAAGTTGCAAAAACACCAACAGTACTCTCCACTGGTAAAATAATTTCTGCCAGCTGCATGACAGCCTCACGGAATTGTTCAGATGACATCACTTCATTGTCTAAGCTTGAAGTATTGCCAGATTCACCGACACCCCCCGCACCTTCCAAATCATACTCCCAGTCTCGTTGCGCTGCGGCAATTGCGAGTGCATCAGTTGACAATGGAAGGACAAGCGCTTTCGCTGCCCGAGCGAAGAATCCGACGTACCCCTCACGACTTAAAGTACAAGAATTCATGGGCTTGGCCAGATCCCAGAGTTGTGTCAATTCACGAGCTATCAGTGCGTTCGCTTCACGCTCATTTGTGGATTCGTCACCTTCCAGCATGGAGTTCCGGCGATTGAGCCATAGCCGAAGTAGATTTTCTTTGCCTTCGCCGACGCTGCGTTCCTCCTCGTTCTCGGCGAAGAGGAAATGCCGACGCATCGGAGATTCAAACCGTGTCTCGGCACTTCCAACCTGGATCGATCTAATACTCAGGAAGGTAAATTGATCAAATGCGGAAGACAAAAGGTGTTGGTTTCATTATTTTCCTTCCCTCTTCTTTTTTTAGGGTGTCCATTTTTCCACTTGCTCCTAACAATATTATATATAATGGATATCCGGATACCTCTGAAATAAATTGGAGAGAGCTAAAGTTCCCCCCCCCCCTGTTGGCCAACATGGCAATACAATTAAATACTGCACAGCCAGATGACTGAGAGAACTTCAAGCGACCTCGAAGAGGAGGGACCCCCTCAGGGAACGGGAGACACGCTACTGCGGTTTCAGTTCGTGTTTTTTATTTTCCCTACTATGTTGAAGTGCCCAGATCTTCATGTAATGAAATTTACTGTTCTCATTACATGAAGCCCAAAAGATCGGTGTGCTTGGAACGCCCAGAGGGCGTTCCAGAGTCTGGACCAGATTCACTGTGAATGGACGCCCTAAAGATCGGTGTGCTTGGAACGCCTTCTGGACCAGAGTCTGGTCCCAACCATGACGTTCCCACCGAAGCAAGAGTATTTAGACGAAAACCCAGAGGCTCCAGCTCTAGTATATCCCAAATCAATCGTCAAAACTATTGATGCAGTACTGGACTACAGCAATTCGTATCTTGGTGACGACAAGTTCATACAGATTATCGAGAAAGCCCGACTCACTAGCGTCCCTACACGATTGGATCTGCGTGGCAATTGCTTCGAAGCTGGTGCTGCTCGAGAACTTGCGGCACTATTGCGCACCTTTCACAATGTGGTTGCCATCAGTCTGGAGTGGAACAACGTAGGTCTGCTGGATCAAGGGGTGGAAGCTCTCGCAAGTGCGCTGGAAGTAGATAAGCGGTTGCTAATACTCGATTTGCGCAACAATAACATAGGCCCCGAGGGTGCCAAAGCACTCGCAAAAGCTCTCCGAATCAATCGAACACTGCGTCAATTGGACTTGCGCTGGAATGAGATTGGGAATCCTGGAGTGCTGGCATTTCGTGAGGCGTTGCAGAGCAACCACTCGCTATTGACACTGGAACTCATGGGCAACAATTGCAGCTTGAAGCACGTAGATGAAATCGAGCTACTCCTGGCTAGAAATCGTGCTTTCACGGAGAGACCACCGCCTCTGGCAGTCGATGCGTCGTGCCAAAACGATGAGGAGAACAACGAAAGCCCGAAAACTGCTCCGGATGATCAGCTACTACTTCAAGTCCTAGCGGAGAAAGAGGAGCTGGAGACAACGATAAGTCTAGGCAAGCGAGAACGGCAGAAAATGGTAAAGTATGAAAACGTATACTACTTTGCCTTAATCGCAGTGTTTCTCATGTGTGAATTGAGCTTCTCCCTAGATAGAGACAGCTGAAGAGCTCGAACTACAGCTGCAACAAGCTCGCAAAGATACTGAGATGGCAAAAGAAGATCGAGACCGCTATCAGCAACGTGAGATCGATGCAAAGCGCGACGTCCATGAGCTGAGGATGCAGCTGGACGAGCTTGAAACCCGTAGGAAGCTGGAGTTTGAAGAGTATAGATTGGCTCGAGCAGCACTTGAGCGTGAGAATGGCGTTTTTCGGGAGAAAATTGGGCACACGGAAGCTCTGCGCAGCAAAGAAGCAGATCAGAAGGACAAGCAGATTTCTCAACTGGAAGAGACCAAATATGCCTTAGACAACGAGCTGCATCGCTCGTCTATCACGATAAGGTAACACATATCAGCTTACCAGCTAAAGTCATTCGATGTAGCATCGCTTTCTAACGAATTACGGACGTGTTTGGCAGGACGCAAGAAGAAGAAATCGGCAAGCTACAGAAACAACTTCAAGATGCTCAACAGGATTACACCCGCAAACTAACCACGTTGGTGTCGGACCACGAAGGAAAGCTAAGTGCGGCTCAACGGCAGCATGATATGGTTGTTGGGTCCATGCAGACGCAGCTCAGCTACTCCTCCACACAGCTTGAAACGAGTGAACGGAGTTTTCGTGAGCTCAAGGAAAAATGCGAAGCTCTACAATCGAAAGTGCTGCAGTCTCAGATTGACCAGGAGAAGGCAATTGGGGATCTGAAGCAGCAGTGGGAAGCAGAGCTGGAGGAACGCATCCAGCGCTCGGTTGGGTCGGTCGAGGCTCAAGTGGCAGAGGTGAAGAAGGCGCGACAGCACCTTGAGCGAGAAGTAGAAAAACACCTCGAAACCATTATCCACCTCCGCCAGCAGAATGTATCTCTACAGCAAGCAAAGGATGAAAAGCAGCATGAAATGGAGACTGCGTTGGAGACGCAAGTCAAGGTGCTGCACGAGAAACAAACGCTGCTAGCTGCCGCGGTGAGCGAACGATCTCGCATCGAGGAGAAGTTGCAGCTTCAGCTACGTAAGATGGAGGAACAGGACGCTCGACTCGTGCAGATGCAGGCAAACTTCGACGAACGGATTCAGGTGCGTCCGCCAACAGTCAAAGCTTCCCGCGTTGCACTTACCTAGGTTTTTTTTCCTTATTGTGTCTAGACTCTGACTGCCAGCGCAAAGATTGCGGCTGAGGAGAGCGCCACCACCTTGAAGGAGAGGGCAACGCTGATCGCGTCTCTTGAGGGTCATGTGCTTCAACTCGAGCGGGAGCTGTCAGCGCAGAACCATGAGCACGAAAAGCGCATCGACGACTTGGCGGAAAGCTTTGGACGTTTCGTACAGGATCAAATCGGTAAAGAGCGCGAACGACGCAAGAAACTGTCAGCGACGCCAAGTTCCGACCTCTAAAGCTGTACAGGGTAGAATCTACCGTGGACCATGTGCCATCGCTGGCCCGCTCCAGCTGTAGTCTGCATCGCTTGATGTCACAAACAGCGTTTCAAGTGCGGTAACGATAAATGAATCATTTGTCATTTAAAATAATACATGCATGGCATTGAATTGACGTTGAAGTGGTCCTGTAGTTTGGATGTGACAGGCTCGGGGCTTGACAGTGACCGAAAATCGAATATTTGTCCCACCATGTCACTGGGCGCGATCTTTCTTCGAGCGTTTGGATATCAAACTGCACTCGTCTGGATTCGTCAAAAGCTTCTTTCATTGGCTGAATGTCGAAGCGGCGTCATGGGCTAAGCGTCTAGGGAGGGCCAGAAAGAGACCGGAAAAGCAGCAGACATGCCAAACGTGTGCACTGCGGTGAGGCGGTCTGTTCGCCATTCGCAGATTCACCTTGGAGGGCTCACGCGAACGAGTTTCTTGACTTGTGCATTTTTGTGCATTGCAAGTAACGTCTCAGTTGCCCCGCCGAGAGAAAATAAGCCAATTGAATTCACATCCCTTTGCAATGGACGGCAGCACGAGTGTGCAGAGGCTCATTGACCAGTTCGAGCTCATGGCGCAAACCAATTCCAAATCTGCAGCCCCATGCACGTGGTCCACAACGAGGAACACGAAAGCACCACTGCCAAAGCCCGACGGCAGTCATCACGACTCACCGGTGGAGGAAATTATGAATTGCTTTTACAAGCAACACACTCAAACGACAGATGAACCTGATGAAAAGGCGATACAGGATGCCGTTGATGTAATTCCTGCAACCCCCGCGAAACCGACAATCTACAAAGGCCTTACGATCAACATCTTGCAGCCTACTGACGATGTCACTGCCTACGAAGATGGGAGCACTCCGATCAAGTCCACGTACTACTTGGCCATGCCTCGCAGTCCGTCGACTTACTCAACTGCTTCCACGTGCTCATTGGACTCGTCATTGAGTTCGTTGGATATGTTCTTTCCAGAATTGCTTCAGGCGTCAGGCAGGACCGCCTCGGAGACCACTAACTTACATTCGACGAAGGCCTCCAAGTTGGCCCCACCACCGTTATACCGATGTGCAACATTGACCGAGAAGCCGATGAAAAAGCCGTCAAACCTGGCTTCCGCAGCGCCAATGTCGGCGAGGCCTCGTCGCTCTTCACTCTCGTCGTCGATGGTTCCTTCCACAGCCAATTCAACGCACTGTTTCTCGGAGGGGGCGTGCAATACCCTTTGCGCAAGAAGCTACTCGTCCTCATCGCCTGTCGCTCGGTACATGGACTACGATAGGTCGCCACGTTTCGCGGCCACGAAGGCCATGAATGTGGAACGCCGTCGCCGCCTGCAGGAGCGCAACCGAAATATTGCCTTCAACAAGGTGATGCGCAGCGAAATTAAGCCCCGTACGCCGGAGTGGCAGGGTCGTCTCGACCACGTGCGCTCACGATTATTTGACTTTAAGGAAAACAACCAATCCCTTACGTCGAAGGCGAAGAAAACGGCATCGCGAAGGCACTCCACTTCGAACTGCCCTCTTGCCTAGAGTATGCCGATGTCCAGCTTTTTTAATCGCTGCCGTGAGTAGTAGGTTATCGTGTCAACTAGCGCTGGTGCCACAATAACTGATAAGCTTACGATAAAATTATTAGAAGATTTACTCGTTTCTCCAACGGTCTCATACTTACACTTTTCGATCATTGTCGTTTGATTGGCTGAAAACGTGTGGCCCCCGCACCAGTGACACAAAGACATGACGGTAGTCCATTCAGTCCGATGCCGCCTGAATACAGTGTTGCCGCGAGTTACTACTGCCTTAATGCAAGCGATAAAGCTGCAGAAGACGATAATATCGTCAAAACCCCAAAGCCCAGTGAAGCTGTGACAAGGCCACAGATCGATATCGTCTCTGATAATGCCGTGCAGGTACCGCGGCTACCGCTAAACGAACTCAACTGGAAGAATCGCACTCGGTTCTTGGAAATGATGCAGCGCCACTCATTTGTAGTACTCACGGACCTCGGTGAAATTCTAGAGCGCACGCACGACCAGGTGCTGCAGGACTTCGAGACATTTTTCACTAGCGATGATGAGGACTGGAAAAATAGCTGTACCAGCAAGCACGTTTACCTCAATGAGCACGGTAAACCGTTCTGGTACGCTGGGTATGAACACACAAGTGTGCGTGACTGCTTCCGCGTGGCGTGTGGTGATATGTCAAGGCTCGTGTGGCCATCGCCAGATTTCAAGAAGCACTGGTTGTCTCTTCAGCGCCACATGCAGCGTATCTGTGATCGGGCTTTGAGCTTGACTGTCGGATACAATATTGAAGCTAGCAATGCGCGCACTGACAAGGACTTTTCGGTGTGCTATGGTCTGCACTACCCGAACATCGAGGGCAGCGGCCAATCCAAAACGGAGAATGTTTTTGAGCATGTGGACCCGAGTCTGTATGTCGTGGAGCCTGTGCCTAATGTGGAAGGCTTGGATGTGTATGACCAACACTCCAAGCAGTGGCTCAAGGCCGAAAAAGTGTGCGTTCCCGGCAAGGAAATTGTCCTTTTCTGTGGTCATGCCTTGAATCGAGCCACGAAAGGTCGGATCCCAGGAACGCTGCACCGCGTTCGACGCACCCCAGACCGGCGATTCTGCATAATTTATGAGCAGAAGTACGAAGAGTATTTCCTTTAACTCGAGCTCGATGGAATTACTGAACAAAGCACCCGAACATGAAAAGTGATTTTATCCGCTTCCCATCCATGAGCTGGTCTACGACCAGCTCAGCCAGCGCGTAGCTCGTTCGTCGTTCAGGAACAGCAATCTCCCGCAGAAATTCATACTTTTACTTCATCGACCGCTGAATGATTCCTTGCGGTTCCAACAAAAGTATTCTTAGAGAATATGAAGCAAGTATTATCTGCTCCCATCTGAAAATAATGGCTTTCACTTTGGTTAGAAATTGCTTCCAGCCGCGCAATACTAATAACACACCATTAAACCCCACAAATACCTGTACTGTAGATGTACTTCGCGTACTTCCTGACTGGGAAAACGCAATTTTCGACATCATTTTTCCAGTAGTTGATGTTGATTATTACTACGTAGTAATAATGACTCGAAGGTTTGTCGATGACGATTACATGTATCACGCCAACACTGACGTTTGTTAGTCTCTGAGCCCGAATACCAATCCATCAAGGCAGATTTTGTGCGCTATTAATATCAGCCAATCTCCAGATGTACTAACTGTATTCAATGTCCGGCGATCTGTCCCTGCCTCCCCATTTCCCATTTGTGTTGTGAAAGAAGAAAAACAGTCGATCCATCAAGAAATTCAAAATGATCAGTGGTCGATCACTTCTTTCGATATCACTCGCAATGGCCATCTACGCCAACTCACTCTCACAAGTTGAAGCCTATCGGATTTCGATCAAAACAACTCCAATTCTCGACTAGTGGGAAGGCTGGGGGACAGCGCTCAAATGGTGGGCCAACGCCTTTGGTGATCGCGAGGACATCGCTGACTTGCTTCTTTCCAACTTGTCGTCAGTGTCAATCGATGGCGCAGTTAAAGACATCCCCGCTCTTGATCTCAACATTGCACGGTACAACATCGGTGGTTCGGGAAAAAACGTCATAGACGACAGCAAGACAGAGATCGCAATGAAGAAGTCAGAGAAGATGCCTGCGTTCAAGATAATTGAGTCGTTCTGATTGGACTGGACCAGCCCCCTGCGTCGGAGAGCTGAAATTGGGAAGCAGATGCGAAGCAGCGAGCTATGCTGGGGTTGGCATCGAAGCGTGGTGCCAATGTTTTCGAGGCGTACTCGAACTATCCTCCTTGGTGGATGATGAACAACCGCGCCACTGCTGGTGGTGACGACGAAACTGCTGATAACCTAAAAGCTGAATACTTTGAGCAGTTTGCAGTGTACCTGGCAACTGTGGTAATCAAGACTGGGGTATCGAGTTCAAATAGGTCGCTCCGTTCACCAAGGCGAACAGCAAGGGTTGGACTTTTCCGGAGTCTCAGGAGGCCAGTCACTTGGAAATTAAGACGCAAAGCGACATTTTGAAGCTCTTCCGAACGCAGTTAGATAAACTCCACCTCCAGAATGTGCTCATTGCAGGAGCTGAAGAAAAAACTCCTGAAGGAGCTCTCCACGTAGTTGTGCAAAGACACAAAGCGAACATCCTGGTATAGATGCCATTGCAAATGTTGACGCGAATTGTTCCGATGGCGTGGTTCCTTACGCCGGTGACGACCGCGACAAGCTGAGAGGAATGGTTTCTTCATTGACCAAGCGGCCGTCTATCTGGGATTCCATGGATGCCGATGAAGATTCACCATGGCCAATACTATCGCTCGAGACATCAACGAAATGGGTGCTTCAGCTTTCGTGAACAGACAAGCGCTTGATAATGGAGTGGTGGGGCTTATTCAATCGAACTCGAGAGACAAATGGATCGGCACCGCAAACCCGAAGCACTACGCGATGGCCCACTACTCCCGTCACATCCGTGCTGGCATGAGCATCTTGAAGTTCGACGATCCAAAAACTTTGCTTCGCGGTTCTTCTTCATATGCTCTGGACATATATCCGAACTTCGTCGTTGCATACGACAAAGCCACTCAAATGATGGTGATCGTAGCGACGAATTTGAGAGACGCTCTAACTATCATCTTCGACTTGTCTGACCTGGCTTTTGTTGAAGGACCGATTAATACTTGGACAACGGAGCCGAACACCACCATTGGAGCTGTGTACAAAGCCGTGAGCATCGACATCCTCTTTGGCCAAAGCGCTAGATTCTCGGCTGCTCTACCAGCTCATTCGATTATGACAGTCGAGATCCTAGGCACTGAACTGACAAACACAATAGCCGTTTAAGCACCATGCATGCTCAATTGATCAGTGTCAACTCACCGGTGAATAGTAGCTTATCCTGTTATCTCGAGCCCATATTTCACAAGAACTAACGTGCATTTATCACAATGTCAGCTGAAAGTGGTCGTCGCTTCCGACGTTCAAGGCTTCTTGATGACACTGACGAAGCCACTAGCAGCAGAGAAATATTTCTTGTTAGCTTCGGCGACGCGAGCCTTCGCAGCTTCAGGGTTCATGAGCTCAATGCCCTGCACGGGCGTAAAAGCAAGACTTGATGCTAAACCAGAAAGCGGTGGCTTAGCAGAGAACGCAGCAAAGTTGGCAGCGCGCAACTTTTTGCTTGACTGCTTCTGCTCCTTGCGCATAATACGCAGATTACCGGATCCTTCCTGACCAAGACGGCCAGATGTAATTCCCATTGCGTTATCTCCGTACTCTTCGTCAGCCGTAGCGAATGACTGCCGGTTCATTTCACGTCGCACATCCGTCATCTGTAGCCGCTCTTTCATCTTGCGATAACGCTTGCCACCACGTTTGCGGCGCGGCTTCTCGTCTGGAATAGGCAGCGCCTTCTTCGTCTTGGCCTTCTGGGGTTCCTGCCATTTTTCCATCTTACCCACTAACTCGGTACGAAAGCGAGCGCCAACTAGCCCTTCCGTGTCATTCTGATGAGGTTGACTGTCCACGCGCGCCATCAACGCCAGCTTGCCTGCTACAGCTCTGCACGCCTTCATACGCAAATACGGTGGCACACTCTGCACCAGGTCGCTAAAGAATAGGACGCCGGTATGCTTGAGTGCCGCAGCAGACGAAAAACCACTTAGGACTTTCTTATCTTGTCCTAAGACCTGCAAGTTGCACGACGGGATCCGTGCAAGTTGCGCCACACCGCCAGCAAGTCCGATAAGCTGCGCAGCGATACGTGTGCCTACGAGCTGTGACACGTTAGGCGCCAAGTACTTCATGCGGCTTTCCACAAAACGCAGAATCATATTCTTGTCCTTGTTCAGCGATAACAACTCGTTGCAAGCTTCCATGCAGATGTTCAAGTCTTCAGGACTCAAAGGTTTGCCACTAGTACCGGAACCCGTCACGGAGATTCCAATAACAGCTGAGCTAGGAAGCAGTTTGGGCAGCTCTTCCACGAGTGTCAGATCCATCTCATTGCCGATAGCTTTGACCACGCGAGCGTAGTCCAGTGCGTTAGGCACGAGGGAGTCGAGCTCCGGGAACTTGGCAGCGTAGACATCAGCGATGAAACGGTGTACGGCCTCTATCTCGTCATCGATCTGAACCATCAAGTCGTTGGACGTCACCACCAGTTCATACTCGGCACTTCCTTCCTCCAGTGGCTGGGGCTTGGTATTAGCAGAGGCATCGTCCACATCCACATATCGCTGAATCTTCTGGACGTGCGATAGGTACTTGGACGAGCGCTTAAGCGACGCGACGGCAGCTACACCGCGCTGTTTCACGCTGGAGCGCAGCGAACCGGCCAGATTTACGGTCTTTTCCTCTTCCTGGTCTTCACCCTCTCGCTTCCGCTTAGCTGGTCGAGATGGCGTGACTTGGGGCATCTGTTCGTCGACGCCATCGATACTATTTATCTCGGCGTTGACGGAGGAGGTAGATTCTACAGGGTTGGAGGAGCTCGTTGACGTTTCCTCTTCGTCACTGCTTCCGCTGAGTTCGTCTAGGTCCTCCAGGAACGAGTCCGCAAGCGAAGACATGCTTTGCGAATTCTAAATGGAAATTATTGTTTTTCTAAATTTAAAGATGCAAATCTTGGAGATCTTGCGATATCTATGGAAAGAAACGGACACAATATGCAGTTGGGCAGTTCTAGCTATTAAAATGATACACATACAAAGCTCAAGTAAACTGGCGAAACGGCACGGTTGGAGGAAGGCGGTTTAACTTTCTGACGACGAAGCTTCAGTTCCGCATTCCTGTCCTGCCACGCACACACCCAAGTCGACTCTGAAGATCATGCCGGGCCAAGAGAACACTAACAACGGAAGCAACAGCCAAAACTGGCGCCGCAAAACGCCTGCTGGTGGGCGCAAGGACAGCGACGCCGAGCACAAGAAGAAAAAACCGCGCCGTGGCGGTCGTCGCAACAACGGCAACAAGAACGCCAATACCAATGCCAATGATAACGTAAACGGCCAGACCAAGGAGGCGCCTGTCGCTGCGTCTCCTGTAAAGCAGGAGGCTCCTGTCGAGGCTTCCAAGCCCGCGAACCTGGACTACTTGTCGGATGTTCTGTTTGCGTCGCTTGACATCTCGGCCAAGACCAAGCGCGCCATCGTGGACGATCTCAAATATGTACGCCTCACTAATGTACAGAACGAGACGTTCCCGCTGATTGTGGAGGGCAAGGACGTGCTGGCAAAGGCCAAGACGGGCAACGGAAAGACAATCGCCTTCCTGCTGCCCGTGATCGAGAACATGGTCAAGGAAGGTCGTCGCTCCGGCGTCATCCCCACTTTGGCAATCTCTCCCACACGTGAGTTGGCTCTTCAGATCGCCACGGAGGCCAAGCGCCTCACGAAGTACCACGACTTCAACGTCGCTTGCTTCGTGGGCGGTGCCAATATCAAGAAGGATGAGCGCGCGCTCACCAGTAGCACGCCAATTGACATCCTGGTGGCCACACCCGGACGTCTAGTCGACCACTTGAAGCAGAACACTGGCAAGATTGCCAACCGCCTGGGCAAGGCCAGTGTCTTGATTCTGGATGAAGCCGACCGACTGCTGGACATGGGTTTCCGCCCCGATGTCATGCGCATCATTGGATATCTTCCCAAGGAGCGTCAGACGCTGCTGTTCAGCGCCACTTTGCCTGCCTCTACGGAGGAGCTCAAGCAGGTCGCTCTACGCAAAGACTACTCGTTCGTGGACACAATCGACGAGAACGAGGCGGATACCAACGTCCAGACCGAGCAGGAGTACATCGTATGCAAGATGGGGGAAGTGATCCCGATGGTAGAGCGTGTGTTGGCGGAGCACATGAAATTGGCAGCGTACAAGGTGATGCTGTTCTTCCCAACGGCTCGTTCGGCGCAATTCATGGCGCAGCTCTTCCAAGCGGCGGGATACCCTGGTGTCCTCGAGATTCACTCGCGTAAGAGTCAAGCGGTGCGCACGAAGACCGCAGAGGCTTTCCGTAAGGGCAAGAAGGTAATGATGTTTTCATCGGACGTGTCGGCTCGTGGTGTGGACTACCCGGATGTGTCGCTCGTACTGCAAGTGGGTCTGACTGACCGTGACCAGTACATCCACCGTCTTGGACGTACGGCGCGTGCTGGTATGAAGGGAAAAGGTGTTCTTATCCTGACTGAGTTCGAGACGCCTTTGTTGGACAAGCTGGCGGATTTGCCTTTGTTACAAAGCAAGAACCACTCTCCGGAGATGCTGGTGCCGTCGCAGTCGCGTGCATTGGAGGTCACCAAGAACCTCAAGAACTACAGTGACGTGGAGAAGTCAGCCCAGCAGTCATACCAGGCGTGGCTCGGTTTCTACAACTCGCACGCGAGGCGTCTAAAACTTAAGTCTGTGGAACTCGTTCAGCTTGCTGCCGATTACAGCCGTAATATCGGTCTGGACGAAGTGCCTAAGCTCGAGAAGAAGACCCTCAAGAAGATGAATCTCCTCGGCGTTCCCGGCATCGAGCCGTCGCCATACACGCGTGACAACGGCGGTAACCAAAATGGTGGCCGCAATGGTGGTGGGAACCGTGGCGGCTATGGTCGCAGATAAGGCATCAAGGTCGTGGCGAGACTTGAAAGACCAAGTGATCCAACTCGAACTCTACGTCTCGGCAACTGAATTTTGTAGTGGAACGCCAGATGACTTCCTCATCATTAGAACCCAATCGTAATTTATTGCAACGAAGGATGAGTCGGTTGACTGTAAAAAATAACTTTGCCTTATGCAGCCATGTCTATAACAGTAATTTTGCTTCACCGTTTGAAAAACGATGGACGAGCTGGCAAAGACGTTAGAGGCGTACGCTGGCGGTCTGCAGCAATCGTTTGAGTCGGTCTCTGAGCGCGTGGGACAGAGTTTATCCCAGAGCGCGCATTTGATGCGCATGATGAACGAGGTGATGGAGTCAGCCATGCTACAGAACCTGTGGATATCCTCCGGTTACCAAGTCAAAGCAGGACTTATCATCGAGGTGAATAACCGGTCGGAGATCATGCTGGGTCAGACGAAGATCCGTGCGCAACTGTACGGTTCAGAAAAAGCTTTCTTCTCTGCTACGCTTGAATCTCTCCGAGCTGGGGGGCAAGTCCAACTGCAGGCACCGATTCATGACGCCCCCGGTCAGATTGCAGGATTTATCGAGCTGGAGTGTATCAGCCCAGGCACTCAACAACCACTTACTAAACGCTCACCGTTCCGAGTGTTTTACATCCAACTCGGCAGGTTTCAAGCTCTACTGAGCGGAGAGGAAGGAGCTGCTCCAGGTCCGACTGAAGTGGCGGTGGCTTCGGACAGATTCTTGCTTGAAAGAATGCGAAACATTCTGGACCTCAGTCCAATCGACGGTATTTTGAAAGACGAACAGGGCAGGTATCGCTTCCACCCCGAATTTCCGCTACGCAACAACCCTGTGCTTTATCTCTCCGTGAAGACGGGGGGAGCAGGTGACCCAGCATTTCAAGTCACGGTGTCTGCTGCAGGAAGTGCCCACACCGCTGAAGATCGTCGACGTCAGTGCCAGCAGATAATCAACGAGTTGGAGATCGACGACGCCGACGATTCAGACTACTACAGTAAATGACCACTCATTAACAATAATGATGCATGCGCCGTAAGCTGTGATACAAAAAAATGTTTCGGTATTATGAGTCTCTATCGCCATTTTATATGGCTCTCTGCTACGCTTGAAGGTCCCTCTGTCAGCTGCAAAGACAGCAAAACTATGCACCGGTACTGTAGTTCCATGCTGCCTTGTATTTAAGCTACACGATTACGCCCACTGGCGCTTGGAGAGGTAGCCGCGATCGCTAAACCACTTATGTAGTAAGAAAGACTGGCCGCCGTACATGGCGCCCAATACGACGAGCTCGAACATCGTGTAGTAGATGATGCGCGACTTACTGCTCTCAAGTGCTACAACACCCCAAGCCAAGCAATCATTAGTGAAGATACTCGGGCAATTCAACCACGTTTGTACTTACTCTGAACGTGGCGGTGTACTCGGGCACGGTAGTAGTCCTGCTCATTACGAATAAGCTTCAGCAACGTCTGCAATCGATCTAGCGACGTCTTCACACCTTCCACGTGCTCTATTATCACCAGCAAGCACAAGCCACACGCAAGTACGTCAGGGAAGTGTCCCAATTTTTACCTCTCCAAAAACACCACCCACCTTTACGAGTCTGCTCGTCTACTTTGTCTTCCTCGCCCAGTTCGTCCTCGTTCGACAGGTCGAAGGACGTGTACCACTCGACCATCTTCGTGCTACCGTCGTGCATGTTGCCAAGACAGAAGCGATACCATCCGCCACGGTGCTCGGACTCAAAGTTGAAGCCACTGTGTTCGACGTTCTGGTTGGTCTCATCATACGGCGTTGCTACAAGGTGGTCGAAGAAGTTCTTGTCCACCTGCTCCTCTTCCGGATATGAGGGGAACGGGCCGTACGCCTTCAGTCGGACGTCGTAGGTACCCTTCGACTCCAGCACGCCGATCTTCATGAAGGCCGTGCGCTTGGTACGCACGTACTCATGAAAGCATTCCTCCACGCGCCCATCCAGCTTCACGATCATGGCGTCCGAGGGAGTGGGTGCCGCTACCAGCACTGCGACAGATGCTGCCACCACACGCAGTAGTCGTACGAGCGCCATCGTCAGTGCTGCTGTTCAGGTCGTCGACAATCAGCTCCCAGAAATAAGATCGATTGACGCGCCCACAGTCACTATTATTAGCCAATCTCTGTCACCGTAGATATTTCACCTTTCCAAATTACCTGTACCATTTTCCAGGTACCCATGCAAGGCTATTTTGGGGTCAAGCAACTGCCAACCAATTAAGCAGAACCAATGTGGACGTGTCGCCGTCTCTCGTCGCACTTGTCGACCACTGCTCGCGGTTTCCGCTCGAGCTGCATCCCATGGGCGTCAACAGGTAGTCACTTGTCGGACGTTTCGTTCGCTTCGCTGCCAATCAGCCAGAGGTCCAAGGATGTTCTCACGCGCGACATGGGCTACGAGTTTCTAACGCACGTGCAGAATGACACATTACCGCTGGTGCTGGATGGGCGAGACGTGCTGGCCAAGGGCAAGACGGGCAACGGTAAAACCATCGCCTTCTTGTTGCCAACGCTAGAGCGAATGTTAACGCATCCGCAGCCCAAGCAGGACAAGATTTCAGCGCTAGTAATATCTCCTACCCGAGAGCTGGCACAGCAGATAGCAGTCGAAGCGGTGAAGCTCACAAACGCCCATGGACTGCGCACATCCTGCTTTGTTGGAGGCAGTGCAGTTAACAAGGACGTGAAGGAGCTGACCCAGTCCGGAGGGATCGACGTGCTGGTATCCACTCCAGGAAGACTACAAGCGCATCTAGAGGACAACAGCGGACGTATCCGACAGAAACTTGACAGCCTCCAGGTTTTGGTATTAGATGAAGCTGATCGTCTACTAGACATGGGTTTTCGTCCCGACATTATGCGAATCATCAGTCATTTACCGAAAGAGCGACAGACACTGCTCTTTAGTGCGACGCTGCCTGCTGCAACCGAGGAGCTCAAGGATGTGGCTCTGCTGGACGACTATGTCTTTGTGGATACCATTGAAGGCGATGATCAACAAACCAACACTCAGGCTGTACAGGAGTACGTTGTGTGCGATCTCCAAGACGTCATTCCAGTGGTGGAAGGCATTTTAGAAGAGCACATGAAGCTGCCGGCGTATAAGGTCATTGTTTTTCTGCCGACTGCACGGTCAGCACAGTTCATGGCGCAGCTATTCCAGTCTGCGGGTTTCCAGAACGTTTTGGAGATGCATTCGCGCAAGAGTCAATCTGCACGAACAAAGGCTGCTGACGCTTTCCGCAAGGGTAAGAAGATGATCATGTTCTCGTCAGATGTGTCGGCACGTGGCGTCGACTACCCAGACGTCTCACTTGTTTTGCAAGTGGGTCTCACGGATCGTGACCAGTATATTCATCGACTAGGACGCACCGCCCGTGCGGGTATGGAAGGACGTGGCATTCTAGTGCTGGCAGACTTCGAAAAGGTGATGCTTCGTGATCTAGCCGACCTGCCACTTACAGAACTAGAGCAACGTCCTCAGCTGGACCAGCAGAACTACCGAACCACTCGTGCTCTCGCAAATGTACGTCAACGCAGTGAATTGGAGCAATCAGCAGAGAAGGCTTATGCTGCCTTCCTGGGCTTCTACAATTCAAACCTTAAGAAGCTGAAGATGTCGAAAACGAAGCTTGTTGAGACGGGAGCTCTCTATAGCCAGCTGATTGGACTGGAAAAGGTGCCGTCACTGCAAAAGAAGACACTGCGAGCGATGGGGTTAATGGACACTCCGGGCCTTACTATCGCTTCCAAACCGGTTAGAGGAAGAGAGTCTAAGGCGAAAGGACAAGGAGAACTGGACAGATTCGGCAGTGAGAATCGGAATGGCTATCAATCGCTTCATAGCCGAAAGAAAAAGGTTGATCGCAGCAGCAGCTTGTGGAGATCGTACAACGACAAAGAAGCCAAGCCTTTTCAAAGCGAGCAGTCTTTCAAGAGTAACAGGAGTCGAAGCGCCTCACCAAGTACGAAACGTGAAAGTCGCTCCCATGGACACAAACGCTCTGCGAGCTCGGCAACCAAGCGGAATTACAAGGAGCCGCACAAGAGATACTACAAGAATGATAGATAGATAAGCGGGTTATCTTCTGCTGTCGATGGCTATGTCATACCTGAGGCTGTCAGGGCCAGCAGCAACAACGATAAAACACGCAAAGTTCTTCACGAAAATCATATATACCTAAGGAATGGACTGGTACCTGGATCGCTGATGATGCTGGACAGCGAACCAAGTAGCGGAAGCACCGACAACGGCCCCGATGACAGCTCCAATACCAAGTTGAGCGATTGAAATAGTGCTCGAAGATGAAGCACTGACGCCAGCAGAAGGCTGCACTTCAAGGTTGGCACTGACATTCTGCCGACTTTCAAACAGCTCAAACTGTTTTTTCAGCTTTGGGATGTGTGGGGGCACCAACGTGTCGCCTGGCCACTTGGAGAACTCGCTGAGTCTGAGCCACCATTCTGGATAACCAGGCATCTTCATTTCCTCAGGAGCTTCGCCCGTGGTGATGTAGCCGTCTGCGTATTTGCCCACAAGTTTCCATGCAAACGCCCACCACTCGTCAACGACTCGTGAAGCCAATCGATTTGATTGCTCTTGTAGATACGCGCGTACGTCCGCTGGCGTCAAATCCTTTGTGTCGGTAACATGACGCTCCATCGTTTTCCGCTCAGTGAAGCAAGCTTTTTGCAACTCAGTCAAGCGAGCTCGGATGTCCCTGCTAATGGCATCAAAGCGCAACATGCTCCAGTTGTTAACGAAGGCAAAAGCCCACCAAGCGGACTTGTGTGTAAACTCGCTTTCCTTGCCGAGGACGTATGCGGACGGAACTTCTTGCTGCGCACACGAGAACGGCACATATACCGAGGCATGCGGTGAACTCTGTCCGTACCAGGCCACACCACCAACCTCATCCGGAAGGTGAGCACGCGCTTGCAGAACGAAACTGAACACTGTGCGATACATGGAAATGGGTCGTTCCCAACCTCCTACGACACCTTTTTCATCGCCTCCCCACCGCATTGGGTTTCCGAACGGTCCTGCCGCTAATCCTTTGGTCAAGTCGTATGACGTGCCTTGATAATAGTCACGCAGTAAATGCGTCACGTCCGCTACGTCGAGGTTACGGTCTGGTTCAACTGAGAACGGATATGTCGGATATTTGGGGTAGTGTCCAAGTCGAGAGTCTAGCTGCAAGGACGGCGCCACGAGATCAAACACACGCCAAATACGACGACCCATATACAGCGCGCGCACGGGATCTGGCGTTTGGGAGGCGTATGCAGCGGTGAAGTCGAATTTGCCTTGCTCGGGGTCCCACCACCCCATCTCTTTAGCGAAAGAAAACACATTGCCAGACGCCATGAAGCGCTCTGGATCATCCAGATCCATTTCACGGATCACGAAGCCATTAGCCACCACGACTAGGTGATTATCATGCACGCGTTGGGCTGCCCATACAGCGCTAGCGTTCTGCGGACCCGTCAAGACGTGGAAAACCCACACTTCTCCGTATCGATCAGCAATGCCCAGTGTCTCCGCTGCACTCACGTAGTCTGGGTTGGCTGGGTCTCCACTGTCTTCACTGTAGAATCCATACTGGACGGCCAGATCGCCCATCAACTGGATTGCACAACGAGCCGAGTCGCAGCGCTCCAAAGCAACTTTGGTTAGCTCTCCGATGCCGAACATGTTGTATCCGTGCGGACCCGCGTCTGTGGGCCAGCCAGCTGTCCTGGCTCCGCTTGTACTCTCTCCAATACTGAGCTGCACTTCGTTCATGAAGCCGTAGTCCTGGTCGAAGTAGCCGTAGGTGTGTGGTACCTCTGGGATCTCACCGAGAGGCGTCATGAGCTGCTCCTGGTCACTCTTGGGTTCGTACTCGGGCCCTCGCTGACTCGATACAAGGCGTGGGTAGCCTGGCTGCACATTGTAGACGTGCCGCATCGCTCCTTCCTCGTGGCTCTGGGCTGGTACACGCACCATCCGCAGGTCGGCGGCGCCGAAGCCCGCGTCATCGGTGTGAGCCACCAAAGTTGAACCGTCAACAGTTGCGTTCCGCCCCACCGCGATCATCGTGCACGCTCTCGCCAGCGGTAGCAACATAAGTAGGAGCAGGTACATGATGACTCGTCGACGTAAAGATTAAATCAATGGCCTTGTGCTGCGGGGAATGAGAAACTTGAAGTGGTGCCGGCGATCCTTTTTGCATTCACCGGTCGGATTTGAGAAAAGAACGATTTGCAGAGCAAGTTTTGACTGATTCTGTATAAATAATATTGCTTGAGTTAAAAGACCTGTCATAAAATACTAAACGTGGATGGACACTTAGGCCATTAGGCGGGGACGGATAGAGCCGATGGCCGTGTACGGCAGGGCGCTGGACAGCGACAGCTCGCGGATGGAAGGCAGCTTGTAGCCACTGATCAGTTTGCGGGTGGGGGACAGGTCAGGCAGGCTGAACACAGGTGCCGGGTGCATTGGCGGGGACACGATCCGAGGTTGGTACGACAGGGCTGCAGCCATGGTGGTAGTGGTGCCGGGGCGAGGAAGAATCGGTTTGCACTTCTCAACACCGTAGTTGGCCACGGCCAGGGCCGCACGCTTGGCTGGCTGCTGCTCCTCGTCTGCAGCTTTGCGCTTGCGCGACTTCTTGCTCTGACGCTTCACTAGCGACATCTCACTGAAGTTGTCGCGTGTGAAGTGCTCACGGCTGTATGTGGGGAACTGCGCACGAGCCTTGCTCCATTTTCGGAAGCCGAAGTAGTTGAGCTGGCGCTGGAAGCTCGAGAAGTTCTTGTTCTTAAAGTACTTGGGCAGAATGTGCGTGGTCATGGCCTCCTTGTCAAGGATCTGAAAAGCCATGCCGTCTTCGGACCAGCGGATGACGCGAGGGTCCTCGCGTCGCAGCATCTGATGCAGATGCAGTAGGAATGGCGCCACCCAGCCGCGCTTCGGGGTGTCCGAGCTACAACTATCGACTGATGTCGCGGGCGACGGCGGGCACTCGGGCGCTGCCTCGCTGGAAAGAAGGTCTTGTACGTTCATTGATAACAGATAAGAGCTGCTTGCGCTTCACTGAGCGAAATCGGAAATGAGACTGGCGCGAGAGCGCGTTTCTTGACAACCCAAGTAGGCATACTGAATCCTTATAGTTTTTCTTTTTTTGAATCTGGATTCGACTAACAACCAACACGAAGATATAGTATTGCAGTCACCTCACGCGAATCTTACAAGGGGTGGGGCAGGGACTTCGTGGAGCGGCTTTAAGAACGGCATGAACTGTAGGCAATATCTTCATAAAGGCCGATGCCCATGAACCGTGAAGCTTTCTTTAGCACCAGATCCTCTGCTGCCTCCGAGTACGAATGTGCCAACTATTCTTACCTGGAACTGTAAACTACTACAGTACAAAACGATCTCTTCGTGGGTTCTTTATGATGCGGAGGTTTTCAGACCAGATTTGCCTTTGCGAATCGCAAGTTGCGATGGGAGATTCTCCAGTTGTTAGATTCACCAATGAAACCTGAGTTTTGTATTGCCTGACGAATCTCTGGCCTGCAGAATTCCGGTCGTTTCAACGAGAAACCATTTTCTTTGCTTTCCCAAGAGACAACTGCGTGTTGCAGTCAAAACGCCGTTTCCTTTTTTATTCTCTAAATAAAAGGTCAAAATGAACGAAAGATACAGCAACAAACTGACACAGGCGACAATAATGTTAAATGTGGCAATCTCACAAGTACTACTGTAGCTGTGAATCAGACGAGCGATCTTCAAACGACGCCAGCTCGCATCATGAAGATTCGCGTACCAGTACGCTTCCTGATCGGTGCGCTGTTGGGCTAGACTCGGTCTGATGAAGATTCTAGCTGCAGCTGACTTCTTTTCCACCCGTAGGCAACGTGTGTAGCTTCTCATCGCTGGCGCTGCTTCTGGCTGCATGCAGTGGCCACAAATGGGCACGAGACGCCGTCAACTCTGTGGATATCGGACTTTGGCACCTCACGGTGCGAGCAACGACAATGAATCTCTACTCCTACGCGTACTGAAGCTCTTGATTCAGGGTACAGGCGTGCGCTACAAACTCGTTAACGCTGGCGCCGAGATCGAAAGCACGGAGACAGACCAACCTGCCACGCGTTACAGTCATTTCTGGTAGTGTATGGCTTTATTTTTTGTGATTGAAGCTTTCGGCCGTGCAAACTGACGATCGGTCGAGCAGATCGCTGCCTCTAGCGACCCGTGGTGTCTGGGCGATGCCACCGGCACGAGGTTTTTTACCGTATTGGCGCTGATGGCCGCCATGGTCAGCTTCTTAGTAAGCATCATGGTGACATTCAGCATCAAGATTCCCGCGTGGAACGGGGAAGGCGAAGAGCCCACGCTGGTTACTCCAATAGTGTGCTCACTGGTTGAGACTGTGTCGCTGATCCCTGCCGTAACGCTGTGGCAGCGCATGGTGAACGTCTACGACGAGCAATGTCGTGAAACGATGCACATCAATACCTTCACATGCATCGAGATGGGCCCCACACATTCGTACGCCATAGCTGCTATTCCATTTGCTGCAGCTACCTACTGGCTGTGGCGGCTTTCGCATTGTTACCATGTGAGTCTCCCTTTCCACACAATCGAACATGCCTTGACTCCTACGCTTTACATTGCAATAGGAGGCTAAACAAGCTGGCAGGATTGCCGATGGGTTTACACTAGCTGCGAAAACAGGCAAGAGTCATCGTGTACATGCTACGCCATTGCTTGAACAGTGATGAATAGTGTTAATGATATAACCTCATGCAGACAATGTGGACGAGATCCTTTCGGGAATCGCCAATAAGATTGATATTGATGCTAATGGATCCGACGGTAGAAATGCACTGCATTGGGCTTGCACGTTGCACCGAGCAAGTATTTGCCATGTCTTACTTAAGAAAGGGGCATCGATCAGTAAGAAAGATGTAAGTCGGCATGGAGGTGGTACAGTAGTTCCAACCTGGAATTCGCAGATTGCTTGGCTTACAGTAGCGTTGTTCATGTACCAGAGAGATGGCTGGACACCTCTACATTGGGCAAGTCGGGTTGGTAACTTGGATATCGTGCGCCTTCTAGCCAAATACGGTGCCAACTTGAATGTCCAAGATCGATGGGGTACGACTCCGTTAATACTGACGGTCATCGGTGAAAGCAAGGTTGCAGCGGAAACGCTAATCGAATTAGGTGCTTCAGTCGATGCACGGAATGTGGGTTTGCAGCATGTTTTTTAATGGGGAGTCGATTCCAACCATGGGGTTCTGTACTCGAGCAGGTATTTGGACAGACACCACTGATGCTGTGTGCGGAAGGAGGGACTTCTCTCCACCAGCTAGGCATGGTATTTTTGAATGCTGGCTCAAATCTTACGTTGCAAGATGTATGGACATGTAAAATGGGAAGTTCTTAAAAAGAATGGCTACTAAAACATATTTGGTATCGCAGGCACAAGGCATGACGGCGTTGCACTATGCGGCTGCCTGCGGAAGTGTCAATCTTTTGATGAACATGCTCCAGCAGTGTGATGCTGATTTGGTCGATAAACCAAACAAGGTGAGCAGTACCAACAAATGACGAATTATTGACAGCTAACTCGAATCTGTTCAAACCAGTTCGGGGAGACGCTGTCATACCTTGCTGTTCTGCATTCACACACAAAAATACTGGACCTGGTCAAGAATTGGCGCGAAGGAAACCCCATCGTTGCATATCACGAGAATGACGAAGATGATAGTGAGGCCCAGGACAGTACAGACTCGTTCGAAGACGATGATAGCTACGATAGCAGCGAGGAGGACGATTGAATGAAGTCATGCACTGTTAACAACCACTGTAGTAAAAAGCTTTTGGATCTATAAAGTTTGAGCCTACCTCCTCTCTATTGGAGCTTCTCAAGAAGTAATTTAGTGCCCTTCTGCTTGTCGGCGAGTTTGTTCAGCTCTCCCATCACTGGTTTCAGAGCATTCTTCACCACCTTGGTAGCGTTCTTGGGGACGTTCTCAGCCTCCAGGAATGCGAGCACCACAAATGAACCCCGGTTGCTTGTCGCCCACTGCGGAAACTGCTCTTCGACAGCCGCAAGCAGAGGTTCCGCCAGCGAGGTTTCCTTGATCAGACGACGCAAAGCGTAGTGTCCGTTTGCATCACTGTGGAGCGGCTCCGTTTCCTCATCAGAAGGCTCCGCCACAACAGCGGCCGCAACGCTGTCTGCCAGATCCGAGTTCTCGCTCCGTTTAGCGACCTCGACAATTACATCACGGCCTTCCTTCGAGCGCATCAAAGCTTCAGCGTTCCCAGCACACATCTCTTCCAGCTTGGGTTGCAGACCCTTCAGCAGCTCCTCACGACGAGCGTCCGGGTCCTTCTTGTAGTTGACCACCATGACGGTCGGATCCTCCGGCGACGGCAGCATGGGTGGCTCCAGCAGCGCTAGATCGTCTGCCGAGAGGTATTTTTTGTTCAGAGGGCTAAGCAGCTGCAGCAAAATCTTGCGTCCACTCGGGTGCATCGCAATCGAGAAGAGCTCGTCGTTCATCTCGGCCAAAATGGACTTTTGCACCAGTACGGAGTCGTCCACTACATCGAAGATGCGCATGATCACGAGGTAGCCACTGGGGTGGTTGCAAGCGTCCAGCACCTTATCCTTTAGAGCCTTTATAATACGCTTACGGTCCTTGGCCGCACCGAGCGAAATGCACTTGTTCACCACACGAGCACCGTTGCGTGTGGCAAGCAGCGCCAGCGACGCGTCACGCACGTTGGCTACCATATGCATCACGTCGTCGTGCTCTGCGTTGCACATGTACTCCCACAGCAAAGACTGCACGAACGCCAGACCGAGAAGTTGCTTGTCCACCATGCGATTCAAGATGGTGGTCAGATGCTTGAGCACATCGGCCTTCTTGTCCGGGTGTGCGGCAATAATGTCTGCAAGGTTGCGCTTGCTCTCCGACTGAAAGTAGGCAAACTCACGGCCGTAGAACTCCAGCTTGAGCGCTGTGAGTTGCGACGGCTTGAGATATTCCTGTGCGTACTCGATAACGTTGGCTGCAATGTTGTGCGTGCCGATCTGCACGACGTGACCTGTGAGGCACTTCACGATGGCGGTGCGGTCGGCCACGCTGCCGTAACGAATCATCTTCTGCACGAGGAAGCAGCCGTATTGCATCTTGCATACTTCGACAAGGTGCTCATTCATCTCGAGCACGATCTGCGAGCGGTGCTCGGGCTTGCCGTGCTGCATGAGCGACTGGATGACTCGCGAGGCGTCGTGCTTGGCAGCCACGTCGTAGATCTTGCCCTTAACCAGCGTGTAGAGCTCGTCCACGAGCGTGGCACGCTTGTTCTTGTCTACATCACGCTCACGGATAACGTTCCAAATCTGCTTGGCGCGCGTGACCATCTCGTAGTGCGGGCGCTGCATCTTGCGCTGCTTCTTGGCGAGTTTCTGGTCCATGAACGACTTCTTGCCGTCCTCACCATTGCCGCTAGCAGGGCGCTTCTTAGCGTTAAAGCCGCCTTTGCCGCTGTTGTAGCTCTTGTTGCCCTTGGGCGTTGACGTCTTCGCTTGCACCGCCATGTCTATCACTGCAATGTCGAGCTCGCCAAGCTTGCGCCAACCAGTCAATACCAATTGGTCGAGACATATCACAAATCAACAGAGCCTTTTTCACAAAACTTTATCACAAAGAATTAAATCACAAAGTACCAATATCACAAAAGGGTGTACAAATATGTATAAAATTACTTTTTAAAATGTCGCAAAAGCGGTCAGATCATATAATGTGATTCCGACCACGATCTTGAAGCGCCGCGTCCGTTCAATGGCAAAGATCTAAGCGGAACTAAGAGGCAATCTTAAAGCATGGCCTTGTTCTACGACTACAATGTGGCGGTGCCGGCCAACCTACGCCAGATCTGCTCAGTCTGGGGAGAGCTGGACCCCGTGCTTGCCGTCGCATTGGAGAATCGAGAAATCCATTTTTTCACCGATGAGGTTTGACTTGTAGCAAATACTGCTAATCGAGGTACAAGCGCGAGTGATAATGAGTTCAATGCTGATCGCTGCAGGGCGATAAGCAACAGGGACTGGAGAGCTACTCGCGTAGTGCCGATATCGTCACCATGGCCTGGCAGCCTCGTGGTGGGGCACTTGCAGTAGGCTGGAGCGACGGTACGTCATCTGCATAGGCCACTCAACTTACTATCTTGACTGCTAACCTGACTGTTTTATTGTAGGTATGGTGTCTCTATGGGTGTTTAATGAGCAGGCAGCGCGCGAGGTGAACTCCCCACACACAAGCCGCGTTTGCCTGTTGAAATGGGCTCCAGCAGGCAACCGACTCATGTCTGCGGACGAGAACGGAGTATTCGCAGTCTGGAAAGTGGACAGTCGTTGCCAGCTCACGCTCAGCACGCAATATGCACGCCAAGGTAGCCTCACCCATTGCGTATTTGCCACTCGACCCACTCTGTCGAAGGACAGTAACACCAAACCGTGAGTATCTTATTGCATTGTTGTCCATTCATGCTCGTTGCATCTGATTCATTTTAACATATTCAGCGACCACTTTGCTCAACATTCCTGTCCGCAATTCTTTTTCGGCGGTGCAGTGGGATCTGTGCACTATGCTGACGACCTGGGACATATCTCGGACATTCAAGTTCTGAATCATGCGATCGAGTCGATGATGTTTTACGAAGAACAGAACCGCCTGCTTGTCATCACGCGGGCAGTGCAGCTTATTGTGTACCAAATAGGAGCGACGGATGGCACGGTGAAGCCAATAACTAAGGTCAAACTGAGTCTCGCGGGAGAAGGATCTTTGCTTGAAAGCAAGTGGGCTAGTCCAGGGCTACTAGCTATTGCGTCCGGCGAACCTTTAGTGCGCTTTTGGAACATTCGCACGGAAGAGAACAGCGTCTTGAGCTTACCAAAGTCGAGTGGACTCAACTACAACGTCAACAATTTGAGTTTCTCCCCACGAAGGCGTGTCCTCGTGGCTGGTACGGCTCAAGGAGCAGTGTTTTTCTGGCGCGCCACGTCCTTTATTGACAGCATTGCGCAGGGTAACGCTGACCCTGCGAATGTTTCATATCGTTGGGACCTTCTGTTTACGGCCGAGGTGGGCCGAGCAGTCACACGTCTTGGATGGAGCAATGCACACCCTGCCTTATACGCCAATACTGTCGAAGGTGTCGTCATTTTGCATGAAGGCAACATGCAGCGTGCACTCTGTGGAGATACCGCAGTAATTCAAGTACGACCCAAGACCCTTTCAATTGAAAAATTCCAAGATGGAGTGCAGTCTGGCGTGACTATCACGCAGTCGATGCTAGAGGCATCACTGCGTGTTAAGGGTATTTCGCACGACGGGTCAACACTTGTGATTTGGAACGGCTCGAAAGCAGAAGTGTACGAGATGAAGGATGGCGATGCTAAGATGATCAACCAGTTCAAATGTTTCTCCAGTTCTATGGTGCTAAGAGGTGAATCCATCTACCGTGCGAATGGGAACCACGTCGAAGTGTGCAATCTTGCAGGAGTCGTAAAAAACACTATCTCGTTCACAGAAGCAGAGGGCCGACCAGCGATGCTGTCACTTCAAAATAAGTTTCTCGCAGTGGGTACAGATCGTGGTCTTCTGCGTGTGTTCGACGTGTCACGTCGTGATCCAAAAGCTCTCGGAAGTATGGGCAACCTCCCCGAAGCTTTTGATGAAGAGACAAAATGCACCGTGATGCGCGCCATTTGTGTCAACTCAGACGGCACACGTATCTGCATTTTAGCTGACCGAGTCGAAGGCGGCTTGTGCATGCGAGAGCCGTCGAACAAGCTCTATTTGTTCCAAACGGACCTCAATATCTACCAACAATTCGACTTTGGATCTTCACGATACCCAGTTTCCGTCTTCTTTGACCCTCAAGAACCACGCTTGCTTGTTTGCGAGACGGTTAAGACTGGCAACGATAACTTGTCGACCGCAGCAGGTGGCGTTAGTCGTCGGGACTTAAATTCCGACGACGGACTCGGAGCCGGCGTTGCAGGTGGCAACCGAGGAAGCCAAGTCTCGGACAAGGAGATCACGATCATTTTTGCGTCAAACGAGCACGGTCTTCTCATGCAAGATAGCTTCGATCTTGAGCTAAAGTACACGGCGTTGCTCGGTATTCAAGTTCCACGTGTGTATTTCGTAGCGAAAGTGGACAGTAGCTCTTCGGATGACTCCACTACTGTGGTGCACGTTGGTCGAACAAAGACCAACAATCCAATGACGAAAACCCCGACAGTCTACGATACTGTAAGCTACTTGCGAACGCAGATCATGCGTGACTTCACAGGCCTGGACAAGGTCAATAACGAGGCCAAGCAAGCTTTAATCGACTTCTGCTACTTTATGACGGTCGGCAATATGGACGAGGCTTATCGCTCGGTAAAACTCATTGAGAACCCGTCTGTTTGGGAGAATATGGCTCGCATGTGTGTCAAGACAAAGCGCTTAGATGTGGCTGAAGTTTGTCTTGGGAATATGGGTCATGCTCGAGGTGCAGCTGCCGTGCAAGAAGCCAAGAAGGAACCGGAAGTTGAAGTGGCGATTGCCATGGTAGCGATCCAACTGGGACTGCGTGATGATGCAGCGAGACTTTACCGCGAGTGTGGGCGTTACGACCTAGTTAATAAACTATACCAAGCATGTGGATACTGGAAAAAAGCAGTAGACGTAGCAACCAAACGCGATCGTATTCATCTCAAGGCGACGTACCATGCGCTTGCACGGCACTACGAAGAAATGGGCGATCTCAAGGAGGCCATGGAGGCCTACGAAGATGCTGGTACTCATCAGAAAGACATCCCACGAATGCTATTTAAGTTAGGGAAGGTCGATCTTCTGCAGAAGTACGTTGCTACCTCTAGTAATCGCGACCTATTGATCTGGTGGGCGCAATTTCAAGAGAGTCAAGGTCAATTCGATGCGGCAGTGGAGAGTTACCAGCGTGCCAAGGACTATCTGTCCATTGTTCGCGTCTTGTGCTTCAAGAAGGACTTCCAGGCTGCTGCCAAAGTGGCACAGACAAGTGGGAATCGCGCAGCAGCTTACCATTTGGCCCGACAATTTGAAGCACACAACGAGGTTTCCAACGCGATCCACTTCTTCGCAAGTGGTGGCTGCTACAACCACGCGATTCGTCTTGCCAAGGAGCACCGCATGGATGCTGATCTCATGGGCTTTGCCCTGATGAGCAAACCAAACGACATGCTTGACTGTGCTGCGTACTTTGAAGAACAGCGCGAAATGGAGAAGGCAGTCCAGCTCTACCACAAAGGAGGCAATGTGGCTAAAGCTCTGGACTTGTGCTTTCAAGCGCAACTTTTCGACGAGCTGCATCACCTCACGGACGAACTTAGCGGCTCTGGCAATACGTCGCCAGCGATTCTCAAGAAATGCGCAGACTTTTTCATCGCGAATGGACACTACGCTAAGGCTGTGCACTTGTGTTTGATCGGAAACCGATTGGCTGAGGCATTGGACGTGTGCATGCAGCAGGATGTAAAGGTTACAGATGAGATGGCCGAGAAGATGACTCCACCTAAAGGTGATGGCAGCACGGCGCCTGCAGACAAAAAGAGACGCACGGAGTTACTTCTCAAGCTTGCCAAATGTTGCAAACAACAAGGTTCATATCATTTGGCAACGAAGAAATACACCCAAGCTGGCAACAAACTCAAAGCTATGAAGTGTCTACTCAAGTCGGGAGACACTGAAAAGGTTGTATTCTTCGCCAATGTGTCGCGCAATGCTCAAATATTCGTTCTCGCGGCCAACTACTTGCAGAATCTGGATTGGCGCAATGACACCGAGATCCTTAAGAATATTGTGGTATTCTACACCAAAGCTCGTGCGTTTGAGCAGCTAGCAGCGTTCTATGCTGGCTGTGCTCAGGTTGAGATTGAGGAGTATCGCGACTATGAGAAGGCAATTTCGGCGTTGCAAGAAGCTGTACAGGTGGTGTCCAAGTCTCGTGCAGACGGCAAGGACGCACTGCTAAAGCGCTATGAGAAACGCATTCTACTTATTGAACAATTCACTGTGGCCCGTCAACAGGCTAAGCACAACCCGAAGGAGACGATGGACATGGTCACGAAATTGCTGGAGGAGCCTGGAATCGAGGAAGCTATTCGTGTCGGTGACGGGTATGCAATGCTGGTTGAAGGGTATTATGAGGAAGGTGAGCTGAACAAGAGCTTAGAGACGATGGAGGAGATGAAGCGAAAGGGACTCACGCTCAAGTCGTACGTGGACCCTCGAGTTGTGGAGGCTGTTCAAGCGAAGCTAGGCGTTTCGCTGGGGGACGACAGGCGCCGTAGACCTTCACCAAGCGACTACAAGCAGGGGAGTTCCTCTAGCCGTCCTGACTCGCGTGAAGCCAAACCTGGTCAACCAACAAGTCGTCCTGTTTCGAGAGAGGCGCATAGTATCCGCCCAGGTTCTCGTGGGGCTGCAATGAGTCGCCCCAACTCACGCGAGGACAAAATGGGAGACGACGAGGTCGAAGACGAAATGGAAGAAGACATCGCTGAGGACGAGTAGGCAACAGCGATATCAAGCACGTTTTAGGTTAAGCATTATGAACCTCAACATTTTTTTTCTTCATTTTTAAAGTGACAGTCCCTATTCAGATGACAAGAAGATGCAATTTTCAAGCCACGAAACGGCGGTCGTTTCCAGTGGAAGTTCCACGTCTGAAAACGCGAGGTCATGCCAAGACCTTTACTGCCTGACAACGTCATCTCTCCACCGACCAACACACAGCTATCGAAAGACCCAACCTGTTCATCGATTTTTTACGATGACTTGCTCACCTCCATGACGCCGTATCTTACCTGTCAGCGTTGCAACAGCGTGGCGTTCGTCGATCTGAAGCGGGTACGGCGTAAAGCGGATCAACTGACTACTTCCAAGGCTGGCGATAGAAAAGACACCACCTTTCTGTACGAGCAAGTCCCGAAGTGTCCTGTTTGTGGTAGCACAAGATATCTGCGAGCCGGAGTTGTAAGCTTCCAGGAGCAGATCGAGGAGGAGCGAAATGCCATCAAGGAATTTGAACGTCGACGAGTTCCAGCCACCGCTTTGCTACAACGAATTGCCCGCGGTTTCCTTGGGCGGTTGGAGTTCCGTCGTCGATTAGTCGAGCGTGAGCGATATCTACGAAAGATCAAACGTGCGGCAACAAAAATTCAGACACGGGTACGAGGAATGCAGGCACGAAGGCGAACTGTCATCGAGCGATGTCTACGGATTATTCGCTTTATGGCTCCACAGATTCTTAGCTACGCGCTAGCTGCCCGACAGAACGTGCCACTAGTTTTTTGGTACTCAAATGCAGCAGAATTAAGTGTGTTTTATTGGAACTACCGAGAGTACGTACGGCGTTCGGGTGGGAAACCTTCTTTGATCAAGGTGGAGAACAATGTAGTGGAGATAACGAGACGCGTGCTGCGTCGCGAATACGCGCTTGTCAGTCGCATTCAAGCACAATGGCGGGGACTAGCCACGCGTATGGTCTTCCGTGACTTCAAGAGACAGAAAGGGTGGCTGAAGGGTATTCAGCAGTCTCCAGCTGTGAAAATTCAGCGACTAGTTCGTGGTGTTGCAAGTCGTCGTCGTTGCCAAGCATTGCAAGTGACCACCAAGTACCCAGCTCAACGTGAAGCCTATCGCAAGGAAATGACAGCCCGGGCACAGCAGTCGAAGGCATTAGTCTTCCGCCAGCGTCTGATGGCCAAGTACCAACAACAATTCCAGATCAATCGCACCACGCGGATGATCGTGCAGACAGTCAAGAAGCCATTGACAGCCAAAAAGTATGGGTCTCATTCCACTGATGAGGAGCATGGAAAAGATTTAGGCCCAAAAGCCAGTTCACATGTCCAGCACTCCCTCAAGAATAGTGGCAACTCGATCATGAACAATGACAAGTCCATGGCAAAGGCGTGTGGCGGAGTGCTACTACCTCGAAACCCGAACGCTATTCGGTTCGCACAGATAAGGCGGCAGTTTGAGGGCAAAAACGGAAAGCTACGCGGACCAAAGCTTCACATTCTAAAGGCGCAGATGTACGCACCCTCCACTTCCAGCAACTCGGAGGTCTCCGTTGATGAAAGTCGATGTTGAAGTTTCTGTTTAACTTAACGAAATTTACACTAAGGAGCGGATATGTTAAAATTCCAAGCACCAGGTGGTACAATTCACATTCAACTGTTCATTCAGCAACAAGACCTGAAGAAGAATGAGTAACTCGGAGTGCGTCGTGACGGCCTTTGGCTGCAATGATGACGGGCAGCTGGGCACGGGCGCTAAGCGTCGACCGACTTTAGCCATTGACGACGTGTCGGCCTCAAATTTCCCGCAACAGATCGGTAACCTACCTGACGAGGACATTGTGGCGGTCTCGTGCGGATCTCGTCACACTATGGCACTTACCTCCAGCGGCGCTGTGTACTCTTGGGGCTGGGGATCGGTGCGTTCTGACCACTTACGGCGAATGATAGTTCATGTACTCATGCTTCGTTAATGGTAGATGGGACAACTGGGCCACGGAGATCTCAAGATCATCAATGAGCCGCAGAAGATTGCCTTCTTCGAGCAGGAAAGGCTCGAGGTAGACTACATTTCGTGTGGAGGTTGCCACTCTGCCGCTGTGACCAAAGACGGAACGCTTTACGTGTGGGGTGAGTCGCACTGGGGTCAACTTGGCTTGCCCAAGGAGTATGAAGCAGCGCACGAGTCGTTGCCGGTTAAATGCCCCATGCCCGAGGGTGAAGCTGGCGAAACTATCGTGAAGGTCAGCTGCGGCGGCACTCACACGGCTGCATTGACTAGTTTTGGACGCGTCTACGTGTGGGGACGTGGCGATAGTGGCCAGCTGGGCATCGGCTCTGTGTGGATGAAGGACCCAGAGAACGAGAGTTTAATGGGAGCGAGCCGTCCGCATCTGCTGAAGGCATTCAATGGTGAGAAGGTCGTGCAAGTTGCTTGTGGTGCTTTCCACTCGGCAGCAGTGACGGAGCAAGGACATGTGTATGTTTGGGGAAAAGAAGACTACGGTATGCTTGGCGTTGGCCAGTCATCCGACCAGCAGATCCCGAAGCGCTTAGAGTATTTTGACGACATCCCAGTACTGTACGTTTGCTGGCTCATGCGTGCTACTTGTATTTTATTGCTTACTACAACGAATACTTGCAGGCGTGTATCATGCGGTGGCTGGCACACGGTGGTGGTCGCCAAGTCGGGAGACTGCTACGCTTTCGGACGGGGTGAATATGGTCGACTGGGCCTAGGTGACACAAAGAGCCGTACCCGGCCGCACTTGGTACAGCTTGAAGCACTTCTGCAATACATCTTCAATCAACTAACAGCTCCCTGGCGCTCTTATCTCCTCAGGTGAAAGCATTGAAGGGGAAAACGGTGATTCAGGCAGCGTGCGGTGGCTCTCACACTCTGTTTGTCACGAGCGACGGCACCGCCTACGTTGCAGGACGGCCTGAGTGCGTACATGTTTTGACGAGAAGGTAGAAACCGCATCTGTATTAACTTTTTTTCTTTTTGCTGCAGCCATGGACGACTGGGTTTGGCGGACATGAAGGCCTTGGGAGTACCTACGCGTCTGGACTTAGGTCCGATCCCTGTTCGTCAGTTCTCTGCAGGCGGCGCGCACTCGGTGGCTTTGATGCACAGCTCGCGCCCTATCTTCTCGCCTATGATATCTCCGATCTCCACCAGCGAGTCTGTCCCGCATGGTGAGCTATAAATGAGCTGTCATTCGGATGGCTATGCTGCGACCAGCAAAGGAGCACCGCTCGCAGCATTAGAAAGGAGCGACCTCAGGCACAACATGTACATGTAGACAAGTCAACGCTTTGAACAATGTACATCAAGTTACAGTGTTTAAGCTCGATAGACATCCATATTGGTTTCACAAGGCCTTTAATTTTAGGAGAATAAACAGGGCGATTTTCACTAAGAAAGGTTCCTCAGAGGAACAGGCCCTCTCAGAGGAACTTCCTCTTAATAAATGCGTTTGCAAAGGTGCTTTGTTGCAGATACCCTTTCGAAATTCGACTCGACAGCAATGAGCGAGGACGCGTCTTCGTCTTCTAGCGCCCACTCGCGCGACCATATTGACAGCCTGGCATGGTCCTCGATGCAGTCAGTCGGACGAGGACCTAGGCGCAGTGTGGTACGCACTACTGAGAAGTCGGTTGTGTTTCGAGTACGCACACAAGAAAAGCTGGCCGGTCGAGGGGATAAAAGCTTAAATCAGACGCTGTGCCTAACCCAGAGCGAAGGTCGGGGCGGTATCGATGACAAGGACATCCATGAGACTCTGTCGGAGCTGTACGCAGATGCGGAACGGAAGAAAAAGTTGCTGAACAGTGAGGAGGAGACGTTCCTACGGGGACAGGAACGTCTGAGTAGCCTTCAACGAGAACACGGAGAGCTTCTACACAGTTTGGAGCAGTGCAAACGGCGAAGGAAAGAGAGGATTCGTATCCAGAATATGCTGCATGGTCCTGAAGCGGACAATGAAGACTACGAGCGCGAGAGGAGCATTGCAAGCGATAGTGGTAGTGACAGTGACCGCTATCGACGGAGTAGCAGCGGCAGTAGCAGTCGCCATCATCGGCCACGACGAGATGGAGCTAAAAAGGAGCGCAAGCGTCTGCGACGATTCCAGAGCGACGTGTCCCTGCGATTCCAGCTGCTCCAGTCCGAGTGTCGACGCTCTGACGTGGAGGTGGACAAGCTTAAAGCCGACTTACGGCGTGAGTACGCTGATGCGTGCCTGTTTGGCAACTCGTTGAACTTTTAGCAAAGCTGCCGGTGCCGTGCAATACCATTTTCCACTTCAATATTATTAATAGCGATAAAATCTTCACATTGCAAAACATTTTTATTAAAAGTTTAAACACCCGTTTCGTGACGTTTCCCGCCGAAAAGTTGCTCATATTATTCCGTACTTCAATTCAAAAGGCCGTTCGACAATTAATGTGGGCTTCCGAGGCCGGGCTCCACGACGATGACCCGCGCGAGATCCAGCGTCGACGAGAGGCTTATGCTCGAGAGCTTGACCATCAAATCGCGTTGCGCCGGGCACGTCAGCATCAAGAGGAGATGGAGCGCGAGGAGCTGGAGCGCAAGCTGGCGCCAACTGAGCTCTCGCCATCGAAGTGGCTAGTCGAAGGCGGCCACCTGGACCCACCGCCAACCACTCAATCACCCTGGAAGTTTACTCAAAGTGTAAATCTCCATAACGAGCAGCAACAGGACCGCGGCGCCGCCACTGGCGAGGCGAACAGCGTGTCATCGTCCCACCCGCGCTTCCGAGTGACTGATGAGAGCGAGACCAGCCAGAGGCTGCGGGAGCGCGCGCAGCAGATGCAGTGGAAGCGGGTCTTAGACGAACAAGTGCAAGAGAAGGCTCGGCTGAAAGAGCAAGATGAGGCCGAGCGCCGATGTAGTGAGGAGGACGCAGCCAGAGAGGAGATGCGCTACGTTCGAGAGCAACAGCTACGGGCGCAGCGGCGACTCGGACACTTTTCACCGGCATTGAACACCGAGTACAGGACAGATACCAATCCTCCGTATCATGCGCTGCCTTCGCCGCCAGAATTGACGACAAATAGACAAAGGGACGACTTCCAGCAGCCTGGCAACAAGACTGACTTTGCGTTCAACAATGACGGACGGGACGATAAAATGTCGACGTATTATCGAGACCATCAGTATGGAAACCCAGGAGCAGCGGAAGCGATGCTGCCTCCGCCTGCACCATCACGTATTCCAATGCCGCAAGATAATGGACGCAGTACGAGGGAGGAAAGTCGGGATACATTTAATCGGAGTACAGCAGGTGGCATTGCTGCAAGGCAGCAATACTTCCAGGACAATGCTTCACAGGCCTCACGTCAGCAACTGGAGCAACAGAGTCGCATAATTGATGAATACCGCTCACTTCTGGCAGAAATCCGTCGCGAACGCGAGGAGTTACGGCGGGAGCGAGACGAGATGCGACAAGAGAAGGAGGAGCTGCGCGTGCAAAGAGCACTGCTGCAATTGGAGAACGAAAAGATGGCCAGCCTCGTGGATGCACAACGGGCGCTCAATGAACAGCATCAACAGGACTTACAGGCACAGCAGGCACACCAAGAAGCTCAACAACATGCCCAACCTCAGCAGTATCAACCTGTTTCATTTCAGCAGCGACTATCACCCGTTCCATCTGCTGGATATGAAATGAACCACGGACGTATTAATAGCGGCTTTGAGCTACCTCATCACCAGGACGACCCGGAAGCGCTGGTCCATTCGCGGCTGAATCAGATACGCCAGACCCTCGGTGATTTAGAAATTCACGATGACCACCCCGAGCCTGTAATGCCAGGAAGACGGAGGAAGCCACCGAGTCCGATGTCTATGGCGGATTTTTCAGCACCTACACCCCAGAAACGCATGACCGTCAGCGTTATGGACTCGCCGCGCTTCCAGCGGTTGTCTCGGTATCGACCGACCCCAGCTGTTCCGGCTCACGACGAAAGCGCGCTGGATCAGTCTCTGATTGGCGAAAGCGTCTTTGTACCAGTGAGTCCCAAGTCCCAACAGCAAAGCAACACCGGACCAATACCACGCACTACTTCGTCCCCCACTTCAGCTGACAGACAGAAAGAAAATCTCCGTACGAATGCTCTTCGAAGCAGCCGCGTCATCAAAAGTCGAGGTTTCTACAACTTCGAGCAGGAGCTCAAGAGTGAAGACAGACTGGAGTCTTTTGCAAGTGGATCCATTAGTGGAAGTGTCCTCGACTCAGACCTTGGCAGCAGCTTTTATGGCGATGACGACGTAGACGATGAGATCGACAATCCTGACGACCAGAGCGCAGACCCTCATCCCGCAGCGAACAGTGGTTTATTCCAGGTTCAAGTGCTGGTGTGAGCTAGTATCAATATGTATTCAACGAGTAGCCTGGCTAAACGTTACATCAAAGAACTCTGGCAACTACTGGTAGTTTTTTAGCGCACGTCACATATTATTTATCCATGTGGACCACATGAGCTGGTGACTGGCGCAATTGTGCCCATTTTGTTGTTGCCTCCACGATGGCGTTCCAGTTCCCCGTGGCGAGCGGCAAGAAGAAGAAAGTGCAGGTGTTTGAGTGCCCTACCGAGACGTGGAAGGAGCGCAAGCCTCGCTTCGCCAAGGTTGGCGATGAATAATTTGCTGTTTTGTACCGCTTATGCTGATTCTGACGATTGACACAATTGCAGAACAAAGCAAAAACCGATGAACCGGAGATGACGCTGCGTCAAGAAATCCGCAAGGAGTTTGACGATACATTCGACTCGGTCCTGGATTTTGGTGCGCTACAACTCTGATTTTACTTATAATTTTCGTTGCTGTTGAGGAGAATAGGATATTGAAGAATGGACTTGTTCGGTGGCTTGTTGTTGATGATAACAGCAACGTCGAACTTAAAGGGCAAGGAGAAGAAAATGCACGAAGCCAAAAAAATTGAGTCACTGGGTGGTATGGCAACCAAGAACCGCAGTATGCCGTACAAAGTGCTGATTGGGCTGAGGACCAAGGGTGCGGCCAAAAAGCAGCGTCGCGAGGAGCTGGTACGTTTATGTTTTGCGCTTTCATGCGTGAAAGTTGCACTGGAGCAGTCTTCTAACGCATCTGTTTGGTGGGCTGTTGTTGTTAAATTTAGCTGAAGGAGTCAGATGTGGTGACGGGCAAGCGGAAATTGAGCAGCAAGTCGAGGGACCAGCAAAAGCGCAAGAAGGTCGACTACGGTGTGCAGGCCACCAAGGGACGATTTAAGGGTGGCGTGCTGGACGTGCGGGGTCTGTAATATATTATACACGCAGTCGCCTGGCCGACATTCTAATAAACTCAGTACCAAACTTATTCGCTGATTCTTAACACACTTCGATACTGGTAGGTAGGTAGCGTAAGCTAGCTATTGCTCAATTTTTAATAAATCGAGGTCATTTTTAATTTCGTGGTTATAAAATGGGATAGATCGAGTGTAATAAATCGAGCTGCGTTCGTGGTCGATTTACGACAAATCGACATCGATATTATTTAAGACAGTGAGTATTTCGCCCGACTGAATTAACCTTCCCCTGCACAATCCCCGGCTCCTTTCCGATGAGCTACATCCGTACGACGTATATTGCGTATACCCGTTGGAATCAGCCACAAAACTTCGAAAGGGGGGAGCGGGAGCCGTACGGGGCTGAATGGATCTCCGCCTGCGCGCAGCCCATAAGCGGCCGCTGACGGGGGCCGCTGCGTTGGAAGAGAGCGACAGTGGTGAGTCTGAGAGATCTCAGGACTCCCAGGACGACATCTGGTTGCCAACGCCCGCCGCAAGTAGTGCTGATTCGGTGGAAGACGGCTCGTCGGGGGCTCGGAGTGTTTCAGACGTTCCGGAGTCTACTAGCAGCACAAGCGAAAGTGGTGGGCCCAGTCGTGTGTTGGCCGCATCGCCAAACAAGGTTGAGTTTTCGTCGTGGGAAGCCTTTGACCAGTACTTGGCGGCCTATTCAGCCCAAACATTTTAGGTAACGATGAGAACGTTGAGATCATTGTATCTTTCTCGTTAGGTGCTTACTAATTTTGTTTGTGTATCAACGATAGGTCTTCCGGAGCCGCAGTAACACCACAGTGTCTGAGCGCAACGAGCGAATTCGAAAACAGCATTCAAAGGCACCACCAATCCCTGAGTCTTGGGTGCAGTATTCCAGGACATTCATCTGCACTCACGCTGGATCCTATAAGTCTCAAGCCTCGAAGAGACCACGTCAAGAGACTCGCGCGAAGGGTTGCCAGGCAAAGGCAAGTATTGTTTGGTCGGGTCTAGTCGGGTGTAATCTGATGCTAATCGGGTAATCATGTTACGTAGATAAATGCTTGTGTGCAGTTAGTTGACTCGGCCAACCAGACATTTGCAGTAAGAATCACACGCTGTCGGCTGGAGCATAACCATCGGCTACATGAAAACCCTTTCAGAGCCCACTCTTCCAAGCGGGTAGCGCTGACTGATGGCGCCATACAAACTGTTGACGTGCTCCGTCGGTATGGGGCCAAGAAGACCGGTATTTTGAGGTTCATCACAGACAAGTATAATAGCAATCCGAACTCGCAAGACGTACACAACTTGGTTCGCAAACTGAAAGCGCGAGAGATAAAAGATGGTCCATCCTCAAGCGAGAAGCGCCTGAAAAAGTGGATGAAGGAGTTCGGCGACAAACCCGGTAATGTTGGTCGAATATTTCTTGACGATATCAACAAGAAGGTAAATGACCTGTTTGCTACAATTTTGGGCAAAATATATTTAGTTAACCTGTTGTTATTCTCCAGAAAGTAGCTACGTGTATCACGTTCCCAGACCAGACATATGCGATTGCTGTACGAACAGTTTCCTGAAGTTCTACTGATAGATGCCACGCATGGAACCAATCGATCCAAGTACAAAGTATTTTCTTTTATGGCTCATGATACCTTTGGCAAGGGACAGTTTATCCAACACGCGCTTCTTCAGAATGAGCAGTACGCTACGTTGCTCACGGCCCTGGAAGAATTCAAGTCAAACAATCCGGCGTGGTCGAGGCTGCAATGTGTACTGGTGGACAAAGATTTTACGGAGCTCTCCGTCTTGAAAGAAGCTTTTACTGGTGTGACTGTGCTGCTATGTCAGTTCCATGTGTTGAAGTATCTGCGCGAAGAAATTGCATCTGCGGATTATGGATTCTACAAGACCCAGAAGGAGCAGCTTGGAGGGGTGGTGAGCTTGCTTGTGTATGCGAAGACGGAGGCGGAATACGAGAAGCACTTCAAGTATATGGTCCACCTTGCTTCGATTGGGTTCTCTGCTGCAACGTCTACTGACGTGGCGTCAAGCGACGCTCAGCCAGCGGTGGAACGTAGTAGAGCTGCCGTAGTCGGGAGTGAGTCGGGTGGAGTCGAGAGTGAGTCGGGTGCTGTCGGGTCTACAGTCGGGAGTGCGTCGGCATCGGACGTTGAGCACCCATTTGTTGCGTACTTTCGGAGGAATTGGGATAATTGTCGTGGACAGTGGTGTGCGTATAAACGTCAGAATACTGTCACACTTGGTAACAATACGAACAATCGGCTGGAAGCTTCGTGGAAACAACTCAAGGAATGGGTGGACTCCTTCATGGCAGTGGACGAATGCATTGCGTCCATAATGTACTACCAAACTCTGCAGGAAAAACTGTTTCTCTCGGAGATCTACAAAACTGTGGTCGTGCACCATCCTGAGTATGACAGTAAGATGTCCTTGGTTGCAAACATTGTGAGCGAACATGCGTGTGATCTCATCCACATGCAATATTCGTATGCCCTTGGACCGGCTGCGTATATCTTTTACGAAGGTTGCCCTGGGGTGTATTTCGTCAAGAGTGTTTGTGAAGATGATGACGCACTGGATGAGCTTAATGCTGAGTATTGTGTCACCAAGCGCGACTGGTCTTGCTCATGTTTGTTCATGAGCACGCGTTTGTTACCATGCCGACACGTTTTCTTCCTTCGCAAAGCTCTTGGTCAAGAAACAATTATCCCGACGCTACTATTAAACAAGCGGTGGTTGGTTTCAAACGTTCGCTCAGCACTGGAAAATAGCACTTCAAGTAGCGCTGAAAATGAACCCAGCTCATTTGAGGTGAAGACTGTTCTTCCTGGGCGCGAGCGCCCTTGGGATTCGAATCGAAAGTTCCGAGAAGCATTGCCCATTGCCTCGGAGATCTGTGACACGATGGCTGGTCTAGGTATGACCCAGTATCGACAGGCAATGCAATATCTCCAAGAAGTGGTTGGTCGGTTCAAGGACTATCCTAGATGGTAAATTTGACGAGAAACAAACCAGCTGGAGCTTTCGCAAACGAGTGGGCAGCTTTCCGATATTATGGTGCCTCTAACACAACTATATAGTACTACCCACGCACCAGAGACTGCTGTTGGGAGAAAACCACATCAACCACTTCTCACTGGCCATGCCCACAGCACGAGTGGCAATGAGTTGCTTACCGATCTAGTATCAGAACCTGAAGAAGTCGGCCTATTCAACGAGCCAAGTGGCGTTTCACCGCAGTCGGGCCAATCGGGTGCAGTCGAGTCTGAGTCGGAACCTCCACATGAATCGGGCCAATCAGTCCCAGTCGGGTCTGAGTCGGGGATTTCACGAACTCTTCCAACACCAACCGAAGAAACGACGTTCGTTATTGCCAGCCCACCACGATCGAGAGGACGCCCGAAACAATCTGCTAAAGCGAAGAAGGCGGCACGTAAGAAGGCGGTTGCTGTTGCTCAAGAAGACTCCGAGCTTCATTCGTTGAACCTGAGCATAGCATCCGTAGAAACCGCACTGTCGGGCGAAGCTACCTATGCATCTGCGGCTGCAGTTCTCAACAAGTTTAAGGTGATTGAGTACGGCACTAAGTTCAAGGCCCCGACTGTACGAACAATAGCATCGCTACCACCAACCAAGCCTATTATCCCTCCAGCCTCCATCACGCGCATACTGCGTCCTGAACAAATCAGCATCTGCAACCAAAAAGTCACAGCATTCCAGTCAAAGCACAAAGGTACTGCCGAAAAAGATCTGGTCGTCGATATACCTGGCTTCGGCGTGTACTTGACAAGCACGATGCGGACTATGAAGTCTTGGCACACAGCGATGAAGACCATCAACCAAGTGGGAAAAATGACGAAGTGGGTGAACACCGTCGACTTTTCATTGCCTATGCCATCCTCATTTCGGGTGCAGGAGCAGCCAGACGTGACGACGAAAGCAAAAGCGATTCCTGTGTCTTCCAGAAAGGTATAAATACCTATCACTGGCCTGCTTCATCATATTATTCTGATTAACTATTGTATAATATGCAGGCAGCCATTCTGGACCTTGTAGGTAAAACATGCCTTAGTGAAGACACCATGAACATCGTTATGGCTAAACTGTTTGGATCACGAAGTGATGTAATCATCGTGGATCCAAGTATAGTCGGCTCTGTTGAAGGCGAAGCGATGCCAGGGATTGCCGCCGTTTTTGCTGATGTTTTCGCCAGTGTCACGAATGAGAAAATCTTCATTCCCGTATGCTGCAGTAAAAACCATTGGTGCGGCATATCGTTGGACCTGGAAATGGCGGAGGCGGCTGTCTACGATCCAATGGGCTCGACCTATGCACTTAAAGTCCGAGCACTCACGGAGGCCCTTCTAGTGCAGCTACCAGACTACGCCCCACGAAAGTTTCGAGTCCGCCCGTACCATACAGACCTCGGGGTTCAAGTCGACACTTATAATTGTGGAATTTACGTCCTTGTGACGTTTGAAGAGATTGCCGGTGCAAAAGGTCTCTGCATGCTATCCAGAAAGGAACTTCAGTATCTACGTTACAGATACATTTGCATGTGCGCTTAGTTAACACTCTAAACAAGTCAATCTTTGTGTTTGCCCTTACAGCTTGTACGTGCCGCCACACACTATCAGCGTAGAACACTGCAGAATCCCGCAAACACTATTCACACGCTCGGTGCTAAGTATTTCACATCCGAATATACGTATAGCAGCCATGCGCTTCACACGATTGCTCAACCGGCTCTTATATTGAGTCGGGCACTGTCGGTCATCGATCGGATGTAGTTGGGTACCGTGAGCCTGGCTCTTTCACATGAATCGGGAGAAATAACGAGTGCTATTATTTAAACCGACCCTTTTTGCGTCTTTGAAACGCAAATCGAGTGCAGATTTAATAATTTCAGGCATGCTTTTCCTTTCTCAGTTTTACGCCTGTTTTTATGCCCCAACCATGCTTGATCTAGGCCATAAAACCGAGCGACATTTCATCTGTATGGCTCGGTAGGCAGGTAGAGAAGAAGAAGAGAGAAGAAGAAGTTACTTGTGGGCGTCAAAAGACGAAGCATGGTAGATTAGAGCTGGCCCACTGCAAGCAGGCTGCCTAGCAGCAGACTAAAGATGGTTGGTTTAGAAAAACTACACTGGTACAGACTATATCATAGTTTCATCTTGACTAACAGCTTTTAGCGGATCATCAGCTTCCAGGGTAGCTGGTACAATGTGCCACTGACAGCCTCCCTGCATCTTTGCATACTTTAGCACATTACAGAAGGCATTCAATATTACAGGTCTGGGAAGATTCTCTGTGCAAACGCCTCAGTCTAAACAGTCGTCAGTCGAGGAAGCCCCGAATTAGCTGCTCCAACTTAGCCCATTCAGCCTTGCTGTCTGGGAATACGGACTTCGCGGGTAGGCCATGGTAACGATCTCGAGGACTGCTCGTTTAGCAGCACCGGTGTCGGGTACGCCATCATCAGTGCCGAAAGGCCTGGAGAAACGGAAGCTCGGCACTGCAGCCAAGATCCGAGAGCGCAAGCGCTAGCGGGCGGCAGCCCGCAAGGAGAGACAAGGTCCTGGTGTCTAGTTCAACGTGCAGGCAGAGTGACCGGTGACCAGAGGGCGTGTGTCCGCGGGGACTGGGTTGAAAAAGAAGAAGAAAGCCGCTGGGGACAAGTCGAAGAAGGCTGCTGGTGGCTTGCTTTCAGAGGCCCTTCGAGCCGCCATGGCCGAGATCACTGTAGAGCCTGCTGATACAGCAGCCACAGTGAGCAGTGTAGCGTCGTACAGCTCGCGTAGTGGTGCTGGCGCGGCGGCGAGTGGGCCGACAGAGCATCTTGCTGCTGCCACGGCAGATTATTCTCAGGTCATTGTATCGAGGGACCATATTGACATGGGCTCAACCTCTAGCGCCACAGACCAGACTGTAGCTCAGATCTTGACGGAACTTGCAGGTTGCATGGTCGATGAAGCCAAACATCACGAAGAGGTAGAACAGGCGGCTGGTAGAACATGCCAGAGTTCTCGAAAAGCCCAGACTACTGCCACCGACCAGAGTGTCACTGCTAGTGCACAGATACCTTCTGTCACCGGACTGGCTGCAGACACCAAACGTGCAGCTACTGCCACCATTCTGGCCACTTCTGACACCGAACTCTCATCTGATGATGAAATGTATTATCCGATATACGGCATGTACTACAGCAGTAAGCAAGTGACTGTCACAGCTGACTATGCAACTACAACGAGGACCTGGAGCGTGGATCGTATCAATGATCGCCGTGATTCTCCTCGTGGTCCAGAGTATCGTGTGCTGTGGGTCAACCGTCTGCTTGTGAATCGACGCTACTAGCGCACATGGGAGCCTCGTCAACTGTTGCTGGACGATGATTTCGCTGAGGAGTTGGACATCGTGGATCGCTGGAAGGCTTCCGATGTGGAATTTTTTTGCCTGAGGATGAATACGGCAAGCGCGCAATTGATGCTGATACTTGGGGCCTATGCATGCTCAGTGCATTGAAGCGTGCTGCCGAGCTTGCTGGGCGACCAGACATGACGCAAGATGATATTGATACATTCGTTGCTGATGAACTCCGAGAGCGTGGAGTGGACCTCACAGGGGTACTTCGTGGAAGATAATCCTTCGGTTCCTGCCACGACTTAGGGATGCTGGCCGTGCTTTTATCTTCAAGGCCATCGACAAAAACAACTTCACCATAGCTGGACGCCGTGGATCACGTATACTGGAGGAAGTGCCTCCCTACAACGGCCTTTACTTCGTTGTCGCGTACAACCACAGCCTCGTTGAACACGCGTTCGTGCTCAGAGCTCAAGGGAAGAAGGCAAAATCCGGCGGAGTTTTGACTTAAAGGACCCCAAGCCAGTGTCGTCGGCGATGGATTGGATCACCTTCGTGGCCTGCATTCGTCCTTTCATTGTCTTTAAGAAGAAGTAGACGGATAGGAGTCGGTAGGGATTTCCACGGGTTTGCCTTATCGATAAGGAATGTTCCCAGCAAAAAGAAATTGTGTCTGCATGGATGTTGAAATACATATGCCGATTATAATTCGGTACAAGGCCAGGGAAACCTCGGCGAGGGGAAAACCTTAGTGCGAACAAAAGATACAACCCAGTGAAAAAAGCTAAAGGAACGCAATTTAAGTAGGCACACTTCATGCATTAGTGTTATTCTCGTACACTATACGGAATGGCTTATTGTATAGCTTCAAGGGACTTCATCCTGAGCTTAGCCCATAGTTCTCTGAACTGATATTTGTCTAGCGCTTTCGTAAACGTTTCAGCAACCGCACCTTTAGTATTGCAGTAAGCGACGGAAAACTCGTGCCGCTCTACTTTTTCTTGTACGAAACAGTATCGTACGTGTATATGTTTTAATCGTCCGTGAAGTTCGGGGTTGCAGCAGATTTTGATGCAGCTCTGATTATTCTCGTATATAGTGTTAGCCTGCGTTGAAGCAAAGCCAAATTCTTTGAGGAGAAGTTTGAGGAATATCATCTCTTGCATGCAGTGGCATAGGGCGATATATTCTGCCTCTGTTCTAGACAATACTACAGTATGATGCTTTCGCAAAAACCATGATATGGGACTGCCTGTAAGCATTGTCACGTAGCATCCAACGGAGCGTCTCGTGTCGGGACAGCAGTCAGAGTCGCTGTAGGCAATCAGTTGATCGGCTAGGTTTTCCGAGGTATTATCGGTCGAGCCTCCCAGAAGAACACCGTATTCTTTCGTTCCGTATAGATACTTTACACCACGGATGACTGCTTTCCAGTGATCCATACCTGGATTCGCTAGGAAAAGGCCGACCTCTCGTATGTAAAATGCCATGTCGGGTCGAGTGCCGACCATTAAGTACATGATACTGCCTACGACTTGGCGATACGGAATCGATTTCATCGCATCTTTCTCTTGCTGACTGCTAGGCTGGCTGCTTACGAAGAGTTTGGCGCTCCGTTCTGCTGGTGTTGCAATAGGGTACGGAATGTAGTCGCTGAAGCGGTCAACGACCTTCGTAGCGTACTTGTGCTGGTGGATAAATATCGTTCGATTCTTACGGTCACGTTGAATGGACCAACCGAGTAAGTACTTCACATTTCCTAAATCTGACATGGAAAATCGCCTTTTCAGGGATGATTTCAGCTCATTGACGAGTGCTGGTGCTGGCGCAATGATCAGTAAGCCATCGACGTACACTGCAATGCAACAGGTGATGTCACCAATTGTGCGTCGAAAGACACATCGATCTTTAATAAGTTTCAGGGACCCAAGACTCTCTAGGAAGGCAGTCAGGGTTTGGTACCATACATGGGGCGATTGCTTTACCCCGTATAAGCTCTTAAGAAGTTTACACACCAGGATGCTCCTTGCCCGGGATTTTGAAACCTTCCGGTTGAGCCATGTAGATCTCCTCTTCCAAATAGTCATTCAGAAATGCGACCTTAACATCCATTTGGTGAACTTCAAAGTCGAGAAGAGCTGCAATAGTTAGAAGTAGTCTAAGTACCTCCATACTGATGACAGGAGAGAAAATCTCGTTGTAGTCGATGCCATATTTCTGAAGGAATCCTTTGATCACAAGACGCGCTTTAAAGCGGTCGATTTCGCCAGTGCCAGTATACTTCACAACAAAGATCCATCGGTTATTTAAAAACTTCCTTTCTTTGGGGGGGATACCAACACTTAAGTGTGAGGGACTTGTATTCCGATTTAGCTGCATTATGCCAGGGAAGACTTCATTGCTTCCCGATACGTAGTGGGCTCAGACACATACCGAATAGCTAGTAATGTGTACTGTAAATGCTGATGCTGCTCCTGTTCGTGTATGTCTTTCTCAGAGTTGAGGGTTACGTCATTGGCTTCCTCAGAGCTATCAATGACTTCCGCAGAGGCTTAGGAGTCGAATGATGAGGAGTATCAGAGTCCGTCTCCGTTCGAAAAGAATAATGTATGGTTGTTCGATCAATAGCCTCCCTCAGTGAGGACAGTACACGTTGGTTCAGTGTACATGGCGCTGTTTATTTGCAGGGCCTGATGTGGGTGACGGTGCTGTCACTGGTTCTGACACAAGTTCAGGATCCGGTGCTACTGTAGTAGCAGTTGCAGATGGCAGAGGTACAGGGGCAGCTGTAGCGGTAGACTGCTGCCTATTCGTGTGCTGTGTGGGCTCTGAAGTAGACGTCAGGCCAGTGAGAGAGGGAAATTCTGCCTCTTTAAAGACTACATCACGACTATAGATAATTGCATGAGTATCGATAACCATCAGACGTAGCCTTTCTTATGGTCAGGCACACCAAGATACATACACAAACGGGATCTAGCGTCGAGTTTGTCTTGGTATTGCTCCGTGATGTGGACATATCCGCTACATCCCAATAATTTGATGTACTGCATGGATGGAATACGGTTGTGCCAAAGCTCGTACGGGGCTCGTCGATCCGTCTTGAAGCTAGGAGTCATATTGATGAGAGTGGTCACATGACATACACACTCGGCCCATAACGGTTTGGGTAGCTTTCCGTCAAGTAGAAGGACTCGGACACGCTCCATGATGGTACGCATGTGGTATTCTGCAACTCCATTTTGCTGAGGTGTGTATGCGTTGGTAAACTGGGCGTGAGCTCCGTACTTTTTAAGTATGATGTGGCCAAGCTTCTCGTACTCTTTAGCGGTGTCGGCTTGAAGCCGCTGAACCTCAAAGTTGCTCTGGTTTGCATTGTCTTCAACACTGAACGTGTACTCAATGACATAAATGTCTTGTCTCAAAATATTCAGAGCTATCTTCTTGAAGTCTTCGAAGCAGTCATACAACTCGCTACGGTTCTTAATTGCATAAGTGAACATGAATCGAGAAACATCATCGATGAAGATCAAGAAATAACGACAGCGAGTAAGGCTAGGCACAGGTAGTGGACCACAGATATCTGAATGGACTTTTGACAAAGGTGATGTAGCACGTTTAACAGCTCTATTAAAGTAAAATGGGGAACGGTGTGACTTCGCTAACGTGCAGGCAACACAAAAGATAAATCTGTCTTTGGACCTAGAGGTATAGATCCATCGAGGCCATGTATGGCTTGGCTCCTAGATAGATAATTCCAGACACGAACGTTAGGGTGTCCAAGGCGTTTATGAAAGAGCAGAAAGTAACGTTGCTTACCCGAGGCAATAAGAGCCACTGGAGGTGCCGCTGGTTTGGCTTGAAATTGATACAGATCCGTGTTGGTAGCCATGAGCGCTTTGAGCTTGAAGCGCAGGTCAGTTTGCATATAGCACTGTTTGCGGTCAAAGTTGAAGCAAAAGTCGTCCTTCACAGCTGCTGGAATTGATAACAGACTGAATTATAGCTGGGGGGGGCATACAGGACGCCATGAAGGATTGCTCTTGGAGTCAGTGACTTCCAGATCGACCCGTCTAATGCCTTCGATGGGGATTTGGTTATTATTACCAACCGTAATTGAGCCAACACTGGAGGTGATGTCGGTGAGCCACTGAGATTCATGGGTGACGCGGCGAGTGCAGCCAGAGTCGATCGTCCAGGTGGGGTCGGGCTCTCCCTTGGCTTGAGCAGTGATACTAAACGGGAGATTGACTAAGGTAGCAACAGCGATGAGACCGGTGTCACGACGTCCTTGGCGAGTTACCTTGCGGTTGTTTCCAGAATCACTGTCGTCGTCATCTTCCTCGTCATTGTCGGACACAAGAGAACGGTCCTTATCACGATCTTGGTCGCGTTGTTTGCCGCCATTTCCATGCTTGCGCTTGCTACTACCGTTGTTGCCCTTGAAGTCGTGGTTGCTGTTATTCTTGCCGTGCCGTACATTGCCACCTTTGTTCGACTTCTGGTACGGGTGGTCGCGTTTCGAGCTATCTGAAGGCGAAGTTAGCGTGAAACAATGTCCCAGCCTTCACTCGTCCATCTCGCAAATCTGTTTGAAGGCCTCGGTGTTGTGGCATGGGCTATCACAGTAGGAGCAGACATTGGCGTTGTCACGACCTTGAGCTGGTGACACAGGAGGTCCGGTAGTCACTAAAGTTCTCTTTGTTGAAGAAGGAGGATCCGGACCAGGATCTGGTGTGCGCCGTCAGCTGCGAACTGTAGGAGTGATGGTCAGATAAGTTAGTGGCTGGTAATTGCGGATACAATCTCACTCTCTCTTTTGCGTACTTACCCTCAGAAGCGCGTGGCGCGGTCGACCAGGCGGTCGACTTTTAACAGGTTATGAGCCCAATGAACACAGCCACTGACAAGGCTGCTCGTGACGGCTCGTCAGCGCCAACACCAGAGCCCGACGCCGGTACCACACGGACTGGCATGGCGAATGTCGCTGAAGA